TCCTACTGCACCTACAGCGCCTACGGCGAGACCGGCGATGACCCGTCGATCGACCCCGTATACCCCGACCCCCGCCCCGGCGGCTACAAAGGTACCATCCTACACCACCTTTTCCCCCAAACAAAACCCACCCTAACCCACGACAGGAAAACTCCAATGCGGCGTCTACAAGCCCACGAACGTAATCAGCGCCTCCTACGGCCAATCCGAAGCCGACCTCCCCATCAGCTACACCAAGCGGCAATGCAACGAGTTCATGAAACTCGGTCTACAGGGCCACTCCATCCTCTTCGCGTCGGGCGACTACGGCGTCGCATCTTTCGCCGGCGACGGCGACGAGAACGGCTGTCTCGGCCCAGAGGGCAAGATCTTCAACCCCCAGTACCCCTCCAACTGTCCCTACGTTACCTCCGTCGGCGGCACCATGCTGTACGGCTACCAGACCGTCAACGACAGCGAGAGCGTTATGCACGTCAACCTCGGCGGGACCGCAAGTAACTTCAGCACCTCCGGTGGATTTTCGAACTACTTCCCCCAGCCCGCGTATCAGTATGCTGCTGTGGAGCAGTACTTCCAGACTGCAAATTTGTCGTACCCTTACTATTCGGAGTTTGAGGTCGATGTTAACACGACCAAGGGCCTCTATAATCGTCTTGGTCGCGCTTATCCGGATGTTTCGGCCAATGGAGCCCATTTCAGAGCTTATATGGATGGGTACGATTATCATTGGTATGGGTCGAGTTTGGCGTCGCCTTTGTTTGCGTCGGTTCTTACTTTGGTACGTTTACTATTTTTATTGGTTGGGGGTTAATCTGGGGATGATGATGCTGACAACTGTTTGCAGCTTAACGAGGAACGCTTCGCCATCGGCAAGGGGCCCATCGGATTTGTGAACCCCGTGCTTTATGCCTATCCGCAGGTGCTGAATGATATCACTAATGGTACTAATGCTGGATGTGGAACGTATGGGTTTAGTGCTATTCAGGGGTAAGTGCTGGGTATTTGATTGTGGTAAAATTAGTGTGCTAATTGATGACTACAGATGGGATCCCGCTAGTGGTTTGGGTACGCCCAATTACCCCTTGATGAAGGAGCTGTTCCTCTCTCTGCCTTAGGCTCCACGGTGATTTTCTGGATAATAGGTGCTCAAGGGGTGTATATATGTCTGATGTGGAAATAGTTACGAGGCTAGGATAATGTGTAGACGAGTATGAATGGTTATTTATCCCACTGGTCACTATTTTTAGGATACTCATGTTCTGTGTCTATGTTGAACTACAGAAAAGCGGTCAAGAAATTTGTTAAAAGTTGACTATTCGCTGTCTATTTATAGTCTCATGTATAAACATTATCAAAAAGCCTAGCCCAGGGATATCAAAAAACATAGGAAAAACACTAAAATGATACTCTATAACCACCCAAGAAATATTTATGAATGTATTAAAACCGCTCGTACCTCCCATCCATCTCGACCAAATGCACCGCACTGGTCGAATCCCGCTCCGACCGTGTCGTGTAATCGACGGAGATATTGACTGACTTGGAGATCTTGCTGTTCGTTACCCCCGAGGAGGCACCCCCGTTGTGATAGAGTGAGTTGGTTCGGTCGTAGGTCCGTCGCTGTGTGCTGCCGGGAAGACCTGGAACGTAGTGGTTTATGAAAGCGCGGGCGGCGGGTAGACAGGTCGTCATGATCGCGATTTGGGATTCGATGACGGACCAGTGGATGAGGGGTTGGAGACCAGCTGTATAGAATTGAGTTAGTGGAGTGGGGTGGGGGATGATTGAGAGTTGAGAGGCCGTACCGGTCAAGTTGGTAGTCCAACGGTTTTCCCAGAATACGACCACACGGATGATGGCGATGATGGTTAGGCTTAGAGTCTTATTAGTAAGACGAAAACGCAGTGCATGAATAGGTTGTGCTTACATGAGACCCATCATGAACATCAGTGCCACAGTGATCTTCTTCATCCATGGCAGCTGCAGCTTGCTCACTTCGTAGATCGGTAGGAGGACGATGACGACGTCGACGAAAATGTTGACAAGGCAGTGGACTAAAATTGCCGCGATGAAATTGATGCATGTGCCGACCCCTTCATATTCCCCGGTCCAAGAGTCCCAGTCCAGATGGACTGGCATGCATCGAAGCAAATCCACGAGGGCGAACGTGATACCGATGGCGGCGTTAATGCCGATGAGGATGTATGCGCATATGCGGAAAACACGGGACTGGAAGATTCGCAGCAGGAAGAGTAGGACGGATATCTTGCAGAGCGAGATTTGAATCTTGTACATCATCGCCAATCCTTCGAAATATTGGAAGACTAATGTGACGTGGTGGAAGGGTAAGATATCCCAGGTGTTCATTCCGAATCCATATTTGATCACTGTTTTGTTAGATCATGCCTCATGCCAGTGTGTGGAAAGATGGTGACTTACTGTATGTATTGACGACAAATAAGCCAACTCCCAGTACCTACTAGCTGTTAGAAGCATAACGGTGCCAGGTACTGCAGGATTGCTTACCCATGCGATCGTGACAGTATAGTCGTCAAGTCCCCAACCACCAGCGAGATTTGCGACCTTCGCCGCTATCCGGATGAAGAAGAATATCGTGGCAAGGATAGCAGGTGCAAGGGTGGAGGGGTCAACGAGAGGGGGCCCCTTCTTGATGGGTTGGTCGCATTCCAATTCATACAAATGCCTCGTGACTGCGGGATGTTAGGCATGTCTGAACGACAGTGTGAGTGGAGTGTAACTGAATGCTCACTATAGTATTCCAGTGCACTGCAGTTAGATAATGCGCAAGTCACTAGCGACGACTTGCTGGCATCTCCGGTGCATACACACGATGCATCGGTTATGGTGCAATTTGGAGATTCTTGGTGCAAGCAAGACACCTGGGGACATGGTCAATGAAAGCGGAACCCCCGGGGCAGAATCCCACTTACCGCACACTCTGGAAATTCCGTGGCATTCGACGACACGGCGAACACAGACACCGTCAATGCTGCCAATATCGTGAATAACAGCTGATGGATCTTCATTGTGATGTGGGATGTAACTCAGAGGAGTAACATCCCAGGACAGAGGCAACAGGCAAACGGGGAAGCCAGTCGGCGAAAAAGGGATTTCTCCCGGTCACCCTTTATAATCAATCTCCCTCGGCATCTACGCCATGTGGATTTCGAAACACCAGTCGATATTCTTCGGGAGCAAGCTTTTTTTTCACACGGGGGCGTGCTTGGCCCGAGTTCCCTTCCCAGTATATGTGTGGTCCAGACTCCCGGTTCGTCCAGCGATTGTTGTGATGGAGAACTCTGAGCGTATCGATTAAATGGACGAGTTGGGTTTGCGTCCCGAAGTGACGCAGCTTGATTTTGTGGATGAACATGCCTTGGACTGGCGGAAGTGTGCGCGATCCATTTTGCATTAGGACCGTGGGTTCAGTGAGACACGGGCGTTTCCACGAGGAGGGGACCAATCCGAGGGGGCATGGCTAGCTGGGCGATCGGATGCAGGACTGCATCCGTCCGGTAGAAACTTAGATTAGGGTGGATCCTACTGCCCGGTCCACTTGAAGCCGGATCTGAGACACCAGTTGGGAATCATCTGCCGATGCCCACCACTCCTCTCCAATCACCTGGCGACGGAGCATTTGGAATGCCGCTTCTCCTGACTCGGAGGAGCCGACGACCCTGTGCGTCTCCCGCGCCCAGCTTCACGCCATGTCGCTTAGAGCCTTGGAGGGACGAAGATGGGGTTCTCATCTCAGCTTGGGGGTATTCTCATGGCTACGGAGGCGAGAAGTCCTGACTCGTTTTGAGTTCTCGGCGCACATCTCGCCTGGCTATAGTTGGTTGCAGTGCAGGCACTAACGTGCAAGTGACTTTGGTGGTGAAACGGAGCCCTATTCATGGGTTGTGGGTGAACTCAAGGAAGGCACGTGGACCGCCTTCCAAGAACTTTCAAGTAAAAGCTCCGAGCCTCGGTCCTAGTCCGTAGAGACGTTGTAATCCCTGGATTTAGGGCACGGAGAGGCGTTGTGCGTGCTAAAAAATGGGGAAATAATATCATTTTAAGCTCAAGTTAGCGCGCCAAGTGGCTCGTCGTTTGAAATTGATGTGTTTTTGAACACCGCTTGCTGTTCTAGGATTAGTGTCAGTCACAATCTTTGCGCTAACCCAGACCGGACTGGTTTCCACGTGGGCTGCCTCACTGCCTGAGGATCTCTCTCCCCATTACTCAGCATCGCAGTGATTGAGTGACGCGGTCATTGATCTATCAGAAACATCATCTCTTCAATGTTTACCCACAAACCTCTCGCTGTTCGGGTTCTCTTCTACGAAATATCTAGCACATCTGCCAAACACCTTGCTTGGCTCAATGACTAGACTTCTCTGATCTCTAGTCTCCGTGCATCTCATACCAGATTAGGTCATATTAAATATGTGTCGATCAACCAAAAATAACTGCGCCGGAGTACTCCGTTAATATATATCTATTCCGCGAAAGTCGGTATAGTCTGCTTACTAGTCGTTTCTCTTCACTGCCACTAGGACTATACTAGAAGGACTTGCAATTTATTTCGTGATACCCCTGAAAGGTGCACGAGCAAGCTCAATTAGGGGGTTCATTCAACTGGTACCAGTCTTGTCATGTCAATAAATCCTCCGTGGCACTATGCACCTACCAGGGAATCTCGATCAGATCTCCTTTGATCTTACGGGATCTCATCGGATCTTGTTTATACAGCTTTACATACATGCATCTAGTCAACTGTTGATTTGATTAATTTGCCTCCTAAATGACAACCGTCCAGCGTCGTCGTCATAGGTGGACCCGCTTTATATGACCGGTGGACGTTGAATTCCCCCGACAATTACCCGCCGTTGCCACTAACAGCAACTAGAACAAGTTTAAATTTTTGTCTTTGACCGGCTGTTCCTCGTTGTCCCTCTGTGAGACGAGCATACTGAAGAGTACCATGGTGCGCAGCCATGTGGCATTCGTTTCCGAGGACCCATATCCTATCGTGTATCCAGATAGAAGCCGGCGTCTGGGAAGCGGGAAGCCCGCCAGCTTATGCTTATTATCATACTGAAATTGCCAGAAGATTAAATTATATTACTTACCCCATAGAATGCTTGGTTCGCGTCTGTTCATATCCCCCTGTGGCTTGAGATTCACGGCTATTGATTTCAATACTCCTTCATTGACCGGGATTTACCATGGTACTGTGTAAATAGGTCCCGGCCAACAAGAGACATAGAATCGGATTCACCATGTCTTTGATGAAAAACTCATGATATATAGGACCCACAAACCTTGTCCTACATCAACAAAGTTTTGATGGTGTTGACCGAGGTATTCACATTAGATCACTATATCCGCTCACTGCATCTACCGAAGACTGGATTCACTTGATGTCGCTCCAAAACACTGTACCGACTATATAATGTCTCTTCCCCCTCTCTGAACCCACTCGACATGATTTCACGGTTCCTGCAGGATGAGCGGATCCTTGCAAGCTGCAAGAAAAAATATATTGACAGTAGTATACTTAGTAACCAATAACTAACCACACCCCGATCGGGCCAGCTTACTAAGTGACTCCTTATCGCTATCGGTCGATCAGCTGATTTTAGCTCCAATTCGAACCAATTCCCTCGCAACTGTCTGACATTCACTCGTCAATGATCGCAATCCAGCAATGCAATATCCACCACTGACATGAGCGACCTGCTAAAGTCTCGCTGGGCTCCCAGCCCAAGCGAGATTCAAGCCCGACCCGCCGTTCCTCCCATCACCACCCCAGCAATTCCCCGGAAAACCACCCCGAAACCCACCACCAAACGCACGCCATCCCCCGTCAAGCAACCCTCTCGTCAATCCTCCCCACGACCCTCCCCCTCGAGGCACCTTTCCCGCTTCATGAAAATCGTCGAGCGACTAAAATGGAAACTCCCATATCTGGCCTACGGCTACCGCCTCGCGACCATCGACCCTGCCAGTAGCGACTTCGACGTCTCCCACGCCGAGATCATGTTCAAGCTCGATTTCCACGAATACTACTCTCTCCTCGAGCGTGCAATTGTCCATCTCCTCAGCGTCTTTGGTGTCTCTGTGTCTTCTGCTTTTCCGCGCAATCACCTCGCCGCGTACGGCTCCGCTCCGCTCTCGACCCACCGATACCATGCGAACGTGTTGGAAGCGCTGCAGGATGAAAACAGTCCCTTGCATACTGTGCTGGGACAGGGCGAGACTCACGAACAATTGCAGAGGGCGAAGGAGTTGCGGAATCGGTGGAAGACGGCCGATTTGACCAAGGAAGAACTGGAGATGGAGGATAAGTGGGCTGCGAGGCGGAAGGGCAAGGCCATGCCGTTGGCGAGCTATGATATCGAGAAGATCCTCTCGGATATCTTCCAGGGCTTTGATGATGCGTATTTGCTTGCGCAGGAGCATGTGGTTGCGTCTGATGGGGCGGATAAGATGGATGGATTGTTGCAGGGAGAGTCGGATGCTGATTGGGACTTCATTGTCGATGCTATGGATTGGGAGGCTGTTTGAGCGGTCTGGGTGGCTGTCTGTTTTTGTTAGCGATGTTTCGGGTTAGAATTGCATGGTCGGAGTTCTGGTTTGGGGGTTATCTGTTCTTCCCTCCGCTGCTTTGATTGTTTACCATGTGCAGTTTTTGTATAGTGGACTGTCGGGGGTATTAGTTGATGGATGTACAGGCTAGATTCATCTTAGGAGCAGACTCGCACTTTATCATTGGCTATCTTGGAATAGGTATCAATATATCCCACCACTTGTACGCTTGCAACATTCCGCTGGTTATTTTCAGTTGTATCTGCGACTACCTGAGAATTACTGCTGCAGTTAGTCTAGTCAAGAATGTATACCGGTACCGCCACCCGATCCGAGTAATATCATAATGTGTATCATTCAGACATTGACTATCAGTGCAATTAGACTCGTGATTAGGCGTAGCAACAGGCTTGTGACTCGTGACAGAATCCCACTGAAACCCAGGCAAAGGACGTGATGCATCATGGAATCCTAATAATGACTCCAAATCGGATTGACAGTCATTACATTGTCATTTGGAGAGGGTACATGTAACTTTAAATCAAGAGGAAGAGGAAGGAAAATAAGAGTACGTCAAATGCCAAAGGAATGGGGGTATGGGAATCCCTGTTGTCAAGGTTGGTCGTAGCATCGTTACAATCAAGCGTTGTGTTCTCCTGCAGTCTCGTTATTGCAGTAGCAGCTGATGAGCTTCACAGATACACTCGTCTAAGTTCATTGATTATGCGTTTCTTTTTTTTTTTTTTTTTTTTTTTTTTTTTGGCCCAAACAGTCCATATTCGGTCTCCAGGTTAGGGCCAAGGACTGTGAGTCTGACTTGCTATCTTTATTTGGCCATATGACGCTTCGTGACAGGCATCGTTATTTTGGATTATTGCACGCTCAAAGTCAAAGACTTTGACGCGGTCATTCCCTCCGTCCCAGAATATGTTTCCAGAAATCGGGTCACTATGCAGCACGTCCAACCCATGAACAGCTTGCATCGAATTAGCCGCTTGTTGAAGCATCTCGTCAAAATCAAGGCCACGCGGTCGGACGAGGGTCTTTCCGGTGTAGCCAATGCACACCAAGTAGACTATTTCAGTAATACCGCTGTAAGAATACTGTCGGCGAAGTCCCAGGCTGTCGAGCAAAATGGGTACCGACGCCCCTTGGATTGGGGCAAGATGTGAATATAGCACCCCTTGCACGTTCAAGGGTACGCATCATAAAGTGAATCAGGATCCAGAGTGTCATTGAAGAGCCGCCTGTTCAATTTTCGAACCAAAGGTTGTTGTCTGATTTAATGGATGCTGATCAACACCGTGGTCGGACACGTTAGGGCACTTGAGATTTAGATTTCCGTCTTTTTAGAGGCCCTGGGGGCTTTAATTTCACTAAGAACATCGTCAACCATCTCCCATATCCGTAGTCTACTCGTTGCCTAGCTCCTCCAGGAGATATTTCGCGACGGCACCCGCAAAGCGCAGAGAGTGAATGCCAATTTGTGGCCTATTGTGGTTGAATGCAATCGAGGAGACGTATGATTCAATAGTCCACCTTGAAAGTAGCCAAAAAAAAAATCAAACTCTGAGCTGACTATTTCTTATATAGAACGCGACTAGTCGACGAAGAAGACTTGCTCACTTGTCGGTCATTCCCTTTGAGGCTCACAATCCTACTACTACGAGTACTCTATCCCAATACGGAGTATAACTACCGGGCCTATTTTCTCTTGTGAAAACAGGTATTGATACCGCACTCCTTGCCAATGAACTGAATTATGCGCGCATTACTAGCCTATAGACACAAGCCCACCCCGACTTAGCCTAAGATGATGACCACATTCTGCTGTCTTGCGCACTAAACATACTTGGAAAAAAAGAAAAGCACAATCTGCAACTAATGATAAGCCCTTCACTGCTTCAAGGTAAGGACGCCCGGCTTCCATGGCAAGAGGTTGTAGTCGCCACTGCTGTTGGGGTCATGGCCCTGATAGAGCAACTGGAGGTTGCAAGGATCGACAGTCATGGTTTGATCAGGGTTGTTGCGAACCAAGTCACCATGGCTAATGTCTTCGGTCCAGGTGGCGCCACTGTTGGCTTTGCCTGCGAAGGGTTTATCCTCACTTGCCGCCTGGGCTGTCCATTCTCCACCGAGACTGCTGGCCGTGAAGGAGCGGAAATAACGATGTCCGGTGGACCCGATCGCCTCGACGATCATGAGGTACTTGCTGTCGCCCTCACCGCCGTCGACGGTGTATACTTGGACCGCCTCGAATAGATCGTTGCGGGCGCCACTCAGGATCACCTCGTACTGGCTGCCGAAGCTTCCGGGGAAGTCATTGATGGACATGCTGGATCGGTAGATCTTGCCGTTGTCGCCGGCGAAGAAGAGATACATATTCGTATCATCGCCAATCACCGTCTGGTCAATGGCATTGGTGCTTGAGTCGCTGATTTTGCCGGTGAAAAGCGCCTGCTCCGACGACCAGCCATTGACATTGGTGGGATCTTGGGAGGTGCGGTAGGTGAATGTGCTGGAGCCCCATTGGTAGGCCAGAACCCAGATACTTTTCGGCTTGAAGTAGAACAGGGTAGGAGCCACGGCATTGAAGGGGGTGGCTGTCTGGCTAGCGGATGCCATGTTCGACCACTCTGAGAAGGCGCCAAAGGTCATCGAGCCATAGTTTCCCGCTTCATCGGTAGTGGACGCATAGACAATGTGTTTGCCGTCCGAGACAACATCAGTAAAGTCCTTCAGTGCGGTCCATCCTGACTTTGGAGTTGCGAGAGCATCGGTTGAACTCCAACTATAGGACGACGGAAGAGCACATTTGGCGTTGACAAAGGGGGTTAATGCAATGAGGTAGATGCCTGATGACAGCAAGCTGCCTTTGGCATTGAAGAACTTCATCTTCGAATGGGTTTATCCGCAGGGAAAGAAACAAAAGAGATCAATGGCTGAAGTCGTTGGCCACGGAGAACGAATAAATCGAACGGAGGACCAGACCATGTTCAAATATATGTAGTTACGTTTATGGCAATACTGATATGTGCAGAAGAACAATCGGGATTTATCCATATTGGATGACACCGTCAGAAACGTTTCGGATAAAAGTGGGCTGCCTGGTTATTTCCCCCACTTTGGCTTAGAAAGAACATTCCTTTGCTCAAGCTCATTTTGGCGCACTATTCAGGTCCTTCCCCTAGGGGGAAGATGATCAGCATGCTGCCTAAACTACGGAGTACATTAGCCAGAAACGATCGTCCACCGGAACGTTGCCGTGTCTAGAACGGCGTTCAACACTACCCTACACAGAGGATAATTCCATGATTACGCCACAATAGCTCTTCTTCGGCAGTAGACTCGGGGAAATAATTGCTGTGACAGGATGGATGACTCCCGGGCATCGAGGGGTCTAGGCGTGGACCCTAATGGCGCTAAGCAAACTGGTTCTACTTTGACACATTGCCGCCCTGATAGTGTTTCACCTTAAAACACCACGACCTTCCGGTACTTTCGGCGGGCAGTTGACACCTATCGGCTGAAGAGATGATATTTTGGCTGTCACTGTACACACCAAAATTATTCCAATCAATCAAACTAAAAGTTTGTACTTTCAAATTGGTTGGACATATTACTTTTACGAGTTGGTACTCTTTACCCCTAAACTCCAGGGACTATTTGCAGACCTTCGGCTGAGCATCTGCAGGTTCCCTACAAGTTACCACACCCAGTATGGATCGGGTGATCGGCTGTAGCCGGCTACCATCTCTTCAGGGCTAAACTATTTTTGGGGCCGAGGCAGACGCTGGACCCTGATAGACGGACATTTGCAGGTTAATCGGACGACCGTGCAACAAGTGTCTCCACTCCTGCAATTCCTTCTTGCATTTCTGGTGGGTAGATCGGCGCCTTCCAAATTACAACACCAACCTAGCGATTGCTTCTCGATGTGTCGGCTAAGGACATAGCCTGTTCTAACCAAACATGTCAAGAGCTCCGGATAGCCTGCCTAAACGCCATTATTCATCCCTTCAGGCTGATTATGGTTCCATCGAGTGCCATCCTCCCGGTTTGGGAAATTCGGTAGACAGCTAGATGAGGCAGATGAAGTCAATCCTTTACTGTCTAGACATGCTCGAGCGGGATGTTTGGTTCCACGGTTGGTTGTGTTCCAGTTTCACATCCTCTTGGCCCAGAAATGTTGAGTCTCGTGGTATATAAATACTTCAATCCCTCTTCTCCCTTGTAGAATCTATCTTATAATCTGTCAATCCAACATCATTTTCATTTGGCTCTTTTGAGAAAAACGATCGCTTTTGTCCAACATGGTTCAGATCAAGGCAGCTGCACTGGCGATGCTTTTCGCTAGCCAAGTACTTTCTGAACCTATTGAACCCCGTCAGGCTTCAGTGAGCATCGACACCAAGTTCAAGGCTCACGGAAAGAAGTATCTGGGAAACATCGGGGATCAATACACCTTGACCAAGAACTCGAAGACTCCGGCAATCATCAAAGCCGATTTTGGCGCCTTGACCCCAGAAAACAGCATGAAATGGGATGCCACTGAGCGTAAGTCCAATGTCCTCATCGTTATGGTTGTTATTCAGATCTAATCAGAATTATAGCCAGCCGTGGACAGTTCTCTTTCTCGGGATCGGATTACCTGGTACGTATAGAATTTCCCAACCCTCTACGATAACCGTAGTCGAGGCTTACAAAACCTAGGTCAACTTTGCCCAGTCTAACAACAAGCTGATCCGGGGACATACGCTGGGTAAGTTTTTGACTGACTGAACTGGAAACTATACCAAGACAGTGAAGCTAACTCAACCAGTGTGGCACTCTCAGCTCCCCTCTTGGGTTCAAGCCATCACGGACAAAAATACACTCATCGAGGTCATGAAGAATCACATCACCACGGTGATGCAACACTATAAGGGCAAGATCTACGCCTGGGTAAACTGAAAACCATCAATTTTGCCAAATCTTATGACTAATTACTGGAAGGACGTGGTCAATGAAATTTTCAACGAAGATGGCTCCCTGCGCGACAGCGTCTTCTACAAAGTCATCGGCGAGGACTACGTCCGAATTGCCTTCGAGACTGCTCGGGCTGCGGATCCCAACGCAAAGCTCTACATCAACGATTACAAGTAAGCCGTGGCTGTCTATTTTCCATTTTAGACTTGATTCTAACTTTCACCAAGCCTGGACTCCGCTTCCTATCCTAAGTTGACTGGCATGGTCAGCCATGTCAAGAAGTGGATCGCAGCCGGTATTCCTATCGATGGAATTGGTAAGGCCCCCGTGGTTAATGATATCCGGCTATAATGACTCACCATCTTCAAAGGCTCCCAAACCCACTTGAGCGCTGGTGGAGGTGCTGGAATTTCTGGATAAGTACCCCCTCCCCTTTATCCAACCTGACGATAGCTGACAGCCCCTTACAGCTCTTAATGCTCTCGCAGGTGCGGGCACCAAGGAGATTGCGGTCACCGAGCTCGACATCGCTGGCGCCAGCTCAACCGACTACGTCGAGGTAGGTCACGACAAGCCAAGTACATAGTGTGATTAACTGACACTAATCCCTACATACACAGGTCGTCGAAGCCTGCCTTGACCAGCCCAAGTGTATCGGTATCACCGTGTGGGGAGTCGCTGACCCGGTAAGGACCCCTGCAGTCCGGATAATAAGTCTTGCCTTAGAAGTTGAGCTAATTTCATTCAGGACTCCTGGCGCTCCAGCTCCACTCCTCTGTTGTTTGACAGCAACTATAACCCGAAGCCTGCATATACTGCTATCGCAAATGCTCTCTAGATCCGGCAACTACTCTGATCGAATTGCCGGGAAGATATAACCTTCCGAGGTAGGGGACGCTCTGTTTTGCGCTACGGGAAGTAACTTGGTCTGCCGTTCTCTCGATAATGTTCTTCTGTACTTCTTCCACATGTATCCATCACAATCGTTCTTCTAAGTGTGCGCATTCACAGTAGATCTGAAGCATGCACCTCTAGTGTAGCTCTCCTTAGTATAATCCCTGTGGAGTAGTTTTTGCCGTGTACCCCACCGGTGGGGCCGTAGCATTAGTACTTTACTTTGTTAGTCTAGACCCTGATGTGCCGATGTGAAGCACAAGCATCACACGAAATGAAGGACATGTCTCAGATGCCCCGCCCCATAACCATAACAGCCATCTAACTCTAAGATCCTTGTGGCATGCAGTTGGATGGACGGGGCGGTCTGGCTAGTCTCTTTGCCTTTACTAATAACCCTCTTGGCATTGGCTGGACATTGGACTAGTCGTTCATGATGTCCTCGCTTAGCATCCTGCAGAATTTAGTGCATGTAACAACGGCAATGCAGAGCGCCGACAACTGCCGAGATAGGTACAATGGGTCCTCACTATAGCCTTCCTTCGGGGTACTGAGTATTGTTTGCAGTCGTACTCTGCGCCCATGTCCATTCATCTATTCGATGAAATTTAGCCGGATGCGATGAGAAGGGTTTGGGGTTCAGTCCCTCCTCCGGTTGAACTCTTGTGGCCCAATTGGACAAGGGCTTGTTTCCACTAAAAGCTACTGGCTGGGGGTGATTTAGATCCCCATTTACTCTAATATGTAATACGGGGCATGTCATTCGGCCTGTACTATTACCTTTCTATCAATGCAACTGTTTGGCGCCAGTGTGGGTGCCTTTTGATGTATTTAAATGCTGGATATTAGATAACCACTTCCATCTGTTAGCCGTATATACCGGCAATAGGCCGCGTAGTGTCGTACGCGATACTGAATACACTTATATAGACAAAGAGAGACTAATGAGGCGACTAATACCGATATAATGAAAAGAACTGCTTATGAAGCCTAGGCAATTTCTTTGTAGATTGAAAGGTGACCTTCTCGAACATCACCCGCAACTATGCGGAGTGGGAGAAAACGAGCCAGCTAGGGGCAGTGGTAGCTCGCGACTGCGTGTATGGGAATTGTGTCTGTTATCGTATGAGCTTGGATAGCCGAAAGCGTAATAATAGATCAGAAAGATGGTGCACCGAAATGCTTCCCTGGCAGCCTTTCTCTATGAAGAGGGGACAACTTTTGACCATCTGCGGGCACTACTCCAATAAACATCTGAAAAGCGAGACGTGGAACATCAAAAACTGGTTGAGGGTACTTTTTTCTTTGTCAGACAAGATAGATCGAGATAGGTCACCAATGAACTTTTGCCCGAAACCTGATCATGTTTGACTTTAACACATCGGGCGCTCCTTCCATGGTGCATCTCCCAAACCCATAGAAACATGACATAATCATGAGACTTATAAAAAGCTATACAGACATCTGGGGTTGAGTAGCAGTCGGGATTTAGTCTGGCTGATATCTACAGGCTAGTATAAGTACCAGCATGATCTGACATAAATGTCTCCAAAGTACTAGCCATCATGGTATCGTCAACTCGTGGCCAACGCGTCTTTCTGACTGGGGCAAATGGGTTTGTAGCATCCCATATCCTCTCCCTACTCCTTGAGGTGAGTGAGTCCGACTTGCTAGCAACGTGTAGAAGCTGAAAACTTTAGCGTGGCTACGCAGTAACCGCGACAGTGCGATCTTAAGCCAAAGCCGACGATGTGGTCAACGCTCACCCCGAATGGAAAGGGAAGGTTGATTTTGTGATCGTGTCGGAGTTCACCTCACAGAAACCATTCAGCACCTTGTTTGAGGAGACCGAAGCTCCCTTTGATTATGTTATTCATGCGGCATCGCCATTCAAGTTTGACTTCAAGGATTTTCAGAAAGATTTGATCGATCCGGCAATTAAGGGGTAAGTAAGAACTGTTTGCGCAACCATGATGTAACCGCTGATTTGCACTTGCAGAACGACTCAAATCCTGGAAAGCGCTCACCAACACGGTGGAAGCTCGCTCAAACGCATTGTCCTTTTGGGCAGCGGTGTTTCTGTACTCGATTCCTTCGAGGACATGAGTCGAGAAGGACACCCATATACCGAGAAAAGCTGGAATCCAGCTCGTCTCAAATCATGAAATCGGCAATTCCCCTGCTCATTAAACTCTAGGTAACGGCACAACAAGCGTTCGATCGTAAAGACATTGTGCTAGGTTATAATTTCTCCAAAGCCCAAGCCGAGTGCAAAGCCTGGGACTTCATGCAGGCAAATAGTCCGAATTTCGACCTCACTGTCATCAACCCTCTTATCGTCACCGGACCGATGATCCATCCAATCTCAGGGGAGGGATCGATCAACGAAAGCAATTATTTTGCGATTGCTAGTTTCATCGACGGGACTCATGTCAAAATTGAGGATGTGCAGTTTCCATACTATCACTTTGTCGACGTGCGCGACGTGGCTGGGAGCCATGTAGATGCACTTACCAATCCCGCTGCTGGAGGGCAGCGTATCGTGCTTGTCTCAGGGCTCATTACGCCACAGTTGGTCGTGAATACTATCCGAAAGCATTTCCCTCAACTGCGCAAAAAGGTTCCAGCCGGTACACCGGATAAGGTGCTGCCCGAGGGAATGCAACCCACCAGTTGGGATACGCAAGTTAGCTTGGATATACTCTCGAAGGGAAAGGGTAGCCAGTGGGAATACATCGGCTTAGATGAGAGTGTGAGGGACGCGGTGCAGTCTATGATTCAGCACAATCTTGTGCCTGACTAATGTATTGTAGCCTTCATAATCACTATCAAGCAAAAAGCTTTCTCATGTTGTGATGTATTTTGACATGCGGCACCCACGTGATTAATGGAAGCCACTCCGTCAACAAAGGGCCCGATCGCGCAGGTGATGAGTTTTCACATTGTTGCAGCAGAGTATTCTGCACCTAGCTATTCCCTCATACTGTCTTCCTTGTACAGTTTCTCAAGCCAAGTACAGGCAACTTAGCTTCTAAAACGATGACGGAGGAGCGATCATGGGCTCAACAAACCGTCGATAGGTTCTTCGAGATTCGTCAATCTCCGACCCAGTTAGACTGCGATGACTACGCTCGTAGGATCACAGGTGCTCCTACTGTTCAAGAAGTTACCATTCCGGGCTCGCTGAGCTACACAATTCTTTGCAAAGGTAACTCAGATGGGCGACCTGATACGATCGTGTCTTTTCGACAACCAGGGTCTTCCTTGGACCAAACAGTGATTGAGCTGGCAAGATTTATCCACGGCGATCTGGTACCAGAAGCTACTTGTCACGGCAAAATGCCAGGTTCAGATCCACCTTTGCTCGTTTATACGATGGCCTGTTTATCAGGTAGTCCTTGCATACAGTTATTCGGCACCGAAACTGAGTTGAGCCCCAAAGAGGAAGCCAGATACATGTGTTTTGTCAAACATCTAGCCAGGTTGCTTGTCTCTTACTCCATTCTATGCATTGATACTATGCCGCCATTTGAGGAGATTAGTCAAGCGACCATGATAGTAACGCTTTCTAGATACTTCGCTCGGTGTTGGTTAAATCCACAACCAGTAGATCCTACGGTGTCGGCAAGCTATAGGGACGCAATCTATCGCCGGGTTGAGAAAATAAGAAAGTCTTAACCTCTCATACTCCCCTCCACTACAATTTTGGAACTTGAATGCAGTCTTCCAAATCTGTTCAGTCAAGTATATGTGCAAGTCCTGACACACAACGACCTGTCCCAAACAAACAATCTGATCAGCGAGGATAACTTTGAAATTACTGGTATTGTCGATTTGTCATTGGCTAAAGCACTGCCGTTTGGCATGGAACTGGACACTCTGCTACTATTCACTGGTTACATGGATCTCAGCGGCTGGCACAATTATACGTGCCGTGAACGCATGATTAGTTACTTTTGGGATGAATTCTGGGCTCACAGTCGTGTTTTTGATGATGTACGTCAGCACGAGATTCGTACCATGGCGATGCAAGCCACCAAGATCGGCGCAGTGCTGCGCTACGCATTCCAGCGTAACACGATGGTTCCCCATCCGAGGAATTAACAACGTCTTACTGGGCCTTGAAGACTCTCAAAACTCTGCTATGTTGCTGAATCTTTCAGAAGCTAGGAAGGTTAAATATAGACACCACGCAGCACAATATTGCACATCTCCATGAGTATTGCCCAACGGAGTTCGAGTATTTCGAAGAGAACGCCGGAATATATGAGAGCACGCCTCACCAGGAATACTCTGTTCCAACGCTCCATCCCGAGTTCTCGCCGAGACAAGTTCACGCTAAATTTTGGCCCTCCGGCTCACGGCAAATTCTCTGGAAACACTTATTCGATTTATAAAGTCGCGTTTGAGGCTGGTGCTTGGTATATTATGTAATTGTTGGTGCCTTAGGCCATATATGGAGCCGTATCTCCCTCAGCAAAACCCGATCTTTTCTTGACAGAAAAGCAGAAGGGATGTACCAGATCCTCCTAAAGCGCATAGGCCTAGATAACCAATAGCTTCTCGTATCTTTTACTTACTGATGCGGCAATTCTATCTCTGCTGCCTTTCAAATTCAATTAGTCAATTTCAGCGTTGCCCATGTAGACAGTGGCATCAACATCCATGTACCTAAGCTATTGATGTCTTCAAAAATGCTTTCTCAACTACAGGTGGTGAACCACATGGAAGAGAATTATTGGTTATTGTGAAACAGTCCCTGTGGTAACTCAATCAGATTTATAAGCGCCCAGAAGGACTGATAACCTAGTAGGCTAGATACCAACCCGACATATGCATGCAGAATCAGCATGCATCATCAAGTTCTAAACCGCCCGAAGCACGCACCTCTACAAACAATTGGGTATAAATTGCAGTGAGTCAAGCATATGTGAATCCATGTGTGGTCTGCTGTACTCCACATTTTTGCGCACTACACCCCTTCTCTCCAACCATATTCCGTAACCTGCAACATGTGTCAAAACCAATGTAACCGAGACCTAAAGCCAGTCACTCGTCGCAAGACAAGCCGATCTCACGAACACGTCAACAAGGATTTCAAAACCTGCCCTGCGAAAATCGAGCCCCTCTATTGATCCGCGATCCTCCAATACGGAGTATCTATTCATCCATACCCAAACTAATTCTCAACGCGACGCTGCACGGTCCGTCCATCACACTCCCAACAAACACGTCCCAGCACATCTGAAGGTAATCATCCCGACTAACTTGCTTGCCTTTCGCCTGGAGCCTTTTGATGCGAGCATCTAAAGCCCATACCATCGCTGACGCAGCCGCAATGGCATAATCCCATTTCAAAATGTCGGTCATCCCCCGCTCTATCACCATGATGAGCTTATCACCTACCTCCTCGCCAAATGAAAGACTCGCGCGCGGGATTGCACCGGGAAAATAAGACACAATCACAATAGCAACCGAGGTAATGTGGCATAGGTAAGAACACAGGAATCCAAATCGATACACGAGTTGCGTTCCGCGCCGGGCTGCGATTTTTGGGCCCAACTGGATATTCCGAAATCGACCACATATGACGTGGTGGATAGACATGATCACGGGCAAGTAGAATGGCCATCCGTGCCAGAAGAGGATAGCTTGTTGTTTGGTCTCTGGGGAAATTATGGTTGGGCAGGGAAGAACCATTATCATGATTGGGAGGATGTAGCTGATAGAAATTCCGGGGATTATACTTTCGGCATATGCTGTGGGGCTTGGGCGACTGCCTCTATGCGATGTAGATGATTGGCTAGACAGGGGAGTGCCTATGAGGGTGAAGCAGAGAGGTGCGAACACTCCAAAGCCCCAGACTAGGTGTGCGAGCCCGAAGAAAAAGATGCTTGGTGTCACACATTAGCTGTTTTCTGTTGTTTTTCCTTGGCGTGCTGCCTTTGGGGTTTTGTGCTTACTTCATCACGCCGCGTATGAATGAGTGCGTCTGGCACGTCTGTAATGCTATGATGCAGAACATGGCTATGAAACCCCCACTAATGCTGAAAGCGAGCAAAGACACTGTAATAGTATTTCCTTGGCAAACAGGCCACAGGGTCATGATAGCTATCCCACAGAACCTGTCCAGAAGGCCTATCCCCGTTTTTGTGGATACAAGAGCACTTCTTGGATACCCGGTAACGTGACCAACTGCAACAGCTTCGAGGTAGGGTTCAAACAGGTCATTTAGAAGGCAGAAATAGATTTTGTATACACCTAAAACAGATAAGGCATAGTGGAGTACTCTTGCTGTAGACAGCATATTCGAAGGCGCCGGAGGGATCGGTAAAGAAAACACCCAATTATCGGATAATAATGTGTCATAAAGGTGAGGGAAAGTTGCTCTGTATCAGGACCAAATATATATTGCCAGCTGGAGTGGGCCGAGGGTACTATCCTCCATGACAATAGGAGAAGTAGAGTGCCGAAAGCATTGGTACACTAAGATCTTTTTAACTATCCCAGTAAACTTCCACATAAACTGCGGTTTCATGCTAATAGCGTAAAATGGTCAAGTGATTGCGGACAGGCAACAAGGTAGGTTCCTTTCGCAATGCACTTGCATGAGGCTAATGGTCTTCATGTACATATGGTTTCTGGGCTATGCAGACCGCGTTCTGATAGTATATGTTCTTAGAACGACCAATGAATTTGAAGACTTACGTATGGTAGGGCACCTGCCTGTATATAGACGCCAGCTTGTAAGGATATATGTAGTTCAATTTGTTTCGGTCAACTGCAGAATAACATGATGCCCAGTCTGATCGCCTCAAAAAAGTTCACGAGAGAAAGCTCAGAATATCGTAGATGCCCTTTGACTGTCCCGCCTCATTTTCCAACTTCTTAACCATTTGATCCGCCTCTTCCAATAAGGAAGCGAGTCGTTCTCGGCAGTAGTCAAAACTCCCCGTCGAGTCGATATACTCAACAGCATACTTCTTCACCGAATCGTCCTCGCTCCGCTGCCGTAGTATATTCAGCAGATGGTGATTGTTCGGGTTACTGTTAATACTGTGGATAATCAGAAAGGAAAATTTGCCCTCCGTCAAATCCTCGCAAAATCCCTTGTTCTTGGTGTATAGTCCACTCTGTAAGTTTTGGTAATCATCCCGAATTTGAAAGATCACGCCCAACAAGTCTGCTAGTTCGATGACATTGCTGCACAAAGTCAGTCTGCAGTGTAACAAGAAGAGCTACAAGAGCTCTGATGGATATATGTTTGTAATACGTGCCTTTTAGTTTCGCTTTCCAACTGCATAAGCTTAATCGCCAGTCGAAATAGGCCACCAGTCTTGTTGGCGATCATCTCAATATAGTCCTCCTCTGTGGGACAGGTTAGGCAGTCCCGCCAGTACAAGTCCATACCTTGACCGCGGTGCAGACGAAGCAGTTCCTCTGTGTATATTTCGTACGCTTCGGGATGATTCAGTTCGCGGAGCCTTTCCTGTGCTAGAAAGTACGCATAATTGGCAGAGTTGATTGTCTGCGCAATACCAAAAATGCTATGGGCCACTGGGAGGCCGCGTCGAAGCTTGGAATTGTCCTGAATATCATCGATTCTATTAAGGGGTCAGTGGGCTCTCAAGATATTGTTATCTTGGTTTAGGTGGAAGCTGAAAAGAACATACAGAAGGGAGGCCGTGTGAAGCAACCCAACAATTTCCGTGATAATGCTCAATTTGTCCTCAGGAATGCGCAGCCATTCATTGAACGCGTGAATAAATTTCCGACGAATGTCTTTTCCAGGGGATTTGAGAAGGTAATCGAGTGGCCCTCGAACAATCTGTTTCTGTGTATCAGACAGTGGATTTTCAAGAGCAGGATACATCGGACCGACTTTCTCCTTATCCAAATAGCTTGCTTCCGACTGTTGGGAACTGGCAGCTTCAGCATCTACGTTGGTGGGCGATGAGGGTGCTGAGGCAGGAAATAACCCCGGTGTAACAAATGGAAAGTAAGGGGTATTCATCTTCCAGACATCAGGCGTAGCTGGGTTAAACATTGGGAATCCCAGCATATTTGCGCTTCTTAGAGGTCAAAGGCGCTAAATAGCTCAGGTCTTTATGAAGAAGAAGTTACCAGAAAGCTAAATACGAGCTCCCGAAAAACAGGCACTACTACTGCGATGTACCAATATTTAAGAGCACAAGTTTGTTGTGAGCCTCATGTGATACGGTTGTATGTCCTTTTGCTACGTGTTTTGCTGTCACCGCACGGCCCGGCATGGCTTTGCTGGTCCATTGTCATCAGCGAATTAGCAACTTAAAAAGCACGTCTAGTCAGCAAAAGATCGCAAAGGGCACCTCTTCATATGACGGGTTATCTAAAGAACAGTAGGTACCATATCAGCTGTGCGAAAGGGAGTGGCAAACTGCTTCGCGTCCTTATGTCCCTCTTAGGTGGTTAACAGTATGTTTGCCAGTTCAAAACACGACCAGATCGCTTGGGTGGCCGGAGAAAGGAAAAATTGTTTTGATAATATTACTCCGTTCAGCTCCCTGACCCATCACCTTAGAACGCGAAAATGGTCATTGTGTCCAGCTAGTTAGTGGGATAGCTAACTTCTGATTTTGAAAGTGCTGCCAATCAACATGTGGAATGGCTATACAGCACAACCTCGCATTGTTCTTATGCTTGTGCGCCAGTGCAAAGCTTATGTGAAGTAGTAACGGGAATTTCATAGAGGAAGAAGCATGAGTGGGTCTCAAATCAGGAGTAATGCAACAAATCCCGCCACTAGGCAACATATGCGTATATCCGGTTATGCCTTCATATTTTTGACATCCATTTTCTCCTTCCGACCCCATACTTCCAGCCAGTCCTTCACAGAGGCACTCGATTTCTTCAAGTCCCACAAACAGGCGCTACGCACGTCCTCTCTCTGGATGACCCGTAAAGCATTACGGATATTATAGGGTGAGCCGTATTCCAAGGCACGCGCTACAAGATGACCCTGAGGAGCGTCCAATGCCACCACTATAGGAAATGAGAGTTCGCCGTTGCGCAGGTCCTCTGCCAGTGCACCTTTTGCTTTCGCATAATCGGTCGAATACACATTCTTGCAATCATTTTGCAGCTGTGAGCACCACCTGTGTAGAAATTCAGTCAACCAGGTCCCACTATTCGGGTATCTTTGCACATACGCCACCGTAGTCATTGTAGCATCCATGGACCGATCCTCTAGTACCAGCTGACCAAGCAAGCGAAACAATGCACCTGTCTTCAGCGATGCCATTCTACGATATGCCTCATCCCGTTCCTTTGGAGCCACTGGAAAGCTGGCAAGGCCATCCCTCCGCCAAACAAGGGACATGTCTTGGCCTTCCAGGATCTCCTCCAGACACTGCATTAGAAAGGGTGCAAGACGAGGGAATTCGTGGACGGTCCGATTCAAAAGTTGCGTCACGCGGTAGTAGGCACGGTTCGCAGTCTCTGAAGGACCGTAAATCTTGTGCGCAGCGGGATGACCCTTGCGAAAGTTACTCCCGTCCGATATCTGATGGGGTGATTAGCTCTAAGTCCAGGTTTTTATTGGGGCCATTATACTTACATCATCAACCAAGATTAAGCAGAGGTGAATGCCGTCCATGATCTCGAGGATTATCTGGTACTTCGGCGGGTCATCCAACTTGAGATTGGGCGCCAGCTTGTCGACGAATGGGGCCCAGTGGTGTTTACCATAGATCTGACGAATATAACTGTAGGGGCATTCTAAAGAAGTGATCCGAGATGGCTGCTTTTTGCCAACAAGCCAGGCCCGCTTTGTTGTTGGGAGTGGGTTCAATATGCGATCCCATACTAGCGCGGTTATCGGAACGGCCAGTAAGGCAAGAAACACCAGCGGAGTTTGCGGAATATGGTGCTGGAGGCGCTCCATGGTGATAGCCATATTGAAGGATGAGGAAGGCTCCATATAATTCAATTGAGTAGATGGTATATGGTTGGGTATTAGAACTAGAATTATGTGGTAGCCACGGGACGTACAGGGTAGATATATGAATGAAGTTATCCCTCGAGTGTAACTTGGCTGTTAGCTCGCTAAAAAGTCAAGAAGGTCCTTGTCTTCTAACAAACAAACCAGCAACTCCGCAGAGACTAGGTATCCGAAAGACGCCCAATTGACTGGTTACATCGGGCTTATCATGGAAGTTGCTGCGCTTTGGCGGCTGCATTACATATCCAGCTTCACTTAGTGCAAATACAGCTTTTGACTACTGCCCCACTTCTATATGCGTCCTCGATAATTCAGTACCTAGTGTTATACGCTGCAGAGGCAATTGTTAACCCGGGTAAGATTCTTTAACTTTATATCATAGGTGTTTGATCTTAATTCACATCATGGGACAACCAAACCACCCGACACCGAAGCCATCGCTATCATTTATTCGATAGCGGTCCATTACTATGATAATCACGCCACTGTGTCTACTTTGTGCAGTATTTGCACTCCTCTTGTAGAGTTGAGGAAACTCCTGGTTCGATTTTAAGGATTGTCCGAGGAATGCTGCAGAATCCACGGAAGATATCAAACAAAAGTAGATGTAATTCCATCAAACTTTTGTGGCAATTTTCAGGTGACAACGTATTTGTAAGATCGATTCTTCAATGCAGCTTTCGTCATACGGCGCCGGCGAACGCCACATCATGAATGGCAGCAAACATGTTAGCCGTCCGTATCCACGGCCAGCAGTATGTCGCCAGATTCCCAATCCGACAACGCACATATCCCAGAGCCTTCTGACCAAACGGAAATTCTGGCAGCTAGCACCGAGTAACAACAGCTTTCATAAAAGAGATTACGAGAGTACCCGTCGCATGTGATGTGATCCTGCTTTCTACATCAGACATTGTAAGCCCTATGGAAAATCCACTTTAGCCTTCTTCAAAGTTTTTGGTGTAACTCGGGCGCTACTTGTATCACGGCGTACGGCTAGAAAATGCTTGATGCAGCGAGGCGATCTGCCCCCGGGGGAACAAAACTACGACACTCTATCTTGCAGCAAGTTGGTATATAGAGTGCGACAATCATTCTAATCAACAGAAGTAAAAGAAGCCCAACCGGCTCTGCTGATCTGGTTTGTTGTGATCCTGACTATTTCACACTACCATGGTAGATTGGGCTTGTTATTTGAACAAATTTCCATACATCAAAATCTGGCACGGAGGATTGGGGATCGGATCGCGTGAGTTGAGTATCACCATGCAAGGAATATTCTGGATAGTCAGTCTTGTAGCCAATGAATGTATCGCTAGGTTTAACATCTATATCGTTATACTATGACCTGCAGGTACATCAACTAGTATGCTCCTGAATCCAAACGCACCGGCTTAGAGATGAGAACATTAATCGGTCCAGTATATAACTGTAAAACTTACCTTTTCAGCCAGAGATCGCTTGGAAGCGATACCCTTACCATATTGTAGGCTTAGGCCGGGTGACTTGCGAGATAAAATAATATTGGTTCTTCCAATTTACAGTCCTGACCCACTACTAGTACGCACCATTATATTTCCCTTGATAATCCATGGACCCAGGCACAATATGTATTCACATCCCCACACCTAAAGCAAGCCAGATGCCCTACATTCTCAGCATCTATTTTGTACTCATTATTTTATTTGAGTAGTTCAGACATGACCGCTTCTCAATTTACGGTCATAATTGTGGGAGGGGGGATTGCCGGTCTCACTCTAGCTCATTGCCTCCGACGAGTGAATATCAACCACATCGTACTCGAGAAACGCAGCAACATATGCCCGCAGGAGGGTGCATCAATCGGGATACTTCCCAACGGGAGTAGAATATTAAGTCAACTGTCCCTATTCGAACATATTGAGCCCCTTATCGAACCCCTCTATCGAGCACACATCACCTTTCCAGATGGATTCTCGTTCTCAAGTACATTTCCGAAGTTTCTCCATGACCAGTACATCCAACTTTCTCTTCTTTGCTCTATATAGATAAGGTTACAATGGTCTAATCTGGTCGCTGATTGCAGATTCGGTTACCCCCTTGCGTTCTTCGACCGCCAAAAGCTTCTCGAAATCATGCACACTCAATACCCGGATCAATCAAAGATCCTCACAAACCAACGAGTTGCCGCAATTCGTCCAGTAGGAAGCCGCGTCAACGTGATAACCGAAACCGGTGTGACGTATACGGGTGACTTAGTGGTAGGCGCCGATGGCGTCCATAGCAAGGTGCGCTCAGAGATGTGGAGGATAGCAGATACGGTCCGGCCTGGGTTAGTTACCGAGCGTGAGAAGAGTAGTAAGTATTACTTTGGCCATAACCGTATAAGTCTTCGCTCATTCATTCTCAAGGTATGACAACCGAATACTGCTGTATATTTGGCATATCATCCTGCGTACCAGGACTGGAAGTGGCAGATCAAGTCAATGCGTTTCATGACAACCTCACCTTTATTATCCTCGTTGGGAAGAATAAGCGTGCTTTTTGGTTCGTCTTGAAAAAGATGGATCAAAGATACACTTATCCCGACAACCCCCGCTTCAGTGCGGAGTACACGGCGCAAACCTGTGAGAAACTGGCTCATCTCCACCTGACGAAAGATCTTACCTTCCGTCAGGTATGGGACACCCGAGTGCTTGCTGCTATGACGCCGTTAGAGGAAAACATCTTCCAGACCTGGTACCTTAACCGCATTGTTTGTATTGGCGATAGTGTTCATAAGGTATGTTTTCACGTGGTGCGCTTCACAGGCTTCGAGACTTGTGCTTACATTCCATGGCAGATGACACCCAACATTGGACAAGGAGCCAATATGGCAATGGAAGATACAGTAGTCCTGGCAAATTGTCTGCACGCAGCTCTACTCCGGACAAGACGACAGAGACTCTCGGATACGGAAGTGCAGGTACTCCTTCAGGAGTTCTATTCCAAACGCTATAGCCGTGCTAAGAGCATCTATACCGCTTCACGATATATGACTCGTTTCCAAGCACGAGATGGGTGTCTGAATAGGGTGCTTGGGCGATATATCGTTCCTCTTCTGGCGGATGTTCCGGCACGCGTAGGAACCACGACTATTCGGGGTAGTCCCGCAATCAATTTTCTACCGTTGCCAGAAAGGGACGGGCCTGGATGGAAGATGAACAAGACTAGTGTAGGGTATCATCATGCCATGTTGTTCACACTTTTGCTGGCGGTTGCTATTTACTGGTACCGGGGTGTATGACTTATGATCCGTACTTTACTTGGTCATCTAGTGGGTGTCTATTCATATACCAGTACAGCTTTCACTCTATGTCCAATCCCATACACTTGTTTTTACTATGATAAATATGACAAGACAATACTTATGTATGTCACGCTATGTTACCTCGATGGTAGCACATCAAATCATACAGTAGGGATACCAATCGTAACAGAGCACAATAGGTTCTCGAGGCAACATACAGTCTATACGTTTACCCACAACTACAAGAAAGTAATCCAAAACATCGCCATCGCCGTTCCAACCACCTGCGGCAACGACCATTGAAAACCTGCAGAAGCAGCCCCGGTATACAACGCACTAAATGTGCTTGCGCTTGTTGTGCCAGTAGCCACGGCTGTGCTCATGCCAGCTTGGTGACTGCTCTGGGGCCACACATGTGCTGAAGAGGCGGGAGCAGTATGGTTCCATCCTGACCCTGACCCTGAGTATGGGGTGTACGAATACGGGGAGGCAGTCACAGTGGGATGAGCAACGTTTGAGGTCTGGGCCATTGTGATGGTAGTGCTGTATTCGGTACAGGTTCCGTCATTGGAGCATGATTCGACAATAATCGTAGTGGTGTAGACTGCGTCTCTGTCTGCACCTGAACTGGCATTGGACACTGCGCTGGAGTCTGCAGCAGAGCCCACATCTGATTCCGCACCCATGCCCGCGCTTAAGCCTGCGCTTGAACCTGTACCCTGAGAGGTAGTGTCGACAGCAGAGATGGGGTACGATCCAGATGACACAAAATTAGATGTGCTACCGGCTGGGTTGCTAACTTGGTGGCTTTCAACAGAACTCGTAGGAGCAATCACTGCATCAACACCTTCGGCCGGAACGGATGTGTGATCTGGATATACGGTGAAGACGGTCGCTGCTACAACGAAGGTCTCCGATGTGGCATAACCGCCTCCGGGTGGAGAGCCACTGCAGTTATCTCCAGTGCAGCCCGCGACTGTTGCAATGCGGGTGCTCAGTATGGTAGAAGTGGTAAGCGATGGTCCGACCTCAGATACTCCTGTGGCGGATGGCAGAGAACCGTTCGCCTTGGTGCTTGTGATCTTGGGGAATGAGTACACAGTTGAGCCGACAACCAGCGTCTCCGTGCTCGCATACGTTGTCTTTGATCTCAAGGGACAATTCGTCACAGAAGAAGGACATGCAGTCACGGTAATGATACGAGTGCTCAAGATCGTCGAAGTGGTAATGTCAGAATCACCCATGCTACCCCCGCTCTTACCATCAGCCACGGTAGCCGAAGGAGGATGTGCGGTCTCGTTAATCATGGCGCCACTGCTACCAGTGCTGTCAGCTACGGGGCACACAGTGGTAGAGACTACCAAGGTCTCGGTAGTCACATAGGTTGTTTTCGACCTGAGCGGGCAGTTCGTTACCGAGGAAGGGCACGCAGTTACCGTAGCAGCGCGAGTGCTGAAAACCGTGGAGGTTGTGAAGTCCAATCCACCACTACCATGACCCTTGTTGGCAGCACTGTCCGTTACTGTCGGCGAGGCAGAATCTGTCCGAGTCATCCCAGCGGCCTCGGTGACTGGGCATATTGTGGTAGACACCACAATGGTCTCCGTGGTCACAGAGATGGTTCTGGAGCGCGCAGGACAGTCCGGGAGTGTGGATGGGCATGCAGTAATTGTGGCCGTACGAGTAGAGAGAACTGCCGATGTGGTCCACTGCAGCATGGAAGAATCGGTGACAGGTGCAGCCGACAAGGACGTGGAAAGACTCATCTGGGGAAGTCTGGTCCAAACAGTAGTTGGCGTAAGGACTGCGCTGGATGTGCTCTGAGAGTATATGGAAACAGGGAGTGAAGAGCTCGTGATAGCTCCGGAATACGCCGAGCACTGGCTTCGCTGGGGCAAAGGCCGGGATACATAGCTCCAATGCGGGTGGGAAGCCGCCGAGCGACTTGGTACAGGCCTTGAGCTGGGAGTTGGCGACTCCCTCACTGACGGAGCAGAGGGTGAGGGGACTGGACTCGACGAGGGCACCACGATGATTGATGGGGTGGGTGTTGCTGCCTTCGAAGAAGGAACAGAAGATGAAGAACTCTGTGTGCAAGGCCTGCGGCTGGGCAAGGACCTTGAGCTATAGGACCAGTGATGCTGCCTATGTGTGATAGCAGATGAAGTAGTGGTAGAAGTCACAGCTGCTGGCTCAACAGCCACTGTCATGGCGACGCTCGCTTGCAGCAATAACGAGGCGAGGATCCATCCTCGCACCAGCAGGTGACCCATCATGACAGCGATTGACTCAGTTCAGCAGTACTGAACGAGGAGAATTTAAACGAAAGTAGGATTAAGAAAATCAGTAATATTCAGGTATCATGAGACATAAATGAATGACTTGCGGTTGGAATCCGAGAATTGACTGTCAAAAGAGAGTGTGAGAAACCGAGCCCTGATTCTCTCTTGCAAGAGGCGGGTCACTGTATATAGGTCACCTCAAGATACTATTTCGGTCGGACAATTGACAAAGAGACTACAAATAGGGAATACACACCCGACGGAGCTAAAACCTGGTTCCTGTCTCAGCCTTCGTATTCAGCTGCACTATTGACGCCCACTGGACCGTGGGTCTGTCAACGGCGGCGAAAATAGCCGACCCCAATTCCCACCCAGATTCAAGGACGGAGTACTTATTGCGAGGCACTCCGAACCTACCAGAGGTTCTGAGTGACTGCCATACACTTAAAGCTTATATTCTATCAACCCGTGAAAATGCCAATCCACGGATTTGTCGTCGCCGCGGGCTTTCTGCTCGGTCAGGTCGCAGCTATCACCCCCGCGGCCAGCTCCCCGGTGGCAAGCAGTCAGGCCTATGTGCCCTCGGTTTCGTGCCGTACGCAGCTGGGAACAAGCTCGTTGGCACTAGTTCCTACCACTACCATTACTCGCACTATTCATGACCCGACACCGGTGGTTGTCTTTGCGACAACGCAAGACACCGTCACTGTGACCCCTGACTCCTCGACTGTGACTATCACAGACTATGAGACAACTACGGCCGTTTCAACGGCTGACACGGTCACTGATATTTTCTCGACGACCTCGACTGAGTATGACACTGCAACAGTGACTATCACTCCCGCTGCTGTCACTGCCATTGTACCTATCACCGTCTCGACCACGAGCACCAGCACGTCCACAGTAGCTAGCTCTTCGGGCTTCTCTCCGATTGCGGAGACACTGCCTACAGCTACTGCTGCCAAGCGCTCCTTGATCGAGCAGGACGATTGTTCTTCTTGGTTGGACGACTATGAGTACCCTCAAGAGGTCGAGTGCCACCAGAAGATCATTGTCAAGACCACAAGTGTCTCCACGGTCACCGAACCCCCCGCGACTGCTACCGCAGTCACTCCTATCTCCACCGTTACTGTGACCAACACCATCACCAGTACTTCGATTGTGGTTCCTTCCGATGTTTCGACTACAATCAGCTACAGTACTACTTCTACAATCACCGAAACCACATCCGCAGCTGCCGAAACAACCACCGTGTTCTCAACTACCACCGCAGTGGCCGCAGTGGCCACTGCCACCTTTTACGAGGCGTGCGGGTCTAGCAACATCGCTGCCGACCCTCTCTCCTCAGAATTCGGCTCTTTCGCGGGTCAATACATGTACCTGATCGCCTTCACCAACGTCCCCGGTGAAAGCTTGACTGTTGGCGACACCAGTTCTGCATATGATTGCTGTGTCAGCTGCATGGAGAGCTCCACCTGCGCCATGTCCTACTACAACGCCGTTTCTTCCTCCATCAAATACTGCTATCTCATTCATACAACAACCTGCTCGCAGTCTTCTGTTTACGCCAGGGCGACTACTCATGACACTTCAGCTACCATACAGATGTCTAACGGAAATTGTGGTCGTGTTGTGGGCGTACAGGGATAAGGTTGTAGCAAATGTAGAAGGAATTGTACCATAAATAATAACTCATCAGATTCTACCGCTTTCAAAATCCAGTTCTCTGTTGGAATACTCTCTTGATTGTCCTCAGTAGAAATTAGTCTTTATTCTTTCACCAGGTTGTGTAGACAGCTGACCCAGCCCCTCTCTACGTCTCGAGTCAGTACCTCCCCACACATTATCCACACTAGTTGAAAATCTCGACCACATAACGCCGCTTTGCCACTCGTATCGCGGAAATTAAAGCGACATTAGCGTGTAGCCATCAAGGAAACTCACGAACCCGATCGGCACATATTACCTTGGTAGCAATCGTGATCAGGTACCCGGTGGGTCTGATTGGCCGGGTGACTTCTTAGCACCGTAAGGGATGGTCCAGACTGGAAGCTATTGCGCCACCCAACCCTTTGGCATAGGAACAACTCGGATATCTCCGAGTGCTAAGCTTCACGCCAAGTTGATGTCGTAGTTTTGTTCTATTGGCGGGCAGATCTGCCAATGTTAAGTTCGGTACTCGAAAATTTGTGCTCGCAAAGTGTTGTTCGAACGATGAGAACGGATGAATCCAAGGCTAAGATAGCCGATTCTGCTATAATTCTCACGCCGAGTTATGGAAGGTCGTGGACTTTCCCTGCTTCGAACCGCTAAACAGATAATAAAGTGCCTATGATAAGAGGGGGTGGGGGGGGGGGGGGGGGGGGGGGGGGGGGGGGGGCTGGGCATGTATAAATGTCATCATCTAGGCATAACACGCCATGCGCCTGAGCCTCTCAGGCTAGTAGCGGCCTACTCGTGTCAGTCAGGCATGTACGTGTCGTTGAGTCATACTGTAAGTAGTCGCTCCGTCAATAGCCATGTGACTATCAGAAGAGATCTGTTGTGTCCAATTGGCCATGTCGTCTAAAATGCCATGGTATGAGTGGTTGCTGATTGGATAGATAAGGTAGCGCGATTTAAGGCCGCCCTAATCAACGACTGTTGAACGTCAATTAGCCGCTGCGTGCGTAGCCCCTTCCACTGTCGCTTAGGCTGCAAAATTCGTGCAGAGTCCAGGTCCTGGCATCTAGAAGGCTATTCTGTGAGTCACACAATGATTCTTCCAGCTTATTTCCCATTTTGCAACTCATGTATGACGCAATACATTTAACCCAGTGTCAACCGCCTATGGCAGGGAAGCCCTAACTTGGGATTTGATTTCCGATTCAGACACTGAACTTATCTTTTTGTGGAGATTGAATGGCGAAAACATCAATGATGAATGCTGTCTTCATTCCTATGTTATGAGTACTACATATTCCTTGCAGAGTGCAATTGTCGTACTAATGATCAGCAGTTCTTGGGGCTCTTAAGCCCTCGGTCAGGCATAATCAAGGGTCTCGCTTGCTAATTGTGGTCTAGGTGTTAAGCCACATCATGCATTAGATCAACAGCGAGCCTCTCCTGAGTCACAACTAGGCTATAGCCTGCCGGCTAAGGTGTCTATGCCATCATCCAAATTACAGATACCCAGTGTCTAGTCTGTTAACGTTATCCGAAACGCATGATCAAAATGCTGCTTTAGTCTTCTTCCTGTGAGGCTGCACATTAGTTGCCTTCGCATCATTGGCTAATACTGCTCAATCACTCCACTTGAGGGTAATCTAGGACGCAAGAAAGAACATATTTGCTCTTATATGTCTTCTCCATCACATGCTTGTCTACCGGAATGTCGCTGCCTTTGGCAGCCACATTGTTGCCTTGTAGCATATATACCTCACTTCAATATATCAGCCACTTTTAAAATATAAAAGCCACCTCGTCGCGAGCAATTGTCTTCTCCATTCAGCATCGCTTCATCACAACGGTTCCACACAGATTCTACAGTCTCACTCTCCATCTCCTACAAAGAAGAATTTGATTTCAAATATCTACCTTCGGAATACATATAAGTTGCTTCATCTCGCGCAATTGTTTTTTTTCTATCCAGCATTGCTTCATCCAACGCTCTCAATACTTCTATGATCCCACTCCCCAGCTAGTACAAAGAGCAATTTGAATTTGAAGTCGTCATTCAAACCACATTATCCATTCACCATGTCCCCCACAAATCGAGTGCCGTCTATGCGCATGAACCCTTCTGGTGCGCACGATATTCCCACATTCATCGACGAACTTGCTAAAGATGAGGCGAAAAACCAACCTAAGGGCGACTCGGAGAGTACCCTTTCCGACGCTTCGACACTTCAAGGCAGCGAGCAATCTTCGAAAATGAAACGCGGGCTTTTCAGTAAGATTCGTTCTTTTTCGCCATCTGGAAAACAAGATGCCGTCAAGAAGTAGATAAAAGAGGTGGTTATTTTTATTGGATACCGGGATTTGATTTGAGTCCTTCGAGAGGGTGGTTGCGGTTTCTCTGTGTCCTTTGCATAACGTGTGGTCTATTTTTCATATTGTTCAGCCTATTGTCAGAGATATGGTGTACGGTGTCTGGAAATTTTGTGTCTGTGCTAGTTGACATCCTTGGGCAGTGGGCGCATCATTTGGGTGGGTGGTAGCTCAATGGTTATTTGGAAAAGCACGTTTTCATCATGCTATTCTAGTTAGCTTTGAAAAGCCAACTTTCAAAAACCAGTCTCGTCTCCCCATATATCCTCATTCCCACTCTTGTTAATTAACCTCTTTATTAATGGCGTCGCTGTGCTCGAATGGCGATCACTTCCTCGTATAAATACTCGCTAGTTCTCTTCGCTCTAAAAGCCTCCGATCCTAGCTTCTATCTTGGTTGGGAGGGAACAATTGCCATTCAGCGCAATCCGAACAGCGCTTGAATATCCTTGAGAGCAACCTCAATGAGTCGCTCAGGTAGCTCCGCATGAGTAGCTGAGTAGATGAACTAGGAGGGGCAGGAATGACGCATGATGTGGCTCTATCCGAGAAGGGTCCAGTATACGCTGTATGGAGACAGCTTATGCTATTGGTGTGTTTTATGCAAGGGTGGGCTTGCGGGGTCTTCATATTTGGTACTCTGATTTCAAAGACCACGGATGTCGTGGTGCACTGACCCCTTGGTTCGCAAGGCTGCGTTGTAGGCGGCATTAAAATGGGTGTAGAGGAAACCGGATAATACTTATCAGGATTGACAAGCAGTCCTGCTCATATACCAACAACGATTTCAGCTCTGCTGACCCAATTCGACTATCTTGCGAGTATTGAAGGACATCTGGAATGTTTGCTAAACTGTGAAAGCCTATCTGATGCAATTGGGAGATTACGGTTGTCATTAGAGAGTACTGACTCTGGCCGCCAATAGCTGGTGCACGGTCGTTTCACTGTGTCGTTGATCTAGGATTTGATTGGGTTACAATCCATGCTCCAAGGCAGACTATTCGGGTGGGGGTGCTGCTAGGCACAACTTCAATTCAGCCTTTGCGGGACCGATGGGGTAACCCGCGAGGCTGAGACGCTTAACTTGCGGGAGTACGGACGGTCGACCTCAGAACAATTCAAGATAAATCTCATACTTTTTCCATAATATAGGGTCATGGTTTCGTACCTCTACTGTAAAGAGGTATATGTGTTTGCATTTCGAGCAGTTGAAAGACAAGTTCACTCTGCATTCCTTGTAAGAAAACTGGTCCAGTTGTACTATGAAAGGGTTAAAGATACCCAATGCAAGCTGACCAACGAATGCAAGGCTAGTTGGCGCAGCACATGCAGCACATCACATGGCAAGCACCCTCCCCAACCCCGGAGGAGGAGTTAAAAGAGCCATCCTCCTCGCATTTGTTTCCTGTTCCCCACCCATCCCTTACGAACTTGACTACAGTTACAACCCTTTTTCTGCCATCCAAGATCAATTTCAAACATTCAACTTAAATCCATCCTCAACTCCAGCAAGTCACTTAACTCCGGCACCATGCCTTCGTTCTCGTCTCTCGCGGACAAATTCCAAAACGCCCAACTCACGATTGGGTACACCTTTGATAACCCGACTATTGGAAAGGGGGCGCTAGTCACTCCTGGGGTTGCCCTGCCTGGGCTGCCAACCCGCATGGATGGTCACAAGGAGCTTGCCCTTGTTGGAGATGCTGTTCTTAAGCTGGCACTTACCCTGGACGGATACGTAGCTAAAAGAAGCAGAGGTAACTCTTTCCTCTCCTTTATGCCCAGAACGGTATGCTCATTCTTATATCAGAATATACCAGTAACATTCTGCAAACCAAAGCCAGCAACGTCAACCTTGCACTAGTTGGGCGTAGGATGGGTCTCGACAAACTTGTTATTGTTAATCCATCCCAGGCAGGCATGGTTTCTGACAAAGTGATGGCCAACACCGTCGAGGCTCTCATCGGAGCTGTCTATATGGATTCTAACTCGATTGACGCTGTGCGGTCTGTCTTGGTTGCTATGGGCCTTGACTGGCCCGCTTGAGCTCCATGATTTTGCGTGAACTACCTATGCAAAGTGAAGTGATCTGGAAGCTAGTTACTTACTAGTGGGTCGTACAGAGGCCCTTCTGCATCAGTACCAGACCCCTGGTATGATTAGCTCCCCCCCGGCACCACTACGGGATAGCGAAACTTGAGCCACGCTTGCTATTTTCCGCTGATCCTGTAGTGGTGGAGGGGGGGCTAATCATAGACGGGCTCCGATGACGAGTAGTTGGGCCTTTGTACGACCAACTGGCCGGCAACGGCCTCGAGGCCACGAGACATTGTCTTATGTGGTTCGACATGAGCAGACTTGGAATTATAGTCCAAGCTTCTGTGTGAGGGATGATCTCCTAAGGATGGGGAAGTATTGGTTGGTAAGGAAATGGTGGAAGGTTTCGATGCGATTGTCTTTCTGTGATTGTTTGATGAGACGGCTGTGCTCCCAAATTCGTCATTCGTTGTACAGTAGCAGTCTCAATATGATAAGGTCTTGGTGGAAATACACCGGGATCATGTTGCACAGCTGGTAGAGTCGTGTAGACTTGTACGTCCTGTTTCTACAATTTCCCAAAGCGGGTTGGTGGCCTGCCTGCTTATCTCTGCGGGGCGGGAAGAAAACAAACAAAAAGCAGAATATGCAAAAATATGGTCCCAGAGGGGCTCGAACCCTCGACTTTGACGTTATTAGCGTCACGCTCTAACCAACTGAGCTATGGGACCCGGTTGTTGAAGAAGGCCTGTTAGATTAGCTGAATAAATCAATTATCCTTTTAGCAGCAAAGATCTTGCTTTGGTTCACTCATCGAACACAACCCTCATTGGTGAGGAACAGGCAGAGTTACACTTACATCCTATTGGAGTCATATTTATCAGCCCATTCCGCTCTTGAGCGGTAGTATGATACATATGCTGTTCAGGTCACATAGTTCCTACTACTAAGTAAATGTGTCAGGATCGGTTTCGAGGTTAGTGTGTGTGGTACTAATATATATTGTATCTTCCTTCCCCTGCACTGCAAAATGGAATTTCAAATCAAAGTAGCACGACTTCTGTGTGGATCTAAATATTCTAACAAGTAGTGTAAGGGGCAATTCATGAATCCCCATAATACTGTCAAGGTAATAAATACTCACTCCAATTGACCATATGAAAATGAGAAGTGCTCAATGTAGCCATGAATCAATCCTGTGGCACAGCGGCAGCGATCCGAGCCTTCCGAGCATCGCCTGCAGCGAGTCTCACCGCCGGCCGATCCTTCGATCAGCAACTGTTCTTTAGTTAGACCGTTGGTTGCTCCACTCCACAGCAATCGGATCAGCGTCCCCAATCCCCCCGGTTTCAATGTGAGACATCCCGATGATCGAAATCACAGAAGGGTATATAGACTATTGACAGCCACAATTTCTCGTCTATTCTTACACCTACTTACATGTGCCACTACTTTCATACACACAATAATGATACCATACTATATAGTGAATCGGTAAAACTATGTATATTTCCTCGAATCCACCATGATCCGATGTATATATACAACAGTATCAACAAAGATGGAAACAAAACAGACAAGAAAGTCAAGAGGTATCTACATCCACATCGACATCCAACAACCGAAGAGAAAGAAACATCACATCTAGCTATAATCCACCTCAACCGTCAAGCGCACCGCACCCGACGACAAAGTGCCACCAATACCATCCACCGACGCCTCAGAGGAAGTGTACGCATTCACCACCGTCTCGGCGTCAGTAGTGATATACGAGCACTGCTTATCAGAGTACTGGCAAATACGCATACCCTGGACTGTCTGGTCGGCATTCTGAGCCTGAATAGCAGACACATCCCAACCAGACCAGCCGCTGTTATCGGTATCTCCGAAGTCGAACTCGCCCCAGGTGCAAGAGTAACCGCCATAGTCATCAGTAGGGAGACTGTCGCCCTCCGCGGCACCCCATCCACCCTGGCTGTTCTCGTCGAAGGCAACGTACTTGGTCTCGCCCGCGCCGAGAGTGAAGTTCAACGCCGAGTGTCCGTACCATCCGTCCATCTTTCCATCCGGTCCGATCTTGTTCCAGAAGCTGACGAACCAGTCCTTGGTGTTGCTGCCTTCCATACGGATGACGTACTTGTATTGCCAGGCCTCGCTGGCGCTGACTTCCTGGATGTTGCTGCCCCAGGGGTTGCCCACGTTGCCGCTGTAGGTGACGCCGCTGCTGCTGCTGTTGGTGCGCTCGCCGAATCCGGCAGTCGAGAAGACGCCGTTGGTGGGGGTCGCGGTCCAGGCCTCGCTGGCGGAGCTGCCGGTGCTGGTGGCGGCGGCGGTGGTGCTAGCAGCTGTCTGGGATGCGGCGGTGTGGGTCTTGGTGTTGGTGTAAGTGCTGGTGTGGGTGGTAGTGCTGGTTAGGTCGTCGCCCAAGCCCAGGCCCAGGGAGAGAGAGAGTCCCAGGCTGGCGCTGATGGCGAGGTCCTCGTCCAAGTCGACTTCCACGAAGGCTCCGGCGGTGGCGGCGTCGGTGGTGGTGGTGGCTGCTGCCTCAGTAATGGTGCTGCTGGTAGTAGCGGCCTCGGCAGCTTCGGTGGGCTGGCCGTAGACGGTGGTGGTGAGGGTGACGTGCTCGATGTTGACGACGGTGTGCACCTCAACTTCGACGTCACGGGCGGCCACATGAGCCTCCTGGGCGTGGCCGTGACCGTGTTGACGGCGCTGGTGGCCGTGGGTGCGAGCCAGGGCCGATTCGGCGATGGCAGCACACAGAAGGAGTGACTTCCACTGCATGGTGGAGAAATTTTATGGTTCAGACCAGTGAGTCAATCAGTGAAATCTGTATCCGCTGGATAAGGGGGAGAAGAGTGGTCGGTCCCCGAAATGAAGGAGTTGGTTGGGTATTTAGGGTGTGTCTTTCTAACACCGCTATAACCAGGGTCCAAAAAGGAGTGACTGAATACTGCAAAGCAACAGCAATAAGGAGTGTGCTATGAAGGGTATAAAAACGGGGAGGGGCTGCAGTAGAACCGGGGCGACTTGGGTAGGTATATAGACAGACTGCGCCCTAATCGGCCCCCCCTTCTAGGCTGACTGTCTTTTCTCTCTCTGGGGAGATGGTGGGTTTGATGGAGGCCTCGATCAAGAGGAAGTGGAGACAGGCAGCGCAAAAGGAATCGTCAGCATTGGGCCAAGGCAGGCGCCGCCATGGTGGGAAAATTGACGAGTGTACTGGACTAGTGCCAGCACCTGTGCGCCTGGACTGGGCCAACTAAAAGAGAGAGAAGCCGAAGGTCAATAGCCCCGTTTAGGGCAGTGAAACGGAGGGCGGCGATGGTCTGAAACGCAGGACAGCCATGGCGAGCGAACGAGGATGCGTCGAATGCGGCGCGATGGACACTCCGTTGGCGGATGGGGCTTTTTGTAGATTCCGCCAGCCAATGTTGTTATTGTTTTTTTACCTATTTTTTCTTATTTTGTTGATGGGGGTGCTCCACCATCCAGGTACGGCTCTGGCATGCCATCCCATCCTATCCATCCCCTCCATCCCATTCACCCAATCCTCTGTCTCTGCTCCCCACGTAATCCGGCCCCCTTGCGTCGTCAACCCGTGGTGCAGCAAGAAACTGCAGCGGACGGGCAGCAAGACTGGAAGACTGGACCGTCAGCTGGGAGGGCGCCATGTGGTCTGGTGGGTGGTTGCTCGGACGAATGGTAGCATTCCGGTACCTGTTTGTTGTATTTGGGGAAGTTTAATCCTGAACGCCACGATAGTGGTTCTAGGCTGTGGGTCAGAAGCATATACTGTGTACTACGGAAATACTGCTGTACACCAATTGTTAAATCACAAATGTGACAAGCACAATGGGAGTGCAGAAAAAAAGAATAGAAATTGCCTCCCAAAATTGATTGATAGAGAGGTAGAGAGTGCGTGAGTGGATGCCGAGATCCGAGCAACATAGACTTTAGTCTAGGCAGAGAAATAAAACCGCCTGGGAGTGGAGAGATGAAGACGCAAGAATTGGCGCCGGGCGGAGTTAAGCATCGACTAGCGTTGGCTTAGCAGCGCAACTCCTTTCTCTCTCTGTCCAGAAGATTGATCGATCCCTCCCCTCCACGTGTGTTATCTTTAAGTCTTTGATGGTCCGACCGAGAGAGTGCCGATCGAGAGGATGAACACACAATCCACCTCAGGCAGCATTATAACACCAACCGTAGAGAGGTAACATGATCGTCAGAATTTATTGACACCATAAAACAGCCATCTCTCAAGAAGAAAAGAAAAAGCACAACTTCGCAGCAATAGACGCCACTGGCTGGCGCCTCACCGTCGGAGTGGGGCATCACTTACGTATGCCCTCGGCCACCACCACCAGAAAAAGCTAACAACTTAAAGGCAAAAGAAGAAAAAAAGTTAATAATAGTCCATCCAGCCCTCTTTCCCTCGAATCCATTTCTTTGGCATCATCCCATCGTAGCTGACGACTTCCCACGGTTCGTTTGATTTACCTTATTTCTTGCCGTGGCTTGGCCCATGGATGAACTTCCGTCGTGGATGACAGAACGGACATCTCCCGCTCAGGAACAGGAAGCCTACGTATGGTTGTTAAATAGTTTGCTTGGCGGTAGTGCTTGCATACGCAATTCAACACGGATGGACGCTGGTCGTAGGACTGTTTAGGGCTAGTTAAGGGCTAGTCAAGGGCGAGGCTTTTGAGGAAAGAATTGTGTTGTGTGTATAGGGATAAGGGAGAGAGGAGAGCATTACTCAGCGGCATTCTCGGCGCGGAACTAATCACAAACTAACCCTGTTTAGTTTATTGTTTGGTGTTTTTACCGAGGAAGAGTCATGCTTAGCCCTTTCACACTTCTAGATCACGCTTCATTCAATCCATTTACTTCTCCATAGATACCCTGTATCCACTAACTATTTTGATCAAAATGATTGAGTGATAATCATGTTACTATCTATTGGCACTACACACACCAACTGTGTACCGCAGAACATAAACACCGTGATATGTTGATGTGGGTGTGGCTCATTTGCCACATACCACGGATCCGACCTGTCCACGGAACCAGAGAACACTGTCGGATCTTCCTAAAAGTATCATCCGGATAACTATTTGCCTTCCACCTGGAAGCATAGACGGAGGAGTACGGAACAGATCTTTAATATCCCATCTGCAGTTCACTATTTCTTGATTGGTTCACGACTCACAACATAATACCAACACACGCTTGCATGTAAGATAGCGGCTCGCTCCGAGGTGGGATTTCTAGGCTATCTACCGATTCGGTACATCGAGTGGACATGTCACTTCATCTGCCGAGTTGATTCCTCTCACTGTAGGAAGTCTGCTTTCAATCTTTTGGGCGCTACACAGGATTGTGTTAATGGCGAGTTATCCAGAGGTCTTATGGTGCTATCGGAGGGATCTGGTGCTAGCATACGGAGTTGAACAGTGGCAAAGCCTGGCGTTGGTTGTTTGGACCGCGTTTCCTCCCTGGGCTTCGGCAGGGGCTTCAGGAATGGGCGACGGTGTGGTGGTGTAGTTGGGAACGGAATGCTGATTGGCTAAATGTTCTTCGATGTTTGCTGGCATGCAGGTACCAACAATCTGCAAAAAGAGCTACAACTTTCAAGCCCCAAAAGTACGCCACATGCACAAGGTTCATGAACTCATCATCCGGACATCTACACCGGTGGTCATTTCTTACTCCTCCCTGCAACTCACCGCCCATGACAGCTCAACTCTCCCACAACCACAGGTCTGTCTGCAGTTCCTCGCGCTCTGCATCCAGCACCAAATTATTCGTATTCAATTGGTCCGCCGCCGTCAGCATGCAGTCCAGCGACAGCCCCAATCCCCGCCAATCAAGGGGTATCTCGTCATCTTGCTCCGAGATCTCATGTGGGGGCGGAATCCCCGATCCCCCTATTTCCCCAAGCAGCCCTGACCCCGAGGGTTGAACTGACTCGGTGAGTCGCTCCCGACCTTGGCTGGTAGGCGTGGCCAGGTGAGGCCGCGCGGTGTTATCATTTCCGATACCGGTGGATCGACCCTGCCGTCGCATCAACGGTGCAATCAGCTCTTCCAGCAGCTCAACTTCGGACTTGCGAAGCTGCGCCACGCGGTTTCCTCGCTCGATCATCGCGTCAAGAAGGCTGTAGCCCATATCGCGGTAGCTCGGGTCAGGAAGTGTATCGGGGAGGATGGCGGAGATTACGGAAAGAATAAAAAAGGAGGAAAAGAGGTTTTCTAGATCGAAGGGGAGAAAAGTTTCTAGACATCTATGTCTCAGTATAGAATGTGACGTTACTTGAAGGGGTCCGAACCTAGCAGATTTTGGTCGCGCAATGCAGTAAGGATTCGCAACGATTTTGTTGCGGAGTCGATGCACGCCTGGAGCAATGCTTGCACGGGCGGAGATAAAGTACGAAACTCGGTACCTGCCTCGTAGCAACCGAGGCGCTCCCATAGCAGGCTCAGGACAAGGGGTCTCGTTGTGACAATGATGCACTATGGCTATGAGCAGCGATACACACTATGATTGGGGTGGCGCTTACAAGATGACAGGATAGGGTCAGGCGTGTGGTAACCCCAGATAGTGAGTCGACTGAGTTCGCAAAGCGATGCGAAAAGACCTCATCCAGCTCTTGCGAAAGGGTGGTCATTTCTTGCAAGACGGATCGCACCTTGCGAAGGAAGACTCCTCCCAGTGTGCCATCGGCACTGTAGACAGCTACTGAATGTCAGCACTGTGATTACTAGGCGCCAAGTGACTTACTGTTCAACACGCGCGTTATAACTTGGGTGATCTTGACATGGAGGCTCAGGGTAGCTTCGTTGCGAGAAGATGTGCGCGGATCCCATAAGAGCGTGGTGATTTCGTCGTCCCGCACGGAGTTTGGGGACCCTATCAGTGCCGCAAATTTGCGGTCCAGGATATACACTGTCCACCAAATGTTGCTGCAGCGTTCGACTAATCTTCGTCCTAGTTGATTGACTGGAAGCGCCCGGTGGAACCCTTCAACCAATGCCATGCGCATCGAATGGCCAATCTACACGATCAGTCAAGGCAACGAAACGCTGTGCGAATACTCACATAGCAATAGGCAGTATCCCTCATATCCACCGAGTGAAAGTACAGCCCAATGAGAGCCAGTACTTCGATTGCAAGGGTCGGGTCCTGCCATAACCCCGTGATGTCCGGCAGCAATGACATTGCCCTCGAGAAATACTTGGTCCAGCTCGCCGTGTTCGCGTGGTTCCGTACTGGGTCCAGGAAGGCCTCTCCGAAGGCTAGGATGATGAGAAACTGCACGTACCACAGACGGCATTCTTGCACCTTGGCTGCCGCATCGTCGTAAAACTCATACATATGCCGATAGAACTCATCCTCATCATATAACCGATACAGGTGGGTGAAATGAAATTGCACGGTGCTCACCATGTACAATGCATGCTCCAGCGAGGGCAGACCGCTAATGTCAGGGGCCTCCTCCGAACTGGCGTGACGCCACTGTACTTGATACGCATCGCCATCGACCGCGAGAGGAATCGCCCGTGGGCTCTCTGGCGAGATATGTGCCTGTACAATGGTAAGGATGCGGCGGCTGAATGACCAGGTCGAAGTCGGCCCAAGAAATACTGCGCAGCGGTCAGCAATTTCCCTACTAGGGAAACCAGAAAACCTACGCCATATTCGCTGTCGACGTCCGGTATGTTTGAGGTAGCCCGGGTTGATAAAAGGGTTGGAGGTGAAATGGTCATCCATTCGATGGGACTCAGTTGGATCGAGTGATGCCTCTCGGGGCAACTCCGATGCTCGCTCTGCACTGATTAGATAAGGATATGCAGCGCATGAAACGATCTCTCCCTCACCATAACTGGATTCATTTGTACTGTCAGTCGTCAAGGCTCGCCGGCGTTTGACCACTGGGGAAGAGTCACCGCTTCCTTCCAAGGCCTCCACTTTTCGCTTGAGGGAAAGAAAAAGCCTAGACATATTAGAACCTTTCCTTGAGTCACAGTGATCATGATTCTCACTCTTCAGACACTACAATCTTGCGATCATCCTCGAAGACACAATCTTCACGACGCTGACAGCACTTGTCGCAGGGATGGGTGCCAGAACATTTGACCTTGCGTGAGCGACAGCGTTGACAGCTGGTGGAGTTAGTGGGCATGAACTACGTACTAGTAGTCTTAAGATCCGGGGAAAGAGATGGCCTTACGCATTATTGGTCCGCTTGGGACGCTGGGAATGGTCCATTGTCTCTGACTGAAAGTTTCCCCAGGAACCAGTCTTTCTTTCTAGGTCATTGCCCTATAAATCTGAATGAATAGCATACGCTGCAACGGGTTTGTTGGGACTTGACGATGGAGAGAGAAGCAGCAGCCCGAATCCATTGCTGAGACGAGTTAATTTCCCCACCAGATTGTGGCTGAGTAAGCAACCCCGCCCGTTATCGGCAGATAATCGAGCGATAGAGATGATATGATCAATAATAGGCCCTACGTGATATTGCAGGCGCAAAGGGTGGAAATATAGCACTACACATTAGTATGTAGCTTGGCAGAGGGCTCAATGATCTGCCTGCTGGTTTCCATATGCTGAACCGGCCCGGAACGGTGTGCGGAAGAAGATATTATACCACTTGCTCTCGCAACACCTACAGTAGCCAACAGCATTCGGTTGTTAGTCAGTGGTCTACCACTTATTTATAGGTCTGGCATGCATAGTCTCAATCGTGTTTGGGCAACTACTAATCGGCCAAATCGAGACATCACTGCTAGTTACGGCATATTCTAAACCTCAGAACAGGCCTGTCCTGTTGTGAGTCAGGCGAGTTCTTCGAAATCTACCTAAGGGCCCTAATCGAGCAACCAGATAAACAGGGATAGTACAGAGTTAGTATAGAACCGACAATGCACTGGTCCTGGATGCTTTCAAGTATCTAAGATGGCATCATTTCACTGGCAATAATGAGATCCTTGCTACGGCCCGCAGAAGGCCCTTGCATATGCCGTTTTGTGTTATTCCACAGCCAGCCTTAGCCGAATGTCTCGAATTCACTGGACCACGCCTCTCCTCTGATTAGGCCTCCTCTTTCTCTCTTTCTGAATCTTTATTCCTAATCTTCTTGTCCATTCACGCGTTTTGTAAACAGCTTGATGGGTAACGTGTGATGATGCACATTCCACCACTTCGCCTTTGGCGGTCACTCCTCGTCTGTGTTATTTGGTCTCTCCCTTGCTTCCAGGTCCTGGCGATCGACCTCGATCTACAGAATGCTGGTGAGTTTCAAGGATCTTGACCAGATGCTGAACCTTTGTCGGAGGCTAATAATTTTCTTTGGTGTCAACTAGACAGCATCAAGAGCGTGGCAAGCGACCTCGCCTGGGACCTAGTCAGCTTCTATACGGGCAACAATACCGGCGATGTTCCTGGAAACCTTCCAGATCCATACTACTGGTGGGAGGCGGGAGCCTTCTTTGGCACCCTGGTCAATTACTGGGCCTACACCGGAGACACCACATATAACGAACTGACCGCGCAAGCCATCCTCCACCAGGTCGGTCCCAACCGAGACTTCATGCCCGCCAACCAGACGCGCACGGAGGGAAACGATGACCAGGCATTCTGGGCGTTCGCTGCCCTGCGCGCCGCCGAGCGAAACTTCCCCAATCCGCCAGCCGATCAACCGTCGTGGTTGGCTCTCGCGCAGGCCGTTTTCAATGAGCAAGCGCAGCGATGGAATACGCAGAAGTGCGGAGGAGGGTTAAAGTGGCAGATCTACACGTTCAACAGCGGTTACACGTACCGGAATTCCATCTCGAATGGGTGTTTCTTCAACATGGCGGCTCGACTCGCGCGATATACGGGCAACGCGACGTACGCGGACTGGGCGAATAAGGTCTGGGACTGGGTGACGGACGTAGGACTGATTGGGCCGGAGTACCATGTGTTCGACGGAACGAGTGAGGAAAATAACTGCACCGACCTGAATCATATTGAGTGGACTTATAACAACGGGGTGTTCCTGCTAGGGGCTGCACACATGTGGAACTACGTGAGTAGAAGACCTGCTTGCTGCACAGGGTACACAACTGACGGGACTGCAGACCAATGGTGACGAGAAGTGGCGCGAACGAGTCAACGGCCTTCTCCAGGCGCAGAACAGCTTTCTCTCCACGAACGAGAGCTCCAAGAACGTGCTTTACGAGGCCGCATGCGAAATGGTGGGGACCTGCCAAACAGACCAATTCTCGTTCAAGGCCTATCTGGTGCGATGGATGGCTGACACTGCCCGACTGGCTCCGTTCACCTACGAAACCATCATGGCACGCCTCCAACCGACAGCCAAGGCAGCCGCCGCCCAATGTGTGGGAGGTAAAACGGGGACATACTGTGGGATGCAATGGACTACGGGAGCCTATGATGGCACAGTGGGCGTGGGACAGCAAATGGCCTCCTTAGAGGTGGTCCAGGCCAATCTCCTGCAGGCCAACCCTGGTCCGCTCACTCATACCACGGGAGGATCCAGCCAGGGGAACAGCGCCGCAGGGACACAAACGTCAGATTCATCCCGAGATCCCAGTGAGCTGCGCCCGATCACCACGTCGGATCGAATTGGGGCAGGGGTAGTAACTGGAGTCACGGCATGCTTGGTGCTGGGGGTCACGGCTTTCATGGTGTCATAACAGGAAAGGGAGAATGTGACTGGTCAATGCACTGTTGAATGAACAGCACAAAAATGTATGAGGCCCTGCATAAATATCAATTACATAAGAAAGTTTCTTTTCCTCACTCACCGCCAAGATTATCCAAATTCTGATTGGTGGTTAGCTGAGATAAGCAAGGCCCCGATAAGGCGCCCAAGCTAGTCCCTATACAGTATAAGATACGCCGGGTCGGTCATGCGGACCAATCAGGGGCCCCTTTGACGAAGCGGAGGCCAATACATTCCCAAAAGGGAAGATATGGCAACTCCGCCTGTGTCTCCAATCGGGGTAATCTGGGCAATCTGGGCGGGGAGGAAAAAGTTATATAGCTGCTAGCTTCTGCTGTCCCTCATTCCTCCCCTTCAACTTCAGCAGTGTCTCAATTATTTGGCAGACACCCGGATATAGACACCATGGCAGTCTCACCACACCCTTTCGACTCTATCACCCCGGCGGAAATCGTCCTGGCCACCAAGATTCTGGCGGCGGCCTTCCCCGGGGTCCCTCTACGGTACAAGAAGATTGATATCCAGGAACCCATCAAGAGTGAAGTGGTTCCGTTCATTGAAGCAGAACGGCTGGGCAAGCCCCTGCCCGCAAAGCCCACTCGGTTGCTGCTGGTTCTTTTTCACCGCATGGACACCATGGCCTTCTGCAAAGCATTGTTGAATGCCGACACCCGATCAATAATCTCGGCCAAGGAACTGCCCAAGCATGTTCAGGTATGACTCATGGCGTTCATCTACGTTACCTCACAATGTCTCTGACCGCAACAGGGACCTGGTGACCCGGACGAACTAGGAGAGGTCGAGCAACTTTGTCTCTCTCACCCCGCCGTGCAGGCCGAGGTGGCCAAATTGAAGCTGCCTCCAGGTGTCACCGTCTGCAATGACCCCTGGATCTATGGCACTGATGATCCCAATGAGACGCGTCGCTTGTTCCAGTGCTACATGTACATTGTTGCTACAGACCATCCCGAGAACAACCACTACTCTGTACCTTGCAAGTTCTCCCCTGTCTTCGACGTTCACAAGCGCGAGCTGGTCCGTATGGACTACCTGCCAGGTGGAGTTGATATGCAGACCACCGAAACGCAACCCTGGAAGCCGGTTGAGACCATCCAATACGCGCATGACCTGCTGCAGGAACCCTTGCGCACTGACCTCAAGCCTTACATCGTCCAACAGCCCCAGGGCCCATCATTCAATGTCGACGGAAATGTGGTCTCGTGGCAGAAGTGGAGATTCCGCGTTGGTTTCAATAGCCGCGAGGGTCTCGTTATCTACAATCTCACTTATGATAAGCGGAATGTCTTCTACAGATTGTCCATGTCGGAGATGACTGTGCCGTACGGTGGTAAGTCTAGAGTTATACTATCTCATTTTTAGCTGCCCCCAGCAGACCAGTCTCATACTGATCTTGCGCTATAGATCCTCGTGCACCCTATCACCGCAAGCAGGCATTCGATGTGGGAGACGTAGGCTTCGGTGTCACAGCAAACCAACTCTCCCTAGGCTGCGACTGTCTAGGCCACATCAAGTACTTTGATGGCTACCGGGCTGATTCAAAGGGAAACCCCGTTTTGCTGAAGAATGTTATCTGTCTTCATGAGCAAGATAACGGTCTGCAGCACAAACATACCAACTACCGCAATAACGCCGCTACGGTCGTCCGCAACCGCCAACTAGTCGTACAGATGATCTGCACTGTTGCAAATTATGAATATATCTTCGCCTTCATCTTCGACCAAGCCGCTAATATTGAGCTCGAAGTCAGAGCCACTGGCATTCTCTCTACTGTGCCCTTTGACAACGAGAAGCCCGGTACCACCGTTCCCTGGGGCACTAACGTCGGCCCTGGCGTTATGGCGCCTTTCCACCAGCACATGTTCTCTTTCCGGATGGACCCGGCCTTGGACGGATTCAACAATACAGTCTACTATGAAGATAGCGTGCCACTGCCGGAGGATGAAACCAACCCCTACCTGGTGGGATACACGACCGAGCAGACAGTGGTCCGTACCAGCGGCACAGCAAACACCGACATCAGCCGCCACCGCGTGTTCAAAATCCGCAATGACTCCCACATTAACCCCATCACATACAAGCCCATAGCATATAAGCTTCAGACCTCGCCCAGTCAGATGCTTCTCTCAAGCCCGAAGTCGTACGGCGCCAAGCGTGCCGGCTTCGCAACCAAGCCCATCTGGATTACGAAATACCGGGACGACGAGCTGTATGCGGCGGGTGAATTCACCAACCAGAGCCGGGAGAGCGAGGGGGTTGAGAAGTGGGTACAGCGGAAGGATCCTGTTGAGAATGAGGATATTGTTGTGTGGCATAGTAAGTGATCCTTCTACTATTGTGTATTGCCATTTGGCAGCAGGGCTAGAACTAACACATGACAGCCTTCGGCCTGACGCATAACCCTCGCATTGAAGATTTCCCCGTCATGCCCGTCGAGCGCGTCAGCGTCATGCTGAAGCCCGATGGGTTCTTCACCAAGAATCCTGCATTGGACGTGCCGCCTTCGACGCAGTCGTTCAACAGGTCGACGTTGCACCCGGAGCCAGCAGCCACCTGCTGTGCTCCTGCGGAGAGGATGGGAAAGCTGTAGATGGATGACCGATTCATGAGAGATGACGATCTATGACAGTGCCTTTTTGATGCTCTTGTTTATAACGAGTACCCAGTAGAATACTGAATTTACGCTCATCATGTTTAAAGCAAAGCACAAAGCAGAAGTCCACTCTATAAGTAGTAACTATGACACCAATTCCCCCAAGGTCCCTCCTCCATCACACTACCTCCACTTAGCCCTATATATGTACCTTCCAGATGCTATCTTCACGTACACTCCATCCCCAACACTAAACTTGCATCATTTGAAACCCCCACGCACCTCGACTTCCCCGCAAAAGACCGGTCGGGTTTCTCGGGGATCACTCCGGTCGGCGATTCGTCATGACTAAGCAAGGGACTGAGAAGCTATAAATCCGCCTCTATCTTGAGTTTATCTCCTTCCATCAACTTCCATTTACCCCCCGCAACCCCTCATATTCAAGAACAAGACCAAGGCCTTCTCTCAAAATGTGCATGAAAGTCAACTGCTCGAACTGCAGTATGTTACACCTGGCCTACAACCGAATATCTTCAGAATATCAAGATACTAATGAAAGCATTCAGACAAAGCCACCTGGTGGGGCTGCGGCGCGCATATCCCCTCCGTTCTGGACTCGGTTCCGGAGAGTGAGCGCTGCACGTGTGCACCTAAGGTGGTGCGCGATGGAAAGGAGTACCCGCCTAAGGCGGAGAAATGACTATCTTCGGGGTGTGTTGTTTGTTAGTTAGATTAGAAGGGATTGGTGACCATGTTTTGGGATGTTGATCGTGCTAATTCGAGTTTGTTCGGGGATAGGACGGAGTGGTAGTGGGTGCTGGATAGACACGGATTATGATACGAGGTTATCAACTCGTTTTGCTGTTCTGGACTGTGGTGGTGGTGTGGAACGATTTGATGCAATGTCTTTATGAAATACTTGTGTTGAAATGTGACATGTAGCTCGACGCTGAAGCTTGCTGATGTTAGACCTTTAATATAGGGAGCCGGCTTTCCGCATAGAAAGAAGCATGCCCGGCAAGGTTGTTTGTACTCCGTACATGTGTGCTATCTCAGGAGATGAGGATATTGGGGTGTATATAAGTTGGGTCGCAAGCACAAGAAATCAGGATGATATTAGAAATCATTGAGATGAGCAAGATTCGGAAGGATAATGGTGATGATTTATCGAAAAAGAAACAAGAAGAAAGAGGAATTGGTAGTTGTTGAACTAGAAGGATCAATCAAATCAGTCTTTTAATGCTTTCCGTCTGCAATGCCTCATATGCGGAGGCGCAAAAAAGAAATGACAAGAGTGGGATTCGAACCCACGCCATCTTACGATGATCAGGAAGCTGTGAAGCTGGGTATTAAGGTGGACCTTAACCTGACGCCTTGGACCAACTCGGCCATCTTGCCTTGCGATGTTAATTATGTCTTCTTTTTCAATATATATTCCAGAGAAAGCGCTAGAGACTGCTTTGCAGGCTCGTCTAATCTTCGATTGGTGTCATATAGACAAGAATCGGATGGTACACTATAGCTTATCTCCAATTGATTTAAATACTCTGCATGTTGACAGAATTAACTAAAAGCGTTCAACTGTGTTCGGATTCTTCCATCGTTATCATCACCACTACTAGTCATACTCATACTATCAACATGGTACTGCAACGGGAATTATATATAACACCATATGATTATATGAATACTACCTCCCTAGGGATGGTGGAGACACCAACGAGATCAATCATAAAAGCCAATCTCAAGAAATGCCCCAGCCAACTCAGAACATGTCACATATACTCTCATTCGTGGAGTGATTAATAGAGAGACATTAGAAGGCCAAAGGAAATCCCAGCTCGGTTGAGTCTCCTCCAAAAGTAATTCTGCCTATGCGCTGGCAAACAGGAGAAAAAAGAAAAGAAAAAAGAAGAGAAAGAAAAAAAAACATAGGTAAAGAGGATCAAAGTCAAGGCAAAATCCCATTAATGAATGTTTCCAATATGATTTCAACTTCTTAGTACCCTCAAGGTACGTGAAATTCCAAAATAAGCAGAGAAATATGAGTCATTAGAGAGACATACGCGGTAACTTGACTACCATCAATGAAGAATAATTTTCAATAAGCAGCTTTGTAGAAGTCGTCATTTTTCATCCTTTTGATAGCATATGGTTGCACATGGCTACTGACATGAGGTGTCACCTTACAGCTTAAATTCTCGACCAACCTCCAAGGCCGTCATGACCGCCGGTTCCCCGAACACCTGGACACAGAGAGGGGTGACAGGTCGGCCGATGGAGAAGAATCAAGCTTCTGCCAAGGGAATAAAGCATCGGACGAAAGAGGAAGCGAGAACGATACGGATCCAAACTGGCTTGGGTGGGTCGATTGAGGCCTCTCATCTTCCGCCTTTCTTGCTATTCTGTACGAAGCACCTGTCTTCGATTCTTCAGAACTTGAAAATTTGGGTCAATTCTCCGCCACTTTCTCCAATTTTCTTCTTTGTTTGTCTCCAGAGAGACCTGCCAGAGTGTTTTCTTAATTTACTGTTACGGGTACTCTGGCGTTACAGTGGAGGTGGGCATGGAAATTTCCTGGTCACTAGGAATTCATGAGGGACCGCTAAGGCTGAGTGTCTCACTTCTCCCGCGGCCACAATCCTTTCCCCTCCCTTAGCTGCAAGCCACGGACAGCCATTTACGAATCACAATGACGCATCCAGATTATTCGTTTATATCTCCTTGTCGACCCACAAATAATGTTACATCGATATAGAAAATATCAAAGTACCGTATACTCTGTGACAGGGTTCTCAATCAAATCCAAAAGTAGTCAGATATTTTCTAGTAGTTACGTTATGGGGCCGATAATGTGTTGTAAACCACCACCACCTAAATATACCCCCTCGTTTCGAGACCCCAGTAGAAGCACTAGAGAAATGATGTTCGAATAGCTCCGAGGAGACTGTTCAAATGAGAATAGGCAGAACAATTTCCTTCTGGGATGCGTCCGACGCGCTAGATTCCATGTTTGATCCAGGCCTACTAACTGACTCAGTGTAAGTAATTTTACTGGAACTATCTCAAACGAAGAGGTTATATTGTCAATAATTGAATCCGCTAGAGGCCCCCAAGTCCGAACGGATCCTACTCGTATCCTGGAATGCCGTGTTGAATGTGGACTCTGCTGGCGCCGATGCTTTAATGGCTAATTGCACCATTCTTCTCGGGCTTCGTCAACACGCTTCCACTTTTATCTCTCCTCATCCGTCCGCCGCCATTGCGGTCCCTTGGTTCCATCGCCAAAACATGAACAGGAGCCAGATCCTCTACTTCAGGAAAGATCCCGGCTGCGATAGTAAGCGTGGTCTAGACAAATCATGATCAGCACGATTATGGATTTCTGTACGTTCTCGAGGGCCCTTCCAGGCTTGGGATATAGGCATTCATACGAGCATTATGAGATGACTGCAAAACGAGAGCCAGAACGTAGGGATGATTTATCTCCGTATATATCTGGGTGCTCACCAAAGGAAACTCAATCAATGTAAAAATAGTGTAGGTTGAAGGTCATTACTCACCTAATTCTTGTAGTCTTGGAAAGGTCCCTGGGTACTGATATTTTAAGACCAGGAAAGAACAAGCAGCAGCCAGTCTTTAAATTCGATGAAGGTGAGCGCGGGGTTTTGGCAAGGTCACCTGGTCTGTGTCATCATGCAGGCCATCACTCTGCCCATGAGATTCTAATTACTTCGTTTGGCCTGGATTATAATGAGTTAGGTCGGATACTACTTAACACGTCATGTCCATATATTCTATGCATAGCCCCTTTTCAGATACCAGGTAGTTATAAGAATGAGTCGTATCATAAATCAAAACAATATAAGACCCTGAAACTTTCTTGTATTCTCCTCTTCCAATTCCCTTGATTCCCACCAATATAACCAGATTGTCTATCATGACAAAAACAAAAGCTCGACAAACCAGTTTTCCAAAGATTAAGTATAAGGATGCTGCGGTTTGTCTATTGTCCGTTCACCAGCTTGATTACCTCAAATGTTCTATGATGCCACATTCTTCTCCTTCTCTTTCTCTCCCTTCACCTCCTTCTCCTTAGGATCATCTACCAGCTCATTATTTTGCATAACAAAGGTAGCTACTGCAGCGGCAACCAGAACAGCCATGGCGAGAAAGAACACCCCACGCGCTGCTCGAAGGTATATGCGAATTGCGGTCTCCCTCTCTAGGCCACTCAACAGGTCTAACTTGCTATAGTTATGCGAGATGCGGTCGGCCAAATCGGGTTGGTTGCGGAATAGTGAACTGATAGCCTTGACCGACAAGTTCTGGAAAATAGTAGCCGAGATGGTCTGTCCAATGGTGGTGCCAGTATTGCGCACAGTAAAGGAGCAAGACTGCACCACAGCGAGGTGTTGCTTGTCAGTGGAGGTAAGAAGGCCCATGAGTCTGGTCACGTAGGCGCCACCAGATCCGGCACCGTAGATGCCGAGATAGACGAAGGGTGCCCAGGAGGGAGTAGACTGAGTCATGGTACAGAGCATGACTGCGCCGAGCACAGAGCAGACCTGAACGGGGAAATTGATGTAGTAGTACTTTGCGGTAACCTTGACGAAGAACCCGGCGGCGAAGGAACCGAGTGCAAAGCAGAGTGCCAGCGGGATAAATCGCAGGCCACTTTGGCCCGGAGAATGGCCAAGGACCTCCAGATATACGGGCACGTAGTACATGATGCTGGTGTTGCCGAAGTTGGAGAAGAACGAGCTCAGTTGCGAGGCGGCCACGGTGCGTTGCATTAAGGCTCGGATGGGAATGTGAGGATTCTGGGCTTTGTAGAGTTCCCAAAGGATGAACCCCATAAATCCCACTCCGGCAAGGATCAGGGTCGACAGAACGGCCGCGCTATCCCACGAGAACACTGAACCGGCAGCGTTCATGCCAAATTGGAAGAGGGTGATGATGACCAGAAGTGCGACCATACCGATGTAATCAACAGGGCGTCTGATCGGACGGCTATTACCCTGAGGGATATTGAGGTAGAAAGCGACCATTGCAATGTCAAGCACTATGAAGGGCACTTGAATTCGAAAAGCCCATTTCCATCCAATGGCGTTGGAGACGCCGCCTCCATACACGCCACCCAGAGCCAAGGTAACACCATAGGTGATATTACCAATGCCTTCAATCAGTGCTCGCTTCCTCATCGATACCAAATCGGTTTCGACAAAAGCCGTGATGGTGCCGATGCAGCCTGCACCGAGACCTTGCACGATTCGGCCTAGCAAAAAGACCGACAACGTGGGTGCCAGGCCGCACAGCAGTTGTCCCACAGCCAGTACTGAGAGGCAAAGTACAAGGCCATATCGTCGGCCCAGGAGGTTGGTTAGCTGTCCACTGAATGGCTGCGAGATGGAGAGCCCGATAGGATAGGTGGTGGCAACCCAGGAATACGAGGAGAACGCATCGAAATCATCGCATATATCTTCTATAATAGTGGCTAGCATAGTGGAGTCTTTAAAGCATCAGCTGATTGTTTGCTGTCAATGATGGCGTATGCTGGATAGAAGGGGCGCACATACCTAAAGCACTGAGCAAGACTCCGAGCTGATAACCGTGTGAATTAGAGCCTAGAACCTAAGATTGATAGCAGCTACCAAAAGCGCAGGACAGCAAATGCTCACCCATAGACCAAATAATACCAGCACCAGGCGAGCTGTTGATGGCTCTGGATCCGACTCATCAGTGGTGCCCGACGGCTCTACATCCGCAGTATTGGGAGAGGGTTCCGTCACTGTCACAACCTCAATTGGGTCCTGATCCCTGTTTTTCTCCTCATCTTTACTGATATTTCGAGTATCAGCCATGGTAGGGGCAACGAAGGGGAGAGGAAACACAGGTATAGAATGGCAGCAAGAAGAAAATTGAAAAGAAACAGTCTCAGAAGGAGGGGAGTAAAAGGAAGCTGGGCTGAGCACCCCGGTTGCCTAGTGCTCGAGTACCTTTGGGCCCCCCTTTGTCTAAGTAGCAAGTCTAACCGCCGTCTTTGGCTTCGACCACTGACAGAACTTCCTTTGGTGGGGAATAATGTAGTATAGTGAAATGTGCAAATTACCACCTTACAGTAATTTCATATGAATCTACACGTAATGTTATGTACATACCATGGCTCCATAAATACTCTAAGCCCCTGCAGCTCGCCTATGCAGAACGCCTAAACGGGATGCCATAAGACAAAGTCAGTCGTGATCTATACGGATAATATCATTTGCTGATCTACCATGCACTGGCGGGTCTCATCTCTTTGCATCGCTCCAAGTCCAGACCTTACGAATACCACAAAGCAACCGGCGTCTCGAGCTCAGCTACAGAAGCATGCGTAGTTTAGCCGACGATATTGACCTCTGCTCACCCAGAATGGCATCCTCGAACTCGGTCGAGGCTCGGAGCACCAGTCCCGAATTGTTTAGGAAAATCATTTCGACGGGGAACCAGGTCTCTTCTCAAAAGGTCATCAAGCTCGGGTCCCAATACTGTCTATAAAGAGTGCCTTCACCTCGGTCATATCGACCAGGAATTAGTCTCAGATAGCAAACTGTCCTTCTTCAATCTTTAAATTGATACGCAATTCTCCTTATTTTGGCATCATTGGAAAACCGCTGTTTCCAGCCATCATGAATCAACCAAGAGTTGGAATCATTGGCGTTGGCCACGCTGGCTGCGCGCTCGCGGTCGATTTCGAAAGTCGAAACGTCAAAACCATCCTGTGGGCAGCACCTGGGCATCGCCGAGTCTACGACCGTGTGGTCGAGCAAGGCCACCTAGATGCCACCGAGGCCATCACCGGCCGGTTCTACCCTAGCCTCACGCAAGAGCTGGCCGAGGTCCTGCAGGCGGCCAGAGTCGTTTTGGTTGCGGTGCCGTCCACCGCCCATGATGGAATCATCGATACATTGGCGCAATACGACCTTAGCCAGCACGTCGTCATATTCATTACGGGCAATTTCATTGCGTCCATTGCGGCGGTTAGACTCCAAGCTAAAGCAGTCATGACCACTTCGCGGGCTCCATACTCATCCCGCACGCAGCTGAATGATGCCGGTGATGTGCAAATCCGAATCAATGGCATCAAGAAGAGGCTGGAAATTGCGCGATTCGGGAGACCAGTGGATCAGCGGACCCGCCATCACCTCGGATATTTATTTTCCATGCCCCTGGTCTGGTATGCAAACACGCTGCAACTGGACTTGTCGACGAACCACGGTGTGGTTCATCCGCCGACTATGCTGTGCAACATCGGGCCCATTCGCCGACAGGAGACGGGCCTGTTCTTCTACCGCGATTGCATGACGCCCGAGGTATGCGACCTCATGCTCGCCGCCGACAGGGAGCGGTTGCAGGTGGCGGCTGCCCTTGGCTTCACTCGGATGGAAAGTGTGCTGGACATGTTCAACGCCGACTATGGGGCTCAATGTTCCGACCTGGCCACGTTTGTCGCCAGCAACGCGCAGCTTAACAAACGACCTGGACTTCCTGGTAGTATGCTTGCACGCCAGGTCTCCCAGGATATTCCTTTCTGGTGTGTGCCGGTCGCAAGCTTGGGTGAGGCACTGGGCGTCCCCACTCCGATCATCAGCGGATGGATTTTGTCTTGCAGCACGCTGAATAAGACAGATTATCGTGCTGTGGGGCGGACGCTGTCATCTTTCAGTCTCCCGGATGGGGCATCCAAGGAGGAGATTCTTTTAGCGTTCAGGGCCTTCAGTGATGAAGGGAAAGACATTGGGAGTCTGCCAAGTCAGGGGTTTGCGCTTAGCGCATCGCTGTGAGCTGGAGAAGAAAAGACGTAGCAGGTAGACTCGGTGGACCATGGACCGGGCTGGACTGTATGTGTATGCTAGTTCCTGCAGGTTTCAGCCAGCCTCTGCTGATTGCGTTGATCATAAAAGAAACTGGAGTGGGGGACAGTGCCAGAAGGAATGACGCGCAAGATACTACAACATGGTGAAAACCTTGCCTGATTCGATTGCTGTAGATCTCCACATCTAATTTAACTCTCATATGCACAGAGACAGAATTTGTTTTAGCATGAAGAAGGTTACATCCGGAGACGGACGGTTTTATTCCCGAGATCATAGATCCACATGGAGAATTTAGAATCGATGCCAGTTATAAGTGGGTGACGAAGAGATTTAGTGGAATATAGTCTTTCTCGACTAGGTATAATGCCCCTTTACCCCTCACAACGCCTGAGCTGGCTTGATTCACGCCAAGCAAGGCTAAGAAAAGACCAATAGAACTTAAGAAAGGCCAAGGAAGCTTAGCGAGAACTAAGCAATGCCCGGGTCTGACCCTGGTCCACTTACCGGCAGTCCGACGGGGGACCCGCACCGAAGTATTAGGTGCGAAGACTGCCGTGAATGACAGGGTTGAGGTCTTAACTGTTAGGATTTGCATTTGAGAAGGTAAGGTAAAAAAAAACGTCTCATCGGTGCTAATCGTTCTCACATAAGCCAACCTCGAAGTCCGCCTATCGGTTTTCCTTCATACAAATAATTACCAGCAATTACAGGAAGGAGAGGGATAGTGAGAATGAAACATGGAATATAGTATGTTAAGAAACGTTGGTTCTACTTTGTAATATGGCTCGACTTGGATACAATGTCACCTCATGTCCAATCATGTTTTCTCCTCTCATCGCCTGGCCTAGATCTCGGCAAAAGGAGTCTCGTAAGGCTTCTCCGCCAGGGGTGCCAAACGCGCAATATGACGCCTTTGACCATCCGACCAATCAATCAGTGCCGTATGCTGAGTAACCCGATTGTCCCAGACGACTACGCTATTTTCTTCCCACCGCACACGCACCTGGAAATCTGCGCCCGAGGCAATGTGGTCGTAGAGGAATTTGAGTAGCATGCTGCTCTCCTCTTGTTTGAGGCCTACGACTTCCCGTCCAGCTGAGTAATTCATCAGGTTAGTGACGTCTCCTTAGAAGTGTATGTAGGCATAGTTGGCACTAACACTGTGGGTTGACAAATAATGCCTTCTCTCCTGTAACCGGATGAGTCCGCACAATGGGATGCGTTGAAACCACGGGTTCCCGGCGCAGGATGCCTCCACGAGACAGACTGGTGTTTGCCTGTTCGACGCCGGAATGCACCACCTCCAAGCCGTGCAAGCGTTCCTGTATGGCGGGACTCAGGCGGCGATAGGCCTGAACGTTGTCACAGAATAGGGTATCTCCGCCTGTCTCGGGTTTCTCGAGAATGTAGAGAAAGGTGGTGCCAGGGGGCTGGGCTTCGTAAGAAACATCCGAGTGCCAGGCGACTGAGGTGGTTCGCGTCTCTAGGTAGGCTTGTGCACTGCGATCTCCCGCCGCGCGGTGCACCAGATGGACCTCGGGGAAACCCTCGGGAGAGCCCGAAGTTGGGTGGATGTGCAGCGGGCCAAAGTAGCGTGCAAAATCGACTGCTTTGTCGATGGGCAAGGAGGCAAAGTCCTGGGCGCGGAAAGCAACTACCTTACGCTCAGCCACATAGCGCGCGAGCTGATCCTTACCGGCAGCAGAGAGCTGGCTCAGCTGTATGCCGCGAATCTCCGTGCCAATGGTCGGTGTCAAGTGAGTGACCTGCACCCCCGGAGGCAGCAGCTCCGAGTAGCTCGTGTCAGCATCGAGACCGGGGTCGTGATGCTCAAAGGGCTCCAAGGGGGGATATTTCTGCGCAGGATCCCAGGTAGGCAGGTAGTGTGGATACTGGGAAAAGGTTTGAGGATGTTAAATATTTGTCGCCGTCAATATTAAGAGATAAGAGACAAAAGGAGCTTCAATGCGACTCACCTTGGCGGCGGGGTATCCCTTCCGACCTTCCTCGGCATCTTTGTCGTAGGAGATGGGCAGATGTTCCTTGTAGACACCCTGGGCTCCCTTGGCCGCGAGGCGTGCCGGAGTATTCTTCTCAGTCAGGATCGCCATCAGGTAGGGTTCTACTGTTTGTGTCGTAGTTCGTTAACTGAGGTTCATCAGGGGGTAGAGGAGGTCTTGCTCTAGGGTGATGAAAAAACTCCCTTTATAAAGCCGACGTGTGGGACCGGCTACGCGGCATATTACTTGATGACAATTCTGGATCATGAAAAGTCTCATCTCGCAAAGATCAGGCCACAGTGGAGAGAGGGAAAATGGCTAATGCAGCATGTCCTAGTCTGCCACACCGTCGTCTGCGGTTTTGGGCAGAGATTATAGTTGCATCCAATGGATTTTTCTCAAGCCGCATCAGTGTGTATCTGTTGGTAAGGTAAGTAATTAATTCGTTTTGTCTTTTGCAATTTCTCACTCAGCTCTGAACCCCTCCCTGGGTGTACCGTCGATGGCTAAGGCTCAGGCTTCCTCGTAAGACTTAAAAAGGGTTTTGGAATACCAAACACACGTAGAGATCATCCAACAAGGCCCCTGATATCTGACTTTCCAACATGTCTGCCCAAACCCTTACGGATAAAACCTACCAAACATGGCCCTGGAACCAGCCCGTTATTCCCGAGGTCAGAGCGACAGCCCATGGTTTAATCTTAGGGTGGACGACATCACAGCCGCACTCGCTGGCTATCGATGCTTGGGATGGCGAGCTGACCTACAGCGAGCTAGACAGGCTCGTCCGGCGCCTGGCCGGATATCTGGTGAGTCGCGGAATTGGCACCGATGAGATCGTGCCCTTGTATTTCGACAAGTCGTGCTGGACCATCGTCTCCATGCTCGCCGTTCTTCAAGCGGGCGGAGCATTCCTCGCCCTAGACCCTGCACAGCCGAAAAGTCGTATTGCAGACATGCTTGTCCAAACACGATCCCGGCTGGCCTTGACGTCTATTAAGTACGCCGAAACCTGTCGCGAACTCGTTCCGGAGATATTCGAGGTAGCCGCGGAGCAGCTTGGCAGCTTAGAAGACCCAGAGGACTTACCGGTTGTTAGCCCCGATACGGCAGCTTACACCATATTCACGTCGGGAAGCACGGGAAAACCCAAGGGGGTGGTGATAGAACATGTTCAGCTATGTACCAGCAGCTTGGCAGGCGGGAAATCCATGGGTTTTCACACGAGACAACCCCGCATGCTTCAATTTGCATCATACGCCTTCGACGCCTGCATTCTTGAGATCATGAACACGCTCGTTTACGGTGGCTGTCTTTGCGTGCCGTCTGCATGGGCTCGTATGAACGAATTGCCCAAAGCGATGAATCAGATGAAGGTGACAAGTGCCTTCTTCACGCCATCGCTGCTCCGCAATCTTGATCCTGCTTCTATGGAAACGCTGGACACCTTGATAGTCGGTGGAGAGCGTGTGCCGCGCGATCTGGTGGACCAATGGGCGCCGAGACTGAGACTACTCGTTTTGGCCTATGGGCCGACTGAATGCACGGTCGCTTGTATGGCGTTGGCAATCAGCGAGCCGACGCCGCACTATCAGAGTGGCGATCTCGGACAGACAATCACCGGCCGCGCGTGGATCGTCGAAGAAGATGACTGTAATCGCTTGACACCCATCGGCGGCGTGGGCGAGCTGCTCATCGAAGGGCCGGTCCTTGCACGTGGATATCTGCACAATGACGCCCAGACACAACAGGCCTTTATTCCTTATCCGCAATGGATGCCCGAGTCGATGCGCTCGTCGACTGGGCGCATGTATCGGACCGGCGACCTGGTCAAATATACTCCACAAGGGGGCTTCTGCTACGTCGGGCGCCGTGACAATCAGGTCAAAATCAGAGGCCAACGACTGGAGATGGGAGAGGTTGAGTATCAGCTTCAGAGCTGTCTCACTGGCCTTGCTATCGGGGTCGCAGAGGCCGTGGCTGAAGTGGTCACGCCGACCGGCAAGACTGATGTAGGCCCTATCTTGTTCGCGTTCCTACGCATGGCCTCAGAGACCGCGATTGACCAAGTTGGCTACCTCGACTGGGAGAAAGAAGAACGTGGCTCCCCAGTCATTGTCACGTCGGCTGCCCAGCAACAGAATTTTTCGACCTTGGTTACGGACATCATCTCGGGCATGACACGAATCTTGCCGCCCTACGCTGTGCCATCGATTTATGTGCCCTTGAAGCGGTTTCCACTCTCAGTTTCTGGGAAGACAGATCTTAAACGCCTGCGAAGCATTGCTGGACAGCTGACTGCGAATCAATTAGCGGGATTTACAAGTAACACCACTGACATCATGTCGGACGAGCAGGCACATCCCACCACCCCCGTGGAAAGACAGCTTCAGGAGCTGTGGTCCAACCTCTTTCATGCCGAATTAAAAAGCATCGGTGTGCAGGATAATTTCCTATGGCTAGGAGGAGACTCCGTCTCTGCCATTGGGTTGGTCGCTGCGGCGCGGTCCCGCGGGCTCCTGTTGACAGTAGAAACAATCCTCTCACACCCAGTACTGTCAGACATGGCAGCACACACGAAATTTACAAAGGCGGAGTCTGAGGATGCCTTAGGGATGACTTCAACAATTTCCTCATTTGCGCTGTTAGAGCCAGGCGTGGACGTGGAGGAGGTCTGCAGACTGGCTAGTGGTCAATGCCAGATCGACCCGAGTCTCATCGAGGACATCTACCCATGCTCGCCCGTTCAGGAGGCACTTATGGCACTTTCTCTCAAGAGCCCCAGCGCATACCTTATGCAGTTCGTACACTCGCTCCCTAATTCAGTGGATTTGGAGCGGTTCAAGGCCGCTTGGCGGACCGTGGCCGTACATAACCCCATCCTGCGCACTCGCTTCGTCAACGATGATGCTCACGGAACGCTCCAAGTCGTCGTGAACGAGCAAATACCCTGGATTGAAGTGGATGACCAAGTCCCCTTGGAGTCATTCCTCGCGGAAGACTTGAAAAACCCACTGCGCCTAGGTCAGCCGATGTCTCGATGTGCAGTCTGGCGCCGCTCCTGCAGTGATTTCCCGGATCATTCAGGCTATCACTTCGTTTGGACAGTACACCACTCAATCCTGGACGGCTGGTCGTTACAGCTGGTACTATCTCGCGTACAACAGGCCTATGATGAAAAGCAGCCACAGAATATCTTCGAGAATACCGGGAGCTTTAACCGTTTCATCCACCATCTGTCGACAATAGACACTGACGCAGCAATAAACTTCTGGTCTGCAAAACTCTCAGGCGCTCCGGTGTCCGATTTCCCATCGCTCCCGTCTCACAGTCACCATGCAGTGGGAAACGCGCACCTAGACCTTGCAACTGCGGTTCTGCCCCGGAAGCAGGAGTCTGGGATTACCACCGCAACGATAATTAAGGCTGCATGGGTCTTGCTTGTCGGAAGTTATTCCAATTCCACGGACGTTGTCACGGGTCTGACCCTGAGCGGCCGCACGACACAACTTCCTGCAATTGAGTCCCTCGTTGGGCCGACCATCGCGACCGTGCCATTCCGAGTAAAATTCCAGAAGGACCAGCTCGTCATTGACCTGCTCCAGAGCATACAGCAGCAGTACCTAGACCTACTTCCAAACCAGCATATTGGACTGCGACAGATCAGTCGCATCAGTCCCGAAACCAAGGCTCTCTGCAATCTCCGCACCCTGCTCGTCATTCAGTCGACAGGGAAGCAGTCCAAAACGTCTTCTGACTTTCTCTTTGATACTAAAGTGATGCCAGTCCGTCTTGACTTTGCTCTGACCATCGAATGTACCCTCGAAGCAGCCAATCGTGTTCAGGTTCGCGCCATGTATGACGATCGTGTGTTGGAGCACGCTCAGGTGCAAATCCTTCTCATTCAGTTTGAGCACATACTCCAGCTTCTCTCACACGAGGAACCAACCACTCGGGTCTGGGAGGTCTGCGGCATTAGCGATGCGGGTATGACCCAAGTGCTGCAGTGGAATAATACAGTGCCCGAGGCATCCGACGCCTGTGTGCACCAACTCGTTGATCGGCGCAGTAAAATCCAGCCAGAGGCCCCCTCAATCTGCGCCTGGGACGGGGGGATGAGCTATGGAGAGCTTGCTGGGCTTACTACTTGTCTGGCATCTTATCTCATACAACAGCATGCCGTGGGACCCGGCGTGATTGTCCCGGTGTGTTTCGAGAAGTCCAAGTGGGCGATCATCGCCATGCTGGCTACCTTAAAAGCAGGCGGTGCGGTGGTTTGCCTAGATCCAGAGCACCCTACACATCGCCTGCAAATGATTCTGCAGGATCTAGGCGAGTCTTGTGCTGGATGTGTTCTTACGTCGACAAAATCTGCGACTATTTTCACTGCTATGGCGTCAATAAACCCTGTTACGGTACAATCTAGCCTATTCCAGGACCTACGAGCTTCGCCTTCACCCAAAAATCTGACACCCCCGTCGACTGCACCCTCGGACCCCGCCCTCGTCGTCTTCACCTCCGGATCGACAGGCAAACCCAAGGGTATTGTAATTGAGCATAAAGCCGTCTGCACCAGTCTGCGAGAGCATGGAGCCGCAATAAAACTGGGCACTTACTCTCGTGTCCTCCAGTTTGCAGCCTACACATTTGATATTTCGTTTGGTGATGTCTTCGCCACCTTGGTTCACGGCGGCTGTATTTGCATCCCTTCCGCCTCAGACAGATTGAATGATCTCCCTGGCGCAATCAGATCGCTAGGAGCTAATCACGCCAGTCTGACAGCGGCAGTTATCAACCAGATTGAACCAGCAGAGGTGCCTGGATTGAAGGTCCTGGTATCCGCCGGCGAGGCAATGTCTAAGGACCTGATCGAGAAATGGGCGGATCATGTCCAGTTTATCAATATGTACGGTCCGGCCGAATGCACCATCTACAGTATCGGAACCAACGTCCTCCAGAGTACAGACGATCCTACCTTGATTGGCCGAGGAGTTGGCAGCGCGGTCTGGATTGCCGACGTGGGCAATCATAATGTACTGGCCCCAATTGGTGCGGTCGGAGAGATTCTAATCGAGGGCCCGATCTTGGCGCGAGGCTACTTGAACGACGATATCAAGACCAGGGCTTCGTTTATAACATCACCACCCTGGCTACCCAAGGACCGGTCGTCGCGGCGTCTATACAAGACGGGAGATCTGGCGCGGTACACTAGCGATGGCCATATTAGCTTTGTCGGTCGCGCAGATGGTCAAGTCAAGCTGCGGGGACAAAGAGTCGAAATCGGGGAAATTGAGTACAACCTCCGGCATGTCCTTGCCGAAGCTGCAGTGACTGACCCAGTGGTGGATGTCGTTCAACTACTTGAGAAGAAGCAGAGCGCATTGGCAGCCTTCTTGGTAGTGCTAAATGAACATCCAGATAATGAGAGCGAAGGGGAGGAGAATGATTGTCATCATATCGTTGACAGCTCAGCAGATGCAGTCAAACGACTACATAAACTCACCAGGGGTTTAGAGAACAAGCTAGGAGCCACCTTGCCAGGCTATATGGTCCCGACTGTGTTTATTCCCTTGCGACGAATCCCTCTCTCTGCGTCGGGCAAGGTTGACCGCAGACTTCTGCGACAGCTTGCTTCTTATCTATCAGAGGACGAGCTGGCTTTGTTTCGGGGGATTAGTCAAAGCGAGCGACCTTTCACAAACATGACGACCCGTGAGCAACAGCTCCGGGGTCTGTGGCAGAGCCTGCTTGAAACTAAGAGCATTTCATCCGATGACAACTTCTTCCACCTCGGCGGAGACTCAATAACCGCGATGAGATTAGTGGCAGCTGCCCGCAAAGAGGGACTGGCTCTCACCGTGGAGCAAATCCTGCGATCTCCGGTGTTATCTGAAATGGCAAAGGCGCTGATTCCCTGCGAACAGAAGGCCATAACCCCCGTGGAGCCCTTTGCACTCTTACCGGAGAACAAGCAGGCTGAGCTCATCGATGTGGCCGCTTCGCAGTGTAGAATTCCAACCGCTGAAATTGAAGACTTGTATCCTACTACACCGGTCCAAGACTATTTCGCAGCGCCATGGACACGATACCAGGCACAGTGCGTCTTCATAATCCCATCAAGCATCGATCTTGTACGGTTCATGGCTGCTTGGGATGCGGTTGCCACTGCTCGGCCTTTACTTCGAACTCGTCTTATCCAGATAGACCCCTCACTGCTTGGTCGCACAACTGGCCATGTGCAGGCCGTGATAAAAGAGAACATCCGCTGGCAACGCGAAACCTGCTTGGAGAACTATCTAGAGCGCGATCGACAAGCAGTTATGGGATTTGGCGACGCTCTAAACCGATTTTGCATCGTGGAGGAGAATAGCATGGATGAAGACAGACGACGGTTCTTCGTGTGGAGCGGCTCACATGCCTCATACGACGGTGTCTCTCTGGATCTGACATTCAAGGATGTCGAGAGGGCATATCGCACGGGCAGCCCACCTCTCCGTGGCCTGCAGTTCAACCAGTTTCTCAAACACGTGCTCCACTCCGACATGAGCACCCAAGCCACAGCCTTCTGGCATTCGCAATTGTCTGGCTTTCAGCAGCAGAAGCAGCGCCCCGGTAGTGCGATCCTCTGCACTGTCCCCGATGGCTATCAGCCCAACCCGGAGACCAAACTGTGTCGTGACTTCGACGTTCAGCCGAAGAATGGTGGCCAGTCAGGAATAACTCTGTCCACAATGGTAGAAGTTGCCATGGCCCTCGTCTTTAGCCGACTCCTCGGCACCCCGGACGTAATCTTCGCGCAGTTCCGGACTGGGCGCAACATTTCCCTGCCAGGAATTGAAGACATGATGGCACCGGCAATGACACGCGTGCCTCATCGCATCGCAGTCAATCCTAGCCAGTCTATCTTGCACCTATTATCGACTGCACAGCAGGGGCTCGCGGAGATGGGGCCATACGAGCATCTCGGTTGGCACCGCATCCGGGAGATCAGCGATGATGCGCGAGCGGCATGCGATGAAGCAATTCATCTCACCATCATGGCTGGGTCAAATTTTGTCACTGCGCAGCTTGGGGAGGAGCTTGGCTTGAAGCAAATCTGGTCTGGCAAGACGACTCATGTGCCGTTCCGATTTGCTGTCACGACGACACCCGGGGGCCATGTTAATGCTGATACTAAGTTCGATGCGCACCTCGTACAGGTCGCACGCATGGACCAGATTTTGCGGTACTTTGAGCAGGCACTACGCCAGTTGGTTGACGTGGATGATGTGGCCCAGACGGTGGCAGATATCTGGTTTGAGGATGACTGGGGACAGGCATCTGTGCAGAGCAATGATGTTAGTGCAGGCTCTGCGCAAGCGCGGGCTAGGGCGATTCAGAAAGTTGAGTGAAAATGAATCCGGTAGTGGCGATTGAAATGCAGGTAGAAACTTTTTGAGAGCATGAACAGAGACCGTAAGTAAATTTAGACAGAATGATAGAAGACTACAGCATTAACATTACAATCACATCCATGTCGAATCATACTAACGACATGGCACCATCAAAAGCATATATAAAGATGAGAGCTTGTATAACATCATCACCATCTACTAAGAACAATATCATAGACAGCTCTACCAAAGGAGCCCATCGTCTCCACTCTACACTTTCCTTCAACCTCCCCCTAAACAGGCGCAGCACATCCAAAAGACGTAGCCACCGTACCACCCGGCCCAAACACCTCAACTAAACTTTCAATGGCAGCCCACATGCCCATGCCAGAGCATGCGAGCCCACCGCAGAAATAGAAGATACAAAACAGATTCAGCACCCAGTGCTTCTTGAATCCACGGATATACCGCTGCATGCCTGAATCATGGCGTACCGTCACGCCTGTCGCAGGGTCATACCCTTCTCCAGGCAGCGCAGCATCCTTCTGGCATCGGAAGCCAACGTATAGGATACCTGGTAAAGTGTACGTGAAGTTGAGGATTAGGGCCGCACCGACCATGCTGGAGATTCCACTAAAATTTGGCACGGCAGCGGCGATGACGAAGGCGATCACCCAGTAAATTGGGCCCAGACCGTACCAGAGCAAGCGGCCGCGTTTGGTGGAGATGTCTGGGAAGTTGAGAAGCTCCATGAAGACTTGTTGGTAGATGGTCTTCATGCCGATGTTGAAGTAGAGAACTGGCTTGGTTAGCGAGGCGCATGGAAGTCAATGTCAGAGAGTAGAACATACTGCAAGCGATAATGGATGTTAAAAAGTAGACTATATTTACTGCCATTTGTAGACCTTTCGGCTCAACTACGTTGTAAAGGTTGGAGATGGAGTATTGGCCGTAGAAACTGTAGACCTGTAATGATGATGTTAGTAAAGTGCTTCTCGAGGCAGAGGCCAATCTGAAGGGATGCTAACAAAGGCACCGAAGAAGATGTAGACAAAACAAATGAAGAGCTGGGCGCACAACAGTCCCTTCCAGAAGTCCCATGGATGACGCATTTCAGCCAAAAAGGCAACGAATAGAATAGCACCTCCATAGCTGTCTATGACAGGGTCAGTCGGTAATCTGGAGAATATGGGAATTGAATGAAGGCTACTCACAAACCATCTGGTCGACACCAGTGAACTGTCCCGAGAACCCCGTCGCCTGAATCTGATACTGGTCGGGCGGCGGTCCAGCGAAGACCTTGACGGGCTCGACGACCTTGATCAATGTGGACGAGATGACGGCTTCATAGTCGATACCAAAGTGGCCACCTGCCGCGACCATGCTATTATAAACTGTTAGCGCATGTCTGCCGTGAGAGTACAAGCTTGAAGACTCACATCATGACGAAGTCCGCGATATTCAACCACACGGCAGCGTTGGTCAGCCATCCGAGACGCTGCAAGGACCGAATGCTTCCACAGACCATGCCGATGACCATCATGATTATCATACACGCCACAAAACACACACTCTCATTGGACAGCTGCGACAGGATCTGGCCGTTACCCAGAACCAGAACGGACACCGACATCAGCAGCTGCAACGACTGTCCGATGTTGACCACATGACGACTCCAAGCTCCAAAAACACGATAGTAGGTGTCACCGAAATTGATCAAGGGGTAGCGGGTCGAGTCGAGCTCTAGAAACACCTTCCACAAAATCCAGCCACTGAAGCCAGCGAAGCAACCGAATACAATGAACAAAGCCACGGCCGGACCGTATCCCACACTTGCAAAGACGAATCTAGATTACAGAGCCTCCCGGTTAAATGTTATGCGAGACGGTCATTGGATTTGACGGCCGAAGGATTACTTACGGTGCGTTTGCCCAGCCCAGCACGTCGGTGGTGATCAAATAGAAGACGGTACCCCAACTTGCTGTTCGGAGGGCGCGAGATGCAGTTCTCCATTCCTCATCGGTGACAGCTAAGGACGAGTCCGAGGGAGTAGATGCGACCATGCCCTTTTCACCATCAATCTGCGGGCTATTGTGGGCGCCTTTCTTATCATGGTCATGGTGAACGCCCTTCGAGAAACGGTTCTGAATGACCTTGCCGACGGTCAGAGGCCCGCGCTCCAGCACGTACTGGCGGTTCTCCTCCTCTTCCAGCTGACGCTCAATATTGGCCCAGTACATGTACTCCTCGAGGGTGACGTTCGGATCTAACCGAGCGCGAGCACCATCGGCACGTGGAACCATCTTCAGGTGGGTTTCTCTATCCTGTCCGTATGCTGGGAGGACTCCCAGCACAGGAGGGATCTCCGCCGGCTCGATCTCGGTAGCCATGGTAAAGCAAGGCGAACGACGAACACAATTGCCGGAAGAAAGAGAGAGTAGAGGACGAATTTGAGGGGTGTGCAAAGATCTAGAACTGGGGGAGGTGGGATCGGCGGAGCTTAAGAAGGACCAAACAGCAAGCACGCGACGGGGCGAGTCTACAAAGTACTAGCTGGTAGTGGATGCCAGACCAGTCAAAGGGAGGCTGACAGGAAGATAACGCCCACAAGCTAATAGCTAAAGAAACGAATAGGATTGCCAGAAGCGGGATTAACAGGCGGAATCCGATGGATCACCTTGGGCTAGTATCTACATTATCGCCGTCAGTATGAGCTGATCCAGTACTGGTGATCGATGCAATTTAATAAACGCCAGCGGCAGCGATGCTCGAGCGACGGTGGGCACCCATCCAGAAAGCCATTGACGGTCCATTGGAAAGTTAAACGGTCTGCATCCCCCCACTCCGAGAAGGGCACCACCACTAGCCAGGAACTTGATTGGCACAACAAGGTCTTCTGGAGCATCTGTCGAAGGTCCAAAGGAGGGGTGGCGTCTTGAGTTAGCTGGTTGGGAGGGTAACACAGCAGATAACCGTGGGCTGCACGAACGGCTTGCCACGAACCAGGCGACTCCACCGTCGGCACGCTCGTTTGCTCGGAGAGTTGCAAGACTAGACCAGGGTCACAGGCTTGCTGCGGCTGGAGTCGGATGCCTATGAGCTTAGTGAAAAAAACCTGATATGATGAGGGAGAAGAAGAGGATGGTCATGAGTGTGATTTCCTGGCTGAAGCACGTTATCGCGCCCAATGAGACCTGACCATAATTATTGTCTGCAGGTCAACCATTGGATCGCAAAATTCGATCTGGAGCACCGTCTGATACACCGTAAGCCAATGTTGGCCGAGGGAAGAGCAGGTGGTGTGGGTGGTCGGTTGTGGATGCGCACATATCGGACCAAAGGCCATTTTCGTAACGGGCTGTGGGAAGATAAGGGCGACCCCCGGAGCCAGTGAACCGAATATCATTACCATAATCCATAAGTAACCCAATCAATGAAAGTGAGACAGGATTGAAATTGCCGACGGAGAACCGAGTGGATGGGGACAGCGACCATGCGACCGCTGCACTAGCGCCCCCTTGTCTTGCTTCCCATCAATTTTACCGAATTTCGTGGACCAATTCCCCTTACACAATAGATCTGCCTGGCTGCCACGCTCTTACATCTGGAATGTTTGGTTCCAGCCACAGCGGCACGTAGTTAACCCAAAAGACTCTCGCTTACTACTTACATAGTAGTGTCTAACAGTGGTACTACCAAGTATGGTAGCGCGGAGACGGTCTCGGGGGTCACCGAATGGATGAACCAGGAATGGGTGACCAGGGCAAGAGAGATGAGTGAAGAAAAAAAAAGTTCTGTGGCATCGACTAGACTAGCCGAAAACTCGGAGGCCCTGTGCACACGGGCTTATCAGAAGGACTCCCTCTATATCAGTATCGAGGCCAGTCCGTCCCATGGACGGCATGACCACTCAGTGGCTCTAAGACCCATCCGCTCGTTGCTTGGCCTGTTGCTTGTTTCCAAAGCACGAAGCTTGGCCTCCGCATCGGCTCCAACAACATAAAAAGTGGATATCTAGTCCACTACGCAGAATAAGTGTGCCTTTGGTACAGACCTCGCACTTGGTTGTGGCGATCTCAGAGAAACTCCCCCCTGGTTCCTTTGATCGGAATCACCGTGGTGTGGTACTTGACCGTGGGGATCAAACTTTCAGCTGAGGCTTACGGAAGACCGGAGTTTGGTGGAAATGTGGGAGCAACAAAATGCAGGTGGCAGGGGAGGGGAGTGAGACAAGACGCTGCAGTCTGGGGTCTGGAGTAAAAGCAACCAATTTTTTTTGGATGGGTGGCGGTGGATGCCGGGTGGCAGCATGAACAATGGTCCCCCTATCAGAGAGTGCAGCCTGGCATAAGTGGGTGGAGATAATATGGCGTTGGATGGAGAGGATTGAAGGATTAGTCCAACCAGACTAACTAATTGCCGGCTCGGGCATGCTACTAAGCAATTAGCAAATTACTCTCCAGGGTTTTCTGGTCGGGTGGAGCCGCCTGCAACATTCTAATAATTTACTATTAGGCGATATAACGCAACTGGTGTAACCCCAATATGCAGCACCGGACAGGCAGTCAAATTTCTTCCCGCTTTTCGATACGTGGAAGCCGCAGGATCCCGGTTGCATGGCAAATTAATACTTTGTAGTATGTAGTACGCTGGCCGCAATCATGGTGAAGCAATTGGTTGGTTATCTGGCGCAAATTCAGAATCGGGGGTTACTAACTAACCAACCAACCTCCCCCTCTCCCTCCACCATCTCTTGATCAGGTGAAGGGTAATCTGGTGTGACTTCGGAGGCCTGAATAAGTACAATGAGACTTTTACATCAAGTAATGGAAGGTGGAAGGTGAAAATCCGACAATATCCCTAGAACGAATTTGGCGGGTGAGGGAGCTGGGATGAGTGCAGAATAGTTGGGGGACGGGAAGCCGCCAACCCCATCAGCCCGAGCGCCGAGAATTTGCCGGGTCTCACAGCTCTTGTCTAAAACACACCTAATCTTCTCACACTGTTGATCATACTTGTTTGAAAGTAAGAGTAACTAGTAGCATGAGGCTCGTCCTTTGTTGTGACTTATTAGACATGGGTGTCTTAAACAGCACATTGCAATATGTACTATTCTGGTCTGCGCTCAATGTTGGTAATTCCAACAGTTCGATCGGCGACAGCATCGACCCGTACTTACTCCGTATTTCACACATATTATGACCTCTCACAATCTGTGTCATGCTATCAAATTTCTCAAAACTATTTGATTGATATGGCATATTATCAATCAACATAAATATCATAACATAAAATATGTTTTCTCCTTAGCTGTCCTTTGTGCTTGTTCTTCATAAGTAATAATGCATATGCTGAATTATTATATATTTCAGTCAATCCTACTACTAGTACATGCAGGTAGTATTAGATCAACAAACATTGATTACATGATATTCTTTTTGCATCTCCTATCCACTGTAGTATCTGTGGTCTAGATACGAATAATTATACGATTGCGTCTCTATTCTCTATCTCTCTGGGCTTGCCATTCCTCATGCTATCCCCACCATGTTAAACTCCCATCATAGGTAGTAGATTCTATCCCATGCAAGATCAAGCAGTCGGAGTAGATCTTGCATAAACAGCTAGTTTTTTTTTTTGCCCCAGTAGTCCAATGAGCACCCCTCGCATTATTTCAATATAATCAGACACAGTGTCTTCCAGTTTGAATATTAAATGACTGCACGAGACACGCTATGGTCAAGTATAATTCAAAATACGGTAGACTATCGATGAACGTTAGATAACATTCTTCGGGATTGATGTCTCAAGGACTCAAATAATGTGTACTTATACACACTGCCATGTATAAGACGATTGGCACCGGTTGATAGTTGCAAGCAGCATCTCCTGCGGAGCTTCTTCTGCAGAGTATATTATGCTGAAAATCTGATTGCTGCAGATCATCTGTTGACCGTCTTTTCTGATACTCTCATGCATGGCCTACAAAGATCCTCGCCTATAGAATTGATGTAACGTTGGGGCCCGTATCTCTCATCGCCTGGTTGACTAGACGCGATATATCGTTTTCTTACTTAGAATTATTTTATAAACCCCCGAGTTTCTCAGCATCCCATTAAACATATAGATTAGTAGAGGAGTCAATAGAATGAATATAAAACAACAAATTGACAGTCTCTAGAACATGTTTTAAACATCACATACCATAGAATAGTAAATAGAACACTATATAAAATCTCTAAGAAAATCCAATATCGAGAAAATATTTATCACTCTAATAGTTATTCTTCTTATTCTTATATAGATAAAAATAGGCTGACGCCTCATAGATCCACATCTAAAAACTTGTATCTTTATAATGTAGTGTTATTCCAGATTTGGGTTATAGATATAAAACTCATCAAAATAGCTCACGAAACAGCTCCGGGTACGCATTCCAGGTACTTTCCGCCGCACCGTTGGCAAGAGAACTAGGATGTACAGCAGTGCAGATGATGGCTACACACTGCGTACGCTATATGAGGCTGCGCAGGATTAGGATAAAGGCAGAAACCGTGAAATTTATACTTTGATACCTTTGGTATAGTCAATATAGACGGGCTCACTCGATACCCAGCAACTTTGCGAGCCCCTCCGCCGCATGTTTCCCCAACCCTTCCAAATTCCCCATCCCCATCATCTCCAATACGGTAATATCAAAGCCGAACGCCTGTCTCCACCAGCTGCGCATCTCCACACCCACCAATGAGTCCATGCCCAGCTGCGACAGCGGCAGCGAAGTATTCAAGTCCTCGCCCGTCTTGAGCAAGAAGTTGAACAGCTTATTCCCGATTTCTCTTGCCAACAGGCTAGCGCTTTCCCCGGCCCTCAATATATACGGGTCAGATTTTGCCCGGGCGAGGAAGGCCTGCAGAGTATCACCGTCGGAACTGACGTCGTGTACATTAGTCTTCGCGACGGAATTATGGTATAGCGCCATACGGCGATCCTTTCTCCAAAACACGCGACTCTCGGGACTGCTGAGGGGGACGGATGTGCGAAGACCAAGTATGAAATTGTTTTTGTCTACAAATCCTAGGCCATCGTTGACATTATTGGCCTCGTTGGGGTTCACAGAGAAAGAGATCGTGGCCAATACGGCCTCGAGAAGCTCAGACTCGGTAAGATGGTGCGCACCCGTCTGCTTCAGGCGCTGGAGCAGGGCGTCGTCCTCCGCCACATAGCCGATGTCCTGGACCGCGCCGATATCGACCGCGGAGGCGGCCAGCCCCAGTCTGGTCCGGTACTGGACGAAGGCGTCCAGGAAAGTATTTGCTCCGGCGTAGTTGGCCTGGCCGGGCAGACCCAGCACACCGGACGTGGATGAGAAGAGCACGAAGAAGTCGAGGGTGATCCCGGCGGCCTGGGTGGCGTTGTGGAGGTGCCATGTTCCTTGGATCTTGGGCGCAACCGCGGTGTTCCATTCGGCCAGCGTCATATGGGGGAACGCTTGGTCTCGGAGGACCATGGACAGTTGGAGTACGCCTTTCAGGTTGGGTGCTTGCTGGATGGCTCGTTTGACATCAGCTTCGTTGGTGACGCTGCCCTGGACGAGGCGAACGTCGCATCCCATGCTCTCAAGCTCCCGGACGAAGTCGTTATCGTTCGGACCCTGGCCCGCGCTCCGCGAAAGGAAGACCAGACGGCGGGCCTTGTGCTCCACGAGACGCCGCGAAACGGCGCGTCCGAGACCACCCAGACCACCGATCATGAGGTAGGATGCGGTGCTATCCAAGTCGAGGCTCGTGGCAGTTTTCACTAATGTCGGGTCGATCTTGGGGCTGCCATCCGCGTTTCGCAAGAGGATGACCAGTTTGCCGAGATGGGTTCCTTGTTGCATGTGTCGGAACGCATCCTCCATAGCCGAGGCATCGAACGTTGTAATGGGCCTGATGGGTGTGATATGACCGGCTCGGAAGTACGTCATGATCAGTTCGAGAAGTCTGTTTTCATGAAAGCCAGTCCAGTCAGCGTCCCCTGGTTCATTGCTATGTCGGGGTCTCAACGTACCGTTTGCACTCCAATGGCCGCTTGTCTCGCAGCAAGTCTAAGTAAAAGCAGGAATACGTGCGGCTGCCCAGGAAGTGGCCCATGTCGAGCCGAGCGGCCCCAAGCATGTCACGCTTACCGATGTCCACCATCTTCCCGAACTCAGCGAGGCATAGCCAGGTCGCGTGTAACAGCTCGCCGGAGAGGGAGTTCAGAGCCAGATCGACTCCCTGGCCTTGGGTTTCGCGCATCACACCTTCCACAAAGCTTGAGTCATGGGAGTTGAAGATGCGATTTCTCGGCAACCCATATGTTTCCATCAGGTATTGTACCTTCTCCTCACTGCCTACCGTGGCATAAATGGTGGCACCTGCCATGCGGGCCAGCTGGATGGCGGCGATCCCCACGCCACCGCATGCACTGTGGATCAGGATCGACTTGGCTGGAAGTCAGCATTGCGGCCCCCTGGCCTGACACGGATGGGGCGGGCTTACCTGTCCTTCCTGTAATCCGCCCAGATCGAACATCGAGTAGATGGCGGTAGCAAACACGACCGGCATGGTTGCTGCGTCTTCGAAGGAGAGGTCCGAGGGGATCTTCGCACAGAGCTTCTCGGAGGCAATGGCATGGGTTGCGAAAGTGCCATCTTCGCGCAGCATGACCCGGTCTCCGGGACACAGCCGCTTGACGTCGGGGCCCACATGGCGAACGATTCCGCTGGCTTCGACGCCCAGGCCATTGTCGGGAAACGGAACCACAGCCAATGCGCCCAAGACATCCTGACGGAGGAGGTTAGTAAGTAACCCATTAGGTATGCATGGTGGAGAGGGTCACGTTCTTACCTTGAAGTTCAGGCCGGCTGCGTAGATCTCCACCTCGACTTCGTCCCCAGCCAGGGGTCTTCCTTTCGAAGCCTTCCAGTGCAAAGAGCTTAGGCGGCTGGGCTTCTCCATGTCAAGAGCAACCCAGTCGTCTGGCTCGTTCACAACGGCGAGGTCATCCTTGAGCGAGAAGGGGAAGATCCGTCCCACAGAGACGGTCCCACCCACAATGGTATACTCATAATCCGGATTCAAAGATTCGTCCTTCGCTCGGGTATGGAATTTGGCATAGACGTCGATAATCTTGTCCAGCGATGAACGAATGTCATCTACTTCACACGTCGCAAAGTCCACCAGCATCTCTGAGCGAATGGAGCGTGCGGCGCCGATGACCTGGGCAAACCGGGGGTCGGGGCATTGGACTTGAGAGAGATGCGTGATCCACAGCAGACCCGACTCCCCAACGGTATTCAGAAGGTGCTGGAAGGCTGCGAAACGAGCCGCATCGATGTCTTCAAAGAATGGGCGAGTGCAGTCGAGGAGGGAGATGATGTCCTGGGACTGGGGCAGTTCGTCCCCGAGCCGGAATGTCTGCACCTCGTAGCCTCGGTTGACAAGTTGGCACGACAAGGAGTCCGCATAGCTGTCATCACTGGGGTCACAGAGCAAACTGACAGTTCTCTTCTGGTCTGTACCATCATCGACCCGTGGCTTGGCCACCATGATGGCGTTCAGCTGATGCGGCTGCTCGCCGTCAAGCACCACCGCATCCAAGCCGGCGAAACCGGCGTCTTTCAGCTCCAACTCCCAGCGAGCCGGGGATACACAAGGCTCGTCCGGTCTTCCATCCGGCCCACCGTACCACCAGCCTGCCAGCGTGCCGAAGATGAAGTTGGGCCACTTGGAGGGGGAGTTCAGCTCGTGAAGGAGCAGTCGTCCGTTCGGGTCGAGGAGCTTGTGGACATTTCGGAGGGTTTCACCGAGGTATTTTGTTGCATGCAGAACGTTGGTCGCGAGGATCAGATCGTACTTCTCCCCATCGAACCCCTGCTCGGACGGGTCTTTGCTGATGTCCAGGGTGCGATACTCAATGTTGCTCTCCCCACTGAACCGCTCCTTGGCCGTCACAAAGAAGCCCGAGGAAATATCCGTGTACGTGTACTTGGAGAAAAGGGAGGGTGTGGAGCTGGTGCCAGTCGAGCCGGGCAGGCGTAGCAGCTTCAGAATGCTCGCCGTTGTCGCGCCCGTCCCGGCTCCGATCTCCAGGATTCGCAGGTTGGGCTTAGTATGGGCTAGGTGTTGGATGAATTGGGACCGGTCACACGCGTCGGTGACGACATAGAGCTTATACAAGGTGTCATCCGCGAGAAGGATATCGAGGGCTTCTGTTTCTCCGGTGAAGAGCGCCGCGATGTTGGTGGCTACTTTCTGGAGGCCGATGGCGCAGTCGACGACGGGCGTCTCGGACAGGTGTTGCACCAGTCGCTCGATCCTCTTCACAAGGGCCTCATCCTCAAGGGCGAGGAAGGTGGACCATTTTTCGTCAAGCCGCATTGCTTCCACCTGGCGGTTCATCCAGTCGCGATACAGGGGCATATGCGCCACCGGCGTGCTAGCATCTTTGATGCGCCGACTGCCGTAGATCATACCTAGCCGAGCCAGCTCGTCCAAAGCCGGCGTGTACAGATGCCGAGGAAACGACGGCTTGATCAGCGTGGTGGCGTCCAAGAAGTCGATATGCGGTCCCCATGTCAGGCGGGCGGTGGTTTCAAGGCCGTCGGTCTTTCCTGCCTCGCCGGCCTCTTCGAGAGGCGAAAGCTTCAAGCCTTCCATGTGCATGACAATGGTACCATCTGCGATGCATTGCTGGACCTGCCCAATCACTTCCCCGGTGCCTTTGACACACGTGGCTGAGGCGGACACCTGCAGGTCATCTACCCTGGTGGGGGTTTGCCGGACTATCACCCGGTCGATCTTGGTGGGCACTCGTCGGTATGCCTTGGCGTCCACAGTGCCCAGGAGGCCAGCAAGAGGAGCCGCCTGAATACAGGCGTCAATGATAGTGGGATGGAGGTGATAGTACATTTCATCTCCCGCTTGGTCCGTGGTCACCTTCGCTCTTGCCAACCTCTCCTGAGTGCCCGTTTCAATATTGGTCAGGCGCTTGAACATCGGCCCGAAGTTCAAGCCGGCACGGTCCATGAGGTCGTAGTACTTCTTAGATTGCAACTTTCGCGGCAGGGGATCCCTGAGGGCGGCCGTCTGCGTCTGCCCTTCCTCCGCCGCCGTCCCCGAGGCCTGACCAGTGCAGTGCTTGGTCCACGTCTGACCGTTGTACGAGGCGATGGTAAACTCCCACCATTGACTATCTAGCGAATCGGTTAGCCGATGGGGATGGAAGGTCGTTATTACCTCAGTGGGTGTTCCCTCGCGCAGCACTAGGGCCGAACTGATCACCACGCCTCGCAAGGTGTAGCTCCCCTGTGATCCGCTGATCTGTCGGATCGCCTCTCCGATCATTGACAGATAGCCCGCACACGGCAGAATGATATCCACCTCGACTTTGTGATCTCGCAGCCAGCCAGAGTCCTCAACCCGCATCATGTTTCTCCAGCTCGGCTCCAGATCAGTGCCGAGCAGCTGACGATCGCCGAGAAGCGGATGGCTGGCAAACTGGCGGAATCTCCAGTCGCGGGAGATGCGGGACTCGCGCCAGTAGTCGACCCCATGGTCCCAGGGGTACCGAGGCAGTCCGGGCAAGCAGGATCCCGAGGGGTAGAGGGCATTCAGATTGACCGGAAAGTTCAGCTGGAAGAGCTTTCCGAGCGCTGTCAGGAACGACTCCACGCAATTCTCACCGCGGCTCATCGCCGCGATGTATGGGGCCGAGTTCGAAGACGCTCGAGCAGTCAGGATCTGTCTCACGGGCCCTGCGAGCGCGGCATGTGGCCCGATCTCCAGAAAGGCGACATTGTCGACATGATCTAGGAGCTCGGAGACCGCGGCCCGGAAAAGCACGGGGGATTCCAGGTTGCGTTGCCAGTAGGCCGCGTCCAGAGGCAGATCCTGTTCCTGCTTGCCGGTGACGCTGGAGAAGAACAGCTTCCCGGGTCGCCTCCCAACCAGGTCGCGGCCGATAGTGGTTGAGTAGTTGGTTCCGACCTCGCGCATGTGGTAGGAATGATAGGCCTTATCAACTTTGAGAAGCCGAGCCGTGACCGTGGGATGCTCCTTTTTGATCCGTGCAACCGCGGCTTGCACCTCCTGGGTGTCTCCGGAGAGAGTGACGCTCTTGGGGGAATTCTCACAGGCGACTACAACAGTGGGAGGTGAGAGAAAGCTCTGGACCTCCTCCCAGCCTAGCCCTATTGCCGCCATGGCGCCAGGGCGGGTTTGCCCTGCAGCGGCCAGACCTCGCTGCCAGGCTGCAATGATGGCCTCCCGCGCGGTCAAGGCTCCCGCAGCGTAGGCAGCTCCAATCTCTCCGCTACTGTGGCCAACCACCGCCGCCGGGGTGACTCCGACTGCGGCGAAGAGATCCACCAAGCCGATTTGGACGGCTGTGCAAAGGGGCTGCGAGAGCTCGGCCGTCTGGACTCGGGACGTCAGGGCCGGCTTGAGGAGCTCTTCCTCCAATCGCCACTCGGGACCGTTCGGGGCTGCTTTCAGGTATTTGTCCAGCGCCCGGATGGTGTTCTGGAACGAAAAGTCGGAGCGCAGGAGGAGGTCCCGTCCCATGCGTGCCCATTGTGCGCCTTGACCGGTGAAGACCATGGCGAGGCTGGGCGCGGAGGTGGGAACCTTCCGGCCGGGCGATGGGGTGACAATTCGGTCTGGACCGGCAATCAGGAAGGATCGATGCGGGAGATGCTCTCGGCGGGTAGCTAGGGTGTAGGCCAGATCACACAGCTGGTCCTGGTGTTGCGGGACCCAGTTCTCGAAGGTTTCGGTCATCCGTTGCAGCGATCCAGCCACGCTGGCGGAGAGAAGCAGCAGCTGGGGGCCGGCAAGGAAATCGTCCGGCGTCGGGTTTGGAATCTGGAAGCTACGAGCAGAGTCGAGGATTAGATGCGCGTTGGATCCTCCCACGCCAAACGAGTTGATGCTGACCCGCTCCCATCGCGATTCCGGCCACGGCGTTGGGTCGAGGGGCACCGTTAGTTTGCAGGCCTCGAATGGGATCTTCGGGTTGGGGGCAGTGAACTTGATATTGGGAGGGATGATGCGATTCTCCAAGGCGAGGACACCCTTTATTAGGGATGTTAGCCCGGACGCGCCCTCGGAATGGCCTAGGTTGGGCTTGACCGATCCAATATACACGCCTGCATCGCCAAAGACCCGCGCAACGGCCAGCGTTTCGACCGGGTCGCCTGTCGGGGTGCCCGTGCCGTGGCACTCGACGAAGGCTGTCTCGGCCATGTTCGTAATGCCAGCAGCCCGGTACGCTTTCCGGATCAGAGTCTCCTGGCTGTCGGTGCTGGGGTGGGCGATGCCCGGTGTTTTCCCATCGCTGTTGGACATGACGGACCGGATCACCGCCCGGATGGGATTCCCGTCGCGAAGGGCTGCGGCCAGAGGCTTGACGAACACGGCGGTGATGGCCTCGCCTCTCGCGTAGCCGTTCGCATCCGCCGAGAAGGTCTTGCAGGACCCGTCGGGGGACAGAACCCCCTTCTCGGTCATAAACGCCGTTGCGGCTGGCGCAAAGATCAAGCTCGACCCCCCAACGACAGCGGCGTCGCAGTCCCCTCGTTGGAGGGCTAGACACGCTTCATTTAGCCCCACTAACGCAGACGAGCACGCGGTGCGGATGGTTATACTGTGCTATGTCAGTAACCCTATCCTCTTTGGGGAAGAGAAAGGAGTAGGAGAAGAAGGCATGACATACCTGGGCCCGCGCAGGTCCATTTCATATGAGACCCGATTCGACAGCATGAAGTCACTATATCCATCCACCCGGTTCATGCCATTTTGCTGGGGGTCTTTGTTTTGCAACTCCAGCCAGTCCTCCCCGTAACACCCCATGTAGCAGCCAATGGGCTGGGCACGGAAGTTGACTTCCCCCGCGTCGTCGAAACACTCTCTCACCACCTCCAGCATCTGGCGCTGCTGAGGATCGGCGGCCTCTAGCTCAGCCCGACTGAGTGAGAAGCGGGACGCATCCAGCGCACCGAGCTTGATGCTCTCGTCGAGGAAATAGCCGTACTCGGTCACCACCGTGCCTGGTCGCTTGGATGGGGAGTGGAAGGCCGATACATTGTATCGTGACTCAGGGACCCGTGACCGCGCATCGCCTTTGGCTATCAAGAAGTCCCAGAGGTCTTGCGGACTCCCCAGTCCACCGGGGAGTCGAAGGGCCATTCCACATATCGCGATGGGGGAGAATGTCGTACTAGCATCATTAAGCTGGCCCCCGGTATTAGGAGCAGAGCCAGAAAGACCATTTTCACGGGATGGCATTTTGAAATATAAGAAACAAAGGCTCACTGCTAAGATGTTGAGTTTCTGGCCCTGACATTATGAAGCCTGCGTTGCGAGAGACGGGACTTTATATGCCAGGCAGGTTGCCTTTCCCCTTACCAACTTTCTCTGGTTGTGAGATAGATGTTATGATCGAAAGACGTCAGACTTGTCCTCTTCGCCAATCTACTCTCGTTATCTTGCATGACTCCTAGCCTAACTGAATTGGCCCCCAATTCTCGTTAATAGCAGAGTTTGATTGAGATCAGTCGTACGTCTTCAATCCTTTTTGTAATCCAGAGACAATCTTACAGTACAAAGGAAGAAGGGACCAATGAAAATGTAGACACCTGTAGTATTTTGTACATGTCCAGCCGCAGTGGTGCATGGTGCACCAGGAAACGGAGTTTATCATGTTTCACCACTAGTACTGCATGAATGCCGTGATATTTTAGTGTCGCGTATGATCTAGACTCTTATCCCTCTCCTAACACTATGTAAGTCCGATCAGTATAGCCGCACGGGACTCGTCTCCTCTCAGTGGTGACGACACACCGTGAACAGGACCTGAGGCGAGCCCACATGGATCAAAGTCCGAGCAATTCTGAGAGGTACGTTAAGCGAGGTTTGGAGTATGCAAGTATTTTGTGTTGTATGGACTTTCCTATATCATGTATCGCATGGCCCTGGACGCAAGTATTTGCCTGCCACACTGGCAGCAGCCTGGCTGCTAGATTGATACCACCCGCTACTCGGCTGCTAGGGCTGACATCAGCATGTGCGAGGAAATTAATCGATCAATCAATCAAGCTTTTTATCCGGACACCTAATCCTTGCGGGCCCTCCGAAGCGCTTTCCTGTCCAAGCATAGTAACTTAGATGCTACTGACCATTTGCCCCCCGCTTCCTGCACCTGCATTGTAACTTCAGCGCAGTCTGACTGCATTAAAATCCCTTGTGATAGGATAAACCGTCAACTACTAGCTGTATAGCGTATCTTACACGAGGGATGGCGCAATGCGACGGTCTGATTATGGGAATATTCTTATCGAGGATTCCGGGCTGACACCACAACGGCAGCTCCAGATAGCACAGGTGTTGATATAGCCTACTCAGCCAACCCCAAGAAGCCTTGAGCATGTGCTTTCCCCTCCCAGTCTACATTGTGGTTCCTCCCGTAATACCTTCGACGCACTCAAACTATGTCTGATTCATTTATCGTTGAATGGGCGAGAGCCCAACAGCCTAAGGCCCCCAACATGAAGAATGCCTCCGTCTTTTACCGGAACCTGGAAGAAGAGCTCGACGTGCGTCGAGCCCAGCATGGCTGTATCATGCTGCACACCAAGGAACAAACTTCCATGGTGGACTTTTCCTCTACCGATATCCTCGGGCTGAGCACCTCGGGCTCCGTCCGGAAAGGCTACCTGGACGAGCTCGCCAAGCACCCCGATTTCAAGCTGAGCAGTCACGGATCGCGTTTGACTGACGGAAACTCCAAATACCTGGAAGACGTCGAGCGTGAGCTGGCCGCATTTCACGGTGCCGAGGCTGGATTGATTGTCAATACGGGGAGCCTGGGCAATGCCGCTATTTTCTCCGTCATTCCACGCCCCGGCGATGCCATTGTGTACGATGAGCTCATCCACGCCAGTGTGCACGATGGCATGAAGGACAGCTTGGCCTTGTACCGCAAGGCCTTCCGCCACAATGACGCCGAATCGCTGTATGATGTACTGGTGGCTGTTCAAGAGTCGCAGCCCCAAATTCGCAACGGCACACGATCGGTCCTGGTGGCAGTTGAGTCGGTCTATAGCATGGACGGGGATATCTGCCCGCTTCAGGAGCTGATCGAAACAGCCAAGGAGGTGTTTCCGGAGGGCAACGTTCAATTTGTCATTGACGAAGCGCATAGCACCGGGGTGATTGGGCCCAACGGTGCTGGGCTGGTTTGCGCCCTGGGGCTGGAAAGCGAAGTGGCGATCCGACTGCATACATTTGGGAAGGCGCTGGCTGCGACTGGAGGTAAGATACGATTGAAGTATTGTTGCTGAAGGAAACGCTGACTTACTCCATAGCCGTGATTCTGTGCAATGATACCGTGCGCACGATGCTGATCAACTACGCCAGAAGCATCATGTTTTCCGTGGCGCCATCCTTCCCCATGCTGGCCTCGATTCGCGCTACATACCAGCTCTTGCGCAGTGGCGAGACCCAAGGAGTATGGTTTGCCCCCTCTTCTACCGAAAGCTCGAGCTGACATAGCACCAGGCCCAGAACCGCGTCCAGGAGATCGTGAAATTCTTCCTGGAGACTATGACCTCTGACCCGATCTGGAGCAAGGCCAGCGACACCGGGCTTCTCCGCCTTCCCACGTACGAAGATGCGGATGTCCAGTCAGTCCTCACCCAGATCATCCAGCTGCGGACGCGCACCAAGCACAACTTTTACCTTGCATTTCACCTGCAACGGGCCGGGTTCTCGGTCTTCCCTATCTCGTATCCGGTGGTGCCCAAGGGGACGGAACGCGTCCGGATCATCTTCCATGCGTCAAACACGGACGTGGAGGTTAAGGCCCTGGTTGCTGCAATTGCGGAATGGGCCCAGGAGATGCTGGAGATTGAGAGCAGCGGGGATCGACAGAGGGTGCCAGCTGCGGCGCGACATGTGTATGCGTTGATTGCCCAGGCTAATCTGAATGGGAGCGAGTAGATGGGTTCAAATAGTCGGAGAACTATCGTGTAGAAAGAAAGTATTGAAGCCTTAATCTGGCGCTCCTGAAATTACCTCCAAACTCGATTATTATAGCTTGTTCGCCGTATTCCGAGAGTAAAAGGAAGGGACAAAATAAGCCTTGCCAAATTGCTTATCTGGCTAAGAATTCTTGTCCCGGCATGGAGTGGGGGCAGCACTGGCACGACCCCCTCGTTATAAATTGGTCGGTGCTAAGATCCTGACAAAGGATCCACTCCGAGGCCGACTCCGATGGATCCTGCAGGCAACTCTCCTGACACGGGTATTTGAGTCGCAGTATGTCCGACTGGCGGTTGTCATCTTTGGGGTAATACGGTGCTTTCATGAATCACAACCATGGATAATCCTGTGGACGAGAAGACGGCGTCGGAAGGACAATCTGCCATGGACGTGTCCTCCGAAGAGAAAGGATCAGCGGAACAGTCTTCCCCCGAGACAAAATCCAAGAAGCCGCTCTCTTTCCATCTGGCCTTCCTGGGCCTGCTGTTCATGGTGTTCATCGTGTCGCTGGACACGACCACCCTGGCGGTGGCCATCCCCATCATCGCCCGCGATCTCGGAGGCACAACCCTGCAGTCCTTCTGGGCCAGCACCTGCTTTATGCTGGCCGTGTCCGTCGTGCAGCCCCTCTACTTGAGCGGATCAGACGTACTCGGGCGCAAGATCCCGCTGTATACCGCATACTTTCTTTTCATCGTCGGCTCGCTCGTCTTCGCCCTGGCCCCGAACATGGCCACTGTAATTGTCGGCCGCACTATTCAAGGGCTCGGGGGCAGCGGCCTTGACGTGCTAAACGAGGTTATCACCGCTGACATGACCACTATGAAAGAGCGCCCCAAGTATCTCGGTCTGCTGGCTATCCCCATGGCTGGCGGCGCCCTGCTCGGTCCCATTATCGGCTCACTCTTCACTCAGTACGTTACCTGGCGCTGGATCGGCTGGATTAACCTGCCTCTCATCGGCGCGAGCTTCATTCTTACCTTCTTCTTCCTGCGCCTGCGCCCCGTCGAGGGCACATTCCTGCAGAAACTTGGTCTCCTGGACCTGCTCGGCATGGCCCTGTTCGTGGCTGGCTGCGCCGCCTTCGTCCTCCCGCTGAGCTGGGCCGGGGCTCTCTACTCCTGGGGCTCTTGGCGGACTCTCCTCCCGCTGATCCTCGGCCTGGTCGTCCTGGCCCTCTTCGTCGTCTACGAGCGTGTTCCCGCGCAGCCCGTCCTGCCCTACCGGCTCTTCAAATCCGCCACCGCCATCACCACCTTTCTCGGTGGCTTCCTCCACGGCCTGGTCACCTACACCCTCAACACCTACCTCCCGCTCTTCTACCAAGCCGCCTTCTACGAAACTCCCCTGCACGCCTCCGTTACTCTGCTCCCCATGAATGTCATGTCCCTGTTCTTCAGCTGCGTCTCGCCAATCTCCGTCAGTTACCTCCGCAAATACCGCGTGAACATCTGGACAGGCTGGGTGTTCCTCACGGTCGGGACTGGACTCCTTCACATCATCACCCCCGCCTCATCCGTGCCCTTCCGTACGGGCCTCCCCATCGTGGTCTCCCTGGGAATCGGCGTTCTCTTTACCGTCCTTGTTCTTCCGGTGCAAGCTAGCGTTGCCAGCGTCGACGATACGGGGTTTGCCGCCGGCTTATTGGTCTTTTTCCGATTACTGGGCGGGTTAGTCGGTCTTGCGATCGGGTCGACAGTGTTTAGCAGCGTTTTTGAAAAGTCGATTAAGGCGCTGGGAACCCTGCCTAGCACCCTAGCCGCGCTGGAGAATAGTCAAGCCGCGGTAGGGTTTATTCCTCAGTTGAGGGATCTGAGGGGACAGGTGGGGAAGGAGGTCTTGGACCAGGTAACAGGCGTGTATAGTCATTCGTTCCACATTATTTGGATTGTGTTGATTGTCTTTGCGGGGGTGGGATTAGTGGCGTCATGTTTTACGAAGGAGGTGAGCATGGAGAAGGAGGAGCTGGGCAGGCAGCGGTTTGAGGAGTAATCTCTACAATCTCTGGTTACTATCGGGACATACATATTGCTTAGTGAAGGGAGTTGTTTGCGTGTTACCCTAGTACTTGTTGCGGACAGAAAAAATCGGGGTAGGGTTGAAAGGATGTGGATGCGCTGCTGATTTGGTTTAGCCTGGGACAAGAGGAATGTACTGGCCTAATAGATAACCAGATAGATGGCAATTGGTCAGATATAGGTACTTCCTCCTACTAGTCAGCTCCTATTTCTGTTTTGAACTAGTCTAATGCATGGGCATCTCACTTGCATCTTGTCATCTCCACCCCGACCCCGACCCCGACTCCGCAAGTTCGCGAGTCCGTCACCAAAAGTCTCTCATCCCCTCCTCACTCCGACCATTTCATCCCACACACGCACACCATGTCGCTACTGCGCTCTAACGGGGTGCTCAGTTCCTGCGAGCCCTGCCGCAAATCCAAGATCCGATGCGACCACGCCGCCCCTTGCGGCCGATGCCGGCGCAGACGCAAGCCGGCCCTGTGCGTATACCAACCGGCCCCGATGTCCAAGCATCCGAACAGGACGGATCGCAGCTCCACCGATTCCATCTCGTGCGGAAGTGGCAGTAACATTACTACCAATACCAGTATCAGCAGTGCCTGGACGAGCCCGCTGCCTTCTCCCTCGCTAGTCACTCCGCCCTTGCTTCCGGGCCATCTCCGTGACGGCTACCTCGCCGATTGTAGTCACCGCAGCACCTCGACCCCCAGCACTGGCGTCTTCGGGCCCACCAGCTACCTATCTGTGCTGCGCGACGACGTTGACGATGGCTCGTCCAGTATAGCCCTCTTTGCTAAATCCCTGCAGCAAAACACCAGCGCCATCATCGACGACAGCCAGATCCAACTTGGCGCCGAGCTGCTCCTCATCCTGCTCGATGATTTTGCTTTATACGAACACATGGCCACGGCGCGGTTCGACCACTGCCAAGGCGATTTGTTTCCCCCATCTGCCCTGCGTCTGATTTTGTCTTCCATCCGAACTATGCTGCACGAGGCCATTTCCGATCCCGCTAATCCGCTCCCTTCTCTACTTATCCTCTCCCGAAACATTTTTACTGCCTCCTCCAAACCATTAATCGTAGACCCTGCCATGACCCCCACGGAATACTTTTCCTCTATGCCGAACCGCTGGGAGATTATAGGGCTAGTCTTTGCGGTGATTGGTTCCAGCGCGTGTCTCCTCCCGCAACACGATCTGGCTGCATATTCACCACAAAACCGTCCCCCACTTGACAAAAAGGGTCTTGCAGCTGTCTGTGTGTCCGCGAGTGAAATTTGTCTTCGTTTTTTCGACTACACCGGCGTCATTTCTGAACAGCTGTGTTGGGCGACGCTGGAACATGCTTCGCTTCTTACCCTGCTTTATGGGGATTACGGTACCCTTTCCCTTCCATTTCCCTATTCACCTTCCCCATTCTTCATACCTATGGCTTAGTATCCTCTTACCAGATTCCCTTTCTCCCTATTCTGCCCTCAACCAATGCTAACAAACAAACAGACTACCGTCCCTACAAAACCCTCTCTGCACTCATAACCCTTCTCTTTACCCTGGGCTACCACCACCGCGATGCGACATCGAAACTCCCTTTCTTCCGCGCGGAACACCGCAAACGCCTCGTCGTCGCCACCTATGCCATGGACAAAGGGCTCTCCACATTCTTAGGTCGTCCACCCCGCATGATCCGTCGGTATATCACCATTGACCCGCCACTGGACATAGCCTTCACAGATATCATAGCCTCGCCAGAAGTTCTCGACGCTGCGATGACACGCCTGGATAATAATGGCTGGAACGCAGAGGGGGCGTATACACGGGGATCATACGCGAGAGCATGCTTCATGATGGGGGTTGTGAGGGAGGCAGTACTAGAGATTTCTCTGGATTCAAATATCGGGGAAGGAGAGGGGTCAGGGTTGGAGGAGAAAATTACGTGAGATGCCTCCCCCAACACCCTTCCCCAAACTACCGTTCCCTTTATCATCCTCCAGTGATGCCTTGCAGAGAACGAATAAGACTAATGATGGGAAACTTAACAGAGAGTTATCCACCCTCGCCGCAAAAACGCGTCTTTCGCTCCCCTCATCGCTGTACCGTGTCAGCACGCCATCGGACTTCGACCGTTGCCCCGAAACAGCCAAAGTTTGCCTCTTGGTGCACATGGACTCACTTTATAATGAGTTCATTCTCCAGCGGATCTTAGTCCAGCGAACGGGCGCCAGCACAGAGAAATTGATTGCTGTCGCGCACGAGCTGCTGGACAATTTGTTGTTGTTGGTTGCCAACCGTGCTGTCGGTGGGGGGGATGGAAATTCTGTTGTTTGGATTGTATGTTCCCCTTCCTCTTCCTCTTCTCCCTCGTTAATCGAAAAACTTAGATCTCCTCACTCGGCCTACCCCCCGCCGGTGTCCTGGCTGTCGAACTGCTGCATCGGTTCCAGAACCGCGACTCCAATTTTCAGTCAGCAGGGGGGTTTCCCCGCTCGGAAATCATCCAAAATCTGAGCCGCTTTGCTGCGGATCTTGAGTATGTAGTATCCAAGCAGGCGGGGAACTATGGTGTTTGCCAGCAGGCGAGGTCAGTGATTAGGCATATCCTTGATCGGGTTTTGGGGGGAAGGGTGCCAGTTGTGGAGGCGGGGGAGGTGGTGGAGGATGAAAATGGTAGTGAAAACAACAAGGGAGATGCGGTAGGGGAAGGGACTGGGCCCGGATTTGTGGCACGAGATTGGATATCATGGGATTTTAATGCCTGGATGGATGAGGATTCGGATTTGGTTAGGTGGTTAAATAGTTTCGAGTAGTTGATTCCTCATGTGTTTGGGTCAGAATTTGATCAAAGGAAGGAAATGAAGAAGAAAGATCATTTATTATCTATACATGACCAGTTGAGATGTAGTATCCGATCAAATTCATTACTAAAGGTATAATGTATATAATAGCTTCAAGCTTAACCCACTTTTATCGCAGTTTACATGTTCGAGGGATGATGTTTGAATATCAGGATCAGTCTCAATGGGCATGCATATGGAACTTTATCCTTGGTGGAAGTGCATAGGAAATGTTCGGACCTTCAACATATATTGATTGGACCACACGGAATGTTAATTCCTTGCAACGGCACTTGCCGCTAATCATGTTTGTTCGCAGACATCTTCCAAATATTCACTCTTCACACTCCTACCGTTCCTGGCCTCTTCGCACGTTGTTATTGTTCTCACTAAATTTGTCCTCAAACGCGTCGTGTCAAATACTGATCTGAGAAATATTTCTCTGTTCACCGTGACATTTAGTTTTTCTTCAAAAATTATTGCTTCACCCAAATGGCTACCAGCGTTCCTAACCATCGCATAATCGAGAACAAAATTTGTGCTGAGGCTGCCTTTCTTGTCATTATATCGAGAGCGGTTTTGTTCGAAATCACCCTGCGAGCCTCTGAATTCTTCGGCACCTCTCTAGAAGTGCAGGTCAATAGGTGGCTGAAGAAAGTTAACGGAAGTGAAAAAGCCACGGATTTCGAAGAAGACTCAAACGACGGTGAAAATCTCGAAGAACTATGGGACTGGTTGGTCGTCCCATGCGCACAATACATTCGACGCAATGCTCCAGAAATACAAGGACCTATTAGCCTACAAAGTTTTACCTTTCCTCGAGCTCACGCACTACAGTTGATGCCAATTGATGAATTAATCACAGCAGTTCCCACTGTTAATAGACGCTTTTCCAAATCCACTCTTCCCACGATAAGCGCGTCAATTTCAGGCCTTCCTCCTAGTGTCCCCAAAGTCAGCGCAGCCGATGTGTTCATTGACCAGGGCCCAGATAGCGAATTCGATCATACCTGTGACATACCGCGACATGTCCAGGTAGCAGAATGTGGCCTACTTTTCAAACCTGCCAACAATATCAGTGCTTTCATTAATGAAGTATCAGCGCTCAGCCGTGTTTCAGAACTCGGCCTGTCAATCAATGTGTCGAAGCTTTATGCTATCGTGCTATCTGATAATGGGAAGATAATCCTGGGTATCCTGATTGATTGGCTTCCATTCGGGTCGCGAAATCTCTGGAGCGATGAATTCATTCAAATGAAGGAATATCATGCTAAGTGGAAAAGGCAGATACTGGATACCGTGAAGATCCTTCATACCCACGATATCATATGGGGCGATGTGCACCCGGGAAATATTGTCATAGACTACGATTTGAATGCCTGGGTCGTCGATTTTGATGGTGGGTACCGGTCGGAGTTTATCGACGGGAAATCAGCAGGCACGAAACAGGGCGATTTAGTGGGCATTCGTAATGTCTTTTGCAACTGGCTACCGCGATGCTACCTGGAACTTCAGCCGAACATGGTCTCTGATGCACACTGAAAGTCGGTTTCTATGTCGGCTACATCCCGCTTATACGAGCCTGAGTAAAGCTTTCAGGAATACACATATGGGGAAGACTTTCTTCTTCTTTTTCTCCAGAAATGGTCATAACATAAGAGAAAAGTATCTGGCTCGCTACTAGGTTGCAAAACTGAGATCTTGATAACGGACAGATCTGACTGTCATTGAGTTTTTAGTTTGCATGCCGCTAGTAAGCTCCCTTAGATTTTCCTAGTCACTGCCCTACCATATATTGGTAATTCTAGGGATCCATAATGAACTAAACACTGTGACCGAAAGAAGTGACAAATGACCAAGTTGCCGACAGCCGAAGCAGAGTGTGAGCCGGCTGCCATATCAAGATAGCATAGGGGTGATTGGGTGCCCGAGGGGACATGCAACATCACACATGCACTCCAACTGAAGCATCGTGTTGGAAAATCAGCACAGTAACCCCCCTACTTGTCCGCAATGGTGTGAGGGTTAAGCACCCTTCAGTCAGGATCAGATGCAGGGCGTTGATGTCTTCTAGTCGTCCAGTCTTCGCTAGTTAGATTGGCAAACTTGCGTAGCTTATCTTGCAGGAAAGAGACTTTTCGGTATTGGTGAGAACGCTTTGGTAATGTGCTCCATATCCGGTGGAAGGTATTTTTTGTACTATCAGCACCCATAAGCCACCAATAGACGTGGACTTGAGTACGGACAACTACTTAATCAAATACTGTTTCGCACTAACCAGCATATCTTGCATAATTCTCGCACCCTAAATCTCCAAGATTCACTGGACACTTATCTGTTCTAACCTTTAAGGAGTCTACCATTGTGAATTACTCAGGATATATTAGTAATTTCTTCTATAGATGAACAGGTGAGATGTAAACAAATTCATCCAAGCAGGCATGCATTGTATAGGAAGCATGAGAAATGAGTGACAAGCGTAATGTCCGAGTGCGACTTGAAATTTTGACTGGCGGAAGATAAGATCCTCACTGTACTAATAACACTATATTGGGTGACGACGCCTACATGCTTGCATTTTTTCGGCGCCTATATTGCTTGACGGTCTCCGTCGGATCATGCCTTATCAACTGAGCAAATGGCATTATGGAACTGCAAGGATAAGGACAAGAGACCCTATCATAGAGGGCAAAGTCGACAGTAAGTAGAAACAATGACCCTAGCAGGCCTCGATCAAAAGGTATAAGTAGGGACAAAATCCTCGCGGGATTCTTCCCTCGATCTGCAAGAATCAATTCTGTTTCTCTGTCCCTGTGTCATTCTACACTCCGAAATCATTTTCTAGGTCTTCTACAAGAATTACTATCATCTTCTACCGCAACTATGACCTCTCAAAAAGTGATACAGGTACTCCTCGGAGCCGCTGCGGTCTGCCTGACCCTTGCAGCTCCGGTTTCCTAATCGCAGAAGCGCTCATGCTCGTACACCGTGAACTCCTACGACTGTTATACCGATGGCGACTCGACAACCTACCGAGAGCTCACCACCACGCAGCTGGACCACATGATCTCTGAAATAGATGAGATGGTCTGGGGATATAACGGAAACGCCGAGACCTCCAAGACATTGAATTCTACTACGAGGGCATCACATGTGGAGACGACAATCAGTACAGCTGCGACGCCGCAATTCTCATCTCGACCCTGGACGACGATTATATCGGCACTTGCGTGACGGAGACGACGACGGCTGTGTTCGATGACCTGGTATCTCGCTGCGGACGGTCGGGGGGCTGGCTTGATAGCACTTTCAGCAATGGTGCAAAGTGGCTCTATGAAGAGTATGCTACCACAGGAACGGATACGGCTTGTTCTGACGGTGGAGAGTGTATCACTGTCGTTTGCAGTGCTTTCGACGATTGTGTTTTTTGATTGCTGTTCTTGTCCTGGAGCTAGTCACGGACTCCTCCTTGGGCTGATTTGTTTGGACGGAGTGGTTGTCAGAAACGATGTGTTGACTTAGGGAGGCGCCTGCGCCGGGTCAGGTAGATTGGGGTGTTGATCAGAAGATGTTGTCAAACATATAATAAGGGCATATTCCCAGGAGATGATCTTAATAAGATCACAACTAGAGTATACCCAAACGATTTCGGTTCACAATAGATGTAGTTCTCTTATATCCCTAATTTTGAAATTCGAGCAAACCTTAGCTATAAGAGTAGTGCGATCCGTTATGTCGCCGATTCATGCTGCAAAGAGGCTTGTTCGGGCAGTCCAGTTACGTTGGACTAGATCTTTGCCCCATAATCCGAGGATTCCGCGAAACTTTACTTTTGGCTGTATTTCCCAAGAAACGCGGGCGTTCAGTTCGGCTAGGTGTTGTAGCACCCATCCTGGGGGTGTGGTGGGATGCTATATATGCAGCCAGTCAATTGGTCATATATTTTTCACTTCTTATCAAAGCATGAGATAAGTACCTGGTTATCAATTTTCATTTTATTAACCATCACGGCCAATACCCTAGACTTTTAAAATCCAATGGCAAACATATACGTGGATATTCTGTATCAGCACTTGGATCTTTGTGCGTTCTTTTCGACTCTTGCTCTCTGCCTTCTAGTAACATATCTACTCGTCATCATCGAAGACAATCCCATCGTGTCCGCTGGACCCAAGCCTCTCTCAATCACTGGAGATGTCCATCAGATGTTGCCTCAACGCCTCATGGAAGTGGTGCACAAACGGAATCAAGGTTGCGTTCCGCTATGGCCAATAACATATAACATGCCATCAGCATTAGCGTCTTCGAAATTGTCCAGGATCTACTGGTCAACCAAGGTGCCATCTACAGTTCACGCCCTCTCATCATTGTCCCCCGCATGTCCCCCGGGTTCAACTCAGCGGTTATACCGCACGGCAAGCAATGGCAAAACCACAATCTTATCATATACTCTTTTCTAGAAACCACTGCGGTCGATAGATATCGTAGCCTGGAAGACATGGAAAGAATAGACACTTGCCGAACTCCTTGAGAGCCGTGACTCTGAGGCGGAGCTTACGCCGGTATCTTGGCAATATACTCATGACACTTGGGTACGGAATCCGACTGGAGACCACAAACAATGATATACCCGCCAAGTTTAACTCTATGAACGACCTCCATTCGGAGCCATGGGCAATAAGTACTACAGCCTGGTGGAGCCGTTCCGTCTCCTCGATAAAGTTCCAAGCTATTTGGTCCCTTGGAAGCAATTATAGGCCAACGTGCAACGAGAAACCACCAGGTTCCATATGGAGCATTTCGAGATCGGCAAGTCAGCGTCTACGTGGAACTGGGTTCAGAATACCTTGAAAACCAACGCGGGGTCATAGATCTCGTCCACAGAACTTGCCTATGTGATAGGTACACTTCAACAAGTCGGCTTCGAAGCTATTCTTACCGTTCTACGCCTGATTATCAAATCCATCGTGCTGCACCCGCACTGCTTGAAGGAGGCCAAGTGAGAGCTAGATCGAGTTGTTGGGTCCGACCGGCTCCCTTCCTCTGAAGACATACCTTGATTGCCATACATCAAAGCTATCCTGAATGAGGCTATGCGCTGGCAGCCTCCGACTCCATTTGCAATTCCCCATGCAACTACGCAGGACGACGAATACATGGGGTATCAAATACCAAGTGGTACAGTGATCATTCCCAATATCTGGGTCATGTCTTTCGATCCGAAGATTTTCCCAGATCCGCATAAGTTCAAACCAGAGAGGTGGATCGACAACCCAGACCTTGAGCACAGCCCGTTCGGCTTCGGTCGGAGGATTTGTCCTGGCAGGCATCTGGGCTGGAATAGCATTTTCATTCTCATGGCACGGCTCATGTGGGCGTACAATATCACTCACTTGTACAAAGATGGAAAGAAAATCGAAATCGACCCGTGGGATATTAAATTGACGTTTACAGCAGCATCTAGGCCGTTCAAGGCCTCATTTGAAGTTCGAGAACCGAAGAAGCAGGAGATCATAGAGAGGGAGTGGGAGAATGCGACTAAGGATCCTGTTCAAATTTTGGGGGAAATCGGGCGAAAGACCGGGTGAGGTAAGAGATTAATGGAGCGTGGGGAAAAGGGATTGGCCAGGCATGGAAGCCAAGCGGTTGAATGTATTGTATTTCCTCGAGGGATAGTCACCGACCATTTCTTGTGTAGTTGAATGCGGATGTTTTGATCGGAGTGAACTTTGATATTGCCAATGCACTGAAGGTAGCAAGGCTGTGTATGACAATTGGGTTAGAACTACAACATATGTTCCGCTGCGTAGTAATAATGCCTACTCTACTATATTCGCGATATAAACTTTCTGATTCAAAGATAGTAAAGAAAACGAATGCAAAAAACATACAACAGAAGGGATTCGCTGGTGGTCACCCACCCAACTACTAACCTCCCGGCGTGTGGCTTAAGTACGGCTGAGCGGACGGGAAGCCCTGTTTTCCACACCCTATGGTCGTATGTACAAGATGTAAACGGTCAAGAGCATATATGCGCATCTTTTCTACTTGAATTGATTATACTACGAATTCCATGATTGGAAAACTACTCTGTCCTGCAATTTCATATCGAGATCCACCTTACACCTCGCGCAGTAGTCAATATTGCTGGAACCGATTAACACAAATAGGTCACATATTCAAATCGTGTATTAATAACTTCCTTTAGTGGAAATAATCTACCCTTTATGTCTTTATTGTGTCGTAGTTAGGTCAATATGAGTGCAGCGCAACAATGGATTTCATTCTTTGTGTGGTTTCGAATTATCTGTGAAGCCTGTAGTTGACAGCAGTCGTTGGCCTGATAATTCAAACCATATAATAAGAAGGCAGTTTATCTAACATGCCTAAAAGCCACAAAGGGCTAAAATGACTTGTTCCAGCTGCTTACCCGGATTGGTATCCCCGCAATAAGCCACATATCCATCGCCCACCTTTGCTCCCACCACCGCAGCTTGTGTCTGGTCGACAGGTTCAGGCCGCGTCCGCTCCGTCATAGCACCTTTGACAGGAATGTAAATCTTCTCCTTGGGGCGAGCATTTTTAATGAAAACTGCCTCCATGCTGTATAGTGTAGGGAGCGAGACAGCCTCTGTTCCGGCTGGAAGGGTGCACTCGGGATTAAATTCAAATCTGGTTCGTTCTCTATCCCCTATAATCCACGGCAGACCTATTCTCACTCGGAAGAGGCTCCTGAAACGGTCCTTGGTCACGAAACCGGGGAAACAGAAGCCAAAAATGGCCAAACCTCCTCTGCGCATATAATCCTCTAGCTCCTCAACGACGAGTCGGTTGACGGGTATAGTTACACCTTCATCAGCGACGATGACGACTTTGGGGTTGGCTTCCAGGCCACGCAATGCCTCGTCAATGGTTGTCGCACGCTTCACATTGGCGCGTTCTCTTAGGCGTTTCAGAAGGGGTTCAATACGGTCCCCAAGATAGTCTGTGGGTGCGATACATAGAAGAAGGATCTCTGGGCGCTTGGACTCCATGTTGCCTTGTTTGGTTGTATGAAAAGAAGAAGGTCAGCAGTAACAGAGATGATGGAGAACTGAGGGCAAGGTGATTTCACGATGTAAAGCGAGAAGCAGAGGACTTGATCAGGATTATATAATAGAAGGTCCTAAAGGTACTGTTGCAAGTTGCGATCTAGATGGGACTTCCTACGTGTGGCAGACCATTAGAACGGCAGTGACCGATATAGTGCTGTAATAGATGAGAAACGCTGGAAAGCTGAAGGACATCATAAGCGCAATAGTTACTGTCATATTCACTGATAGTATTCATAATAAACTTAAATCTGCATACATCTGGGCTCACATTAATCCTAAGTTACCTTGCTAACACTGCCCATAGATAACAATCTTTAGACTAAATTCCCTTTTCGGCAAATGGGTGTAACATTAACCGAATAAACTTCACCAACCAATGCTAAGCCAAGCCCATAATATTAATGAATAACTAGGATCCGACTGATGACAAGTTGTATGAGTTATCACCCCTACCCAGCAAGGAACCGCGGGGCCTGAGGCAACCCCCGACGCGGCATTAGAGAATAATCAGACAAAGTGGTTCTTGAGCCTGAGTTTTTCAAGATATACCATTTCCTCTGTGAAACTACCCGTGTACAGATCCACCGGTACATTCAATCTTCAGATGAGCTATTGCTAAATGCACATAAGCAGTAACATCTTGCACAATTCCTCCTCAACACTCTCGTTCCCGCAATAGATCAAATATCCTTTGCCTTGCTTCCTTCCAACTACCGCGGCTTGACCCTGTTCCTTGGGTCTTACCATGGAACATTCCAGCGGAACAACAATTCGCTCGACAGGTGAAGCGTTCCTGATAAGATGTGCCTCCATATCATAGGAGCAGTTAGGAACCGGTCCGGCTGGGACAATGCAGTTTTCATTGAATCTACAAATGGTCTTGCAGCGGCCGTCATATTCCCAGGGTGTGCCAAATTTCCGACCAAAGAGATTGTTGAATTCATCTCCAGAAATAGAGCTGGCAAAGTCCAGCGCGAATGTTACTGATCCACCATCCTCAAGATAGGCTTTTAGCCTTTTCGCTATGTCTTGGTTCTCCGGCTCACTTATGCCCCCGTCTGTCACAATGATTTTCTTCGGGCGGTGATTCGCTATATATGTGCGTGCAAGTGAGGCTGTTGGTAACCGTACTAAGTTGTATCGCCTACTCAATCCCCCAATGAGCGACTCGTAATCGTCATCGAGGGTTTCCCTGTATGCCAGACACAGGAGGGCGATGTCTTCAGGACCGTTGGACTCCATGATGGTCATGAAAAAGGTTACTCAGTGGCACGTGACATGGATATAACTGATGACTGATGTAATGAGAAGAAGGTAGTAAGATGTTCAACTGGCGAGAAGAAACGGGCATCTCTATGGCACCTTTATATATACCTGGGAGCTAATACAGTTTTGGAGGTTTCATGGCAGACGATATTCATACGAGAAACCCATAAAACCAGTTTCCCAATGCGCCAATCTTTTGGGATGCGGATTCTGCGATGGCAATGACGGCTCTGTCTTTGACATTCAACCTTTGTTGGGGTTGTTGGAAGCAGCGATGCGGCAGTTGCTTTGTATGGATTGCCCGGAAGTTACCCTAACGGGAGCCTGAGTTTGATCTCTTGTCCCTCCTACTTGTTTCACTGAACAATGAATATGTGTTGGGGAATTTGCCCGACTTGTTTAGCTAATTAAATCAACCTTTGACTAACGGTTCGTTCTGCAAGGACATGTACAACAGTACGCAGTCCCCTGGTATCCGCAGTTACATGCTGGTGCACTACCTATAAGTTGCGAGCACTAAATTGTGCAGCAGGGTATATTATTGAATACTAGAGATACGGAAGATAAGTGGTAAGGTCATCGATATTGATATTATGATTCCTCATATAACGAGGAGATTATGTCATTTATTACTTCTGATCCTTAATTATCAGCCTACTGAGTACTACTACTGCATACCTCTGGTGCACTCACCTCGAAGGCATGTTTGGAGGGCACGGGTATACTATTCACTGCCCCATGCAAGACCAGCAATGAGCGCAATATTGATAATTTTGAACGACTAACAAGTCTCCACAAGTACTTTAATCGAAAACTGAATCGTATTATGGTAATTCAGTCTTCAGGTCCGTTTCTACTTTACATTAAATTGTATGCTTTTTATTTACCTTTAGCGAACTCGCTTCGGGTGGAATTTGCCTTACAGAGATGTTTTTAGTGTAGTGCGCTGCGCTGTTATAAGCACAAAGGAGAAGTACGGGGCTTACTGCAGATTTAAATATCGTTCTAGCTGGCGATTAGGCGTGCCATTCGTTTTCTGGGTTGGTTGACCGCGGTCAGGCGTCCAATGCTCATTTGTGCGGGTGTGCGGGTGTGCGGGTGTGCGGGTGCAGACGTCATTCCCGAAATGATCATTTACTGTCTCCCTTATATTCAAGACTTTTCCATTTCCTCCTGCTTCAATGTCTATTCAAATACTAGGATCGAAACCAAACGCCAAAAAGTATGAAGATCCTCATTGTGGGCGCAGGTCTTGGCGGCCTCGCGGCTGCGTACTGCTTTGCCAAGGACGGCCACCATGTCCAGGGAAGTAGACCACCCTTGAAGTTGTTTTCCATCTAATGATGAACCTATGCAGGTCTTTGAGAGGCGAGAGAAATTGTCGCCAAAGGGGAGTGGACTGCTGATCCGTCCTGGCGCGTCTCGCATTCTTCAATCTTGGGGCCTTGGAGACGCCATTGAACAAGTCGCGGACACCTGTCTCCCGATCATCATCCGAGACCTGAAGACCGGAAAGGACAAGATACGCACTTTGCCAGCATCTCTCACCAAATATCCAGATTGGGGCATTCATCGGCCGATTCTACAGGATATTCTCTACCAACATGCCGTGCACGCTGGGGCCGAGATTATCTTCAACAGTTCCGTGGAAGACTTCTCAGATGAACCCGGCGTAAAAACAAGCTTACAATTAGATGGAGGGAAAACAATAGCTGGCGATCTCATTCTCATTGCTGACGGGATTCAATCACGCCTGCGTACTAAAGTTTTATTTGACGTTTCCGCGGGCTATTCGGTAAACCCGCAAGTCAGCGATTCGGTCTACTATGGCGTAACAGTGCCACAGAAAGAACTAGAATCGGATAGTGACGCCAGTTTATTGCTACAGGAATTCGATACATGTGTTTGGGCAGGCGATGAACGTTTTGTCATTGGTCGGAAGCCCAGAAAAATGGAATTCTGGAGCGGCTTGTTCGGCCTCAAACATGATGATGGCCATGCCAGCATGTGGAGCGAGGTATGCGTCTAGTCCTATGCAACCAATCCATTATGATACGCTGAAAACTACCAAGGATGGAGATATCGCATTTGTGAGGCAGCGTTTTGAGGGGATATGCCCTCCACTTTCTGCAGTTCTCAAATTGGCGACCAAGTGCGACAGGTGGAAGATTGCCCAAATACCAAATCTTCCCCGCTGGACGAGTAGGACTGGCAGAACCATCCTATTGGGTGATTCAGCCCATGCAATGGAGCCCAATGCAGCACAGGTTAGCCTAACGTGGAGACTTTCAGGAATAATTGGAAATACCCCACCACTAGAGTCATATGCTAATTCTCTCTCGACAGGGCTTGTCGCAGATTATCGAGGATATTGGGGTGTTGCACATATTGCTTTTGTCACTTCCTTACCTGAGTGTCTCAGTGATAAGTAGATTCTGGGAAGATATTCGAAAGCCTCGTGTTGAACGCATCAAATCCTTTGCTGCTTGGAACACGCAAAGGTTTCTCGGGCACAAAGATCACGCGGCCTCGCATCAGAAATATGCTGATACCGACTGGGAGTGCATCAATGATATCGAACCAGATCCTGCTGCAGATTTCACAAGCCCTGCGTTTTTCAAGTGGGCCCACGACTATGATGTCGTTGAACAAGTGAGTCTGTGTCCCCTCGGCTCAAGTGCATTCCTTGGCCGTGAATAGAAGAAGAGAAAATAGAGATAATCAGTTACATAGGATCGCTAACAAGAGAACAGACTAGAAAGTATCTGAAGAAAGTCAACACACCAAGCTCGCGATTGTAATGGTTTCACATAACATATGCTATGTGACGATGGACATCAAACTATAAATCTTCATGGTGTAGTCTAGTTGACTTCCATTTGTTGCACACCCACCTCATCCAAAAGAGATTGTGACAGATCCTGGTATTCGGTAAAAGAATGGTTTCTAATCAATTAAAATTAGGAGAAAGCTAACTTTGACGTTAATGATAATTCACTTAGATATACTCTTCATTACTATGTATATGAATATCTGTATCATGGTTGAACCATACCTGGCAATAAATATTACTCAAAATAGAAGATGTTTAAAAGAATACCAAAATGTCCACCCAATGTCAAAGAATCATTCAGCAATTCAGCTGTAATCAGCTGCTGAGATAGTCATTTTAGTGTGGATTCCACAAGTCCTAATAATCTTGCTGCATTGCGTTTGAACGTTCTGAGTGACTTTGAAAAGGTTCCTATACCATCGTTCTATTGAGCAACAATAAGAATAGCAGACAACTAGATAGAGCGTTTCTTTCGACTTCTAGGCCCCTGCTTTTGGCCAATCAGCCTTGCTACGGTGGACGTGCTACTTGAATGGGATGAATGCACACGGTTCGTGAAGGATTTACATTCATTTTTGGGACTAACATCAATCGTTCCTACGGCATCATGTGGGTGTATTTGAACAATTATGAGAAACAGACGTGAAAATCAAGGAACCGAACCGCCCTCATAAGCCAGATTAACAGTTTTGTTGACCTTACATGCCTTCAAGGAACGACTTTCAACTACAGCAGATACGTAATTTCTGTTATAATTCTATCTGCTGGTTCGGCCACTCTGGCTTGAGAGCAGGGCCGACTCATTTCGAAGCCAGTAATCTCACATTGAGAGCAGCCAACACCACAAACACAATGAGAAAAGAAGCACCACCCCAAAAAGTCCACCACGCTCGAGCGTCCCTCCTGTCAAACCACAGCTGCTTCAGTGTGGTGGGCTGCTGGTTGTCCAGGTATGTTTTGAGGCGACGCAATCGAGGACCAAAGTACTCATAGTCTATGAAAGCCTCGTTTGACTGAAAACCGTTTTGAAAGATAGACATTATCATAAACGTAATGTCCTCTGGATAGTACGGAGCGAGGGCATGAATCTGCCGCATGGAGCTGGTTGTGAACTTGTGTTGATTGAAGAAGCTAGTATCCTTAATACTAGCAAAAGGGTTGGCGACGTTATAAGCGGCTTGAATGCTGGGGGGAAGCGAGCAGCGATGGAAGTTCTCCAGGATACGGGTTGTTGATGGCTTGGCCAGATCGACATCAAACGACTTGCTAGTGCCCTGTTCCATACCTGGCCGATGGGAACTCGGATCGATCTTCCTTCCCAGCCAAGTGATCTCGTTTGACTTGGTCGCTTCTTGCAGCAGTCGCAGTGCCGGTCGGGATGATGGTCTAAGAAGAAGGGCGTACGTCCGAGATAATTCAAGGTGCAAGGGCTCAATATAATCTCTTTTCACGAGATCTCGGCAATTGTAGAAGAATGTGGGATGAGCAAAGATCCTGAGCGCATTGCGGCCCGTGAATATCTTGAGATGATCATCCAGATTATCTGTCCATTCAATCCTCAAGCCGCCAAAGTCCTGCAGGTACTGAACCGTGAGTGTGTCGGGGGAGAAAGTCGGACCAGGGAACTCTTCAAGTGGAAGCTCCTTGAAATCCTCAATGCCCTTCATAGAGCTTCTATGACATTTTTCCATGTCAAATATCTTATGGATTGGCTCCCTGTGATATCTGGTATAGAAGGTGAGACAAAGCGCATCTCGAACTTCAAGGAACCGCGACGTAAAGTCCAACGCACCCAGGCAGTCGTGAATGAGATGGAATTGGTATCGCAAAACATCAGGATTATCAGCATTAGGCTGAGATAGAATACGCCGAGCATAACAGCGATGCAGCAGTTCCTGCAAAGTTGTGTCATTCGCACTCCAGTATTTGTCGTGGTGCACTGTTCGACCCACTTCAATGAGAACCTGGAGGGTTTGGTCGGCCCCGAAGTAGCGACAATCGACACAGGCTCCGTTGCGGCATTCCAGACCATCGTTTCGTCGGGCTTCCAAACGAGCCAGTATCAGCAGTAGGCGGGGTAGGCGTGAATATTCGAACGCCGCGCGTGATGGCTCCAGAGGACAATCAAATTGCTTACGCCGATATGCTTCAACGGCGAAGAGTGCTTCCAGAAGGTCGTCACGGTGTTTGGATAGGATATCTGCAGTAAAAAGGACATCCTCATTTTTATGCCATCCCAGAGAGTGATATATCTGGGGATATAGGTCGAAGGCCCACTGGTAAGCATTGTCAGTGGTTTCTATGTCTGCTGGAGGGGACGGCAAATCCTTCCAGAAGGCTGCAACGAGTTAGTATTACTTCGAATTCATTATTTCTTCGAGATTCACCTAGTATTGAAGGGTGTTGTGGGGCAATACATACCTGTGTATTTCTCCCTATACGAGTCATTCTTCTCATCGATCTCCTCTTGTGACATGAGCTCCACAGGGTTCTCCTCTGGGATGTGCGTTGGCCGCCCGGCTGCAATCTCCTCGCTCAGCGCCGTCAGGACAGGGTCACTGTCCTTAGCGTTCTTTGATTTCACTTGACATTCTCGTCGCTCACTTTCCTGGTGAAGCAATCTCACTAGGCTCTGTATCGATGCTGTCAAGTTCTGCATGGCAGCCAGGGTACTCTGATCCGAAGTCGTGGAGTGATCTTGTTCTGGCCTGGATTCATCCATGGTTGCTGCTGGTGGTGATGGCAGTGGTGGTGAAGAAGACGATATAGAAACAGATATGTATGACTGGCGAAAGAAGGGGCAGATACAGGATATTTATGTTGCACAGAGATGGGAGGCCAGACGTAGCTGCCTATCGACGAGGGAGAAGGTGGGACGGGGATTGACTTGGTGGTTACTGTAGCCTCGCGGGAAGTTACCTCCTACTGTCAGCGCTGAAAGCTAATCTTAGAGTGAGAGAAGCTTATTGTGACACATGGCAGGGATCGTTGAAAACATCAAATTGTTATCAGGGAGATGCCCAAAAAAAAAAAAAAAGAAAAAGAAACATAACTGTGGCATAAGCCAGACAAAAGTTAACAAGATAGGTCGTGCCCGGGTTCGAACCGGGGTTGTCGGAACTCTGGAAACAACAAAGTCCTCAAAATCCGAAGGGATGACCACTACCCCACACAACCACATGTTGCCCGATATTTGCCGGAACAACCTATCCATGGCTAGAACTGTGAAATGCGCAATGTTTTGTATCCACACGTTCCTGGGACATGCTTCAGATTAAATTGATTTCAGTTTTGTTTCCTATAAGGATGGGTATGAAGGCTAGATGACTGACACCGACCGTACCTTGAAGCTATTCGTGCCAGTATACTGCCCCCTTTACTGGGTGTCTTTTATTTATGCACGACTTACATGACAAGAGACATTATGCGCAACAACAGCCAACAACACAGATTCAGTCACAAAAATAAATCATCAGCCCATCAGCCACAAAACAAGAACACTATAACTAAAGTCCATAGTATGAATCAAGCTGAGATACTGCAGGCTGAGCCTGACAAGGTCTCGGCAATCAACTGACTCTCATCAGGTTAACTTGGCCCGAAGCGATCTCCATCCCCCCTTGCATCAGGGTGTGCGGAACTCGCGTGCATGCGGCCAGCGATAATTATACAGGCGAATAAGCTTTCAGCACCTCTCACTAACGGTACAATCTCACCTACCATTTCCTCAATTAGGCAAATTATCTTACATTAGAGTTCGTCCCTGTCAGCAAAACTAGCACGTTTTGCTACAGTAGCTTCGGCGATGCTTGGGACTTGTGCCCCCAACCACAGACGGGACCAGGGCATCCCTGAAACTGCCACTTTGGGGCCAAAACATGGCGCAGGATATATTACTATCCTTGAAGCTCCTGTTTGCTCGCATCCTCTCACTCTCGACTTGACTACACATCGTGGTCACCTTTTCCCCTACAGACATGAGCCTGATATTGTGGTATGCTGTGGCTGGTCTGGCATCCCTAGGCCATGCTTCTCTCGAGAAACGCGCCACCGATGCCTCCGCATACTGCTCCGATTCATCAGGCACCTATAGGCTCTCGTCGATCGCGGCCCCAATCCAGGGCAGTGGAAGCCCAGGCTCGGAATCTACCTGGAAGCTAAGTATCGATGATACATCATCCGGTCACAAGCAGGAAATTACTGGCTTTGGGGCTGCTGTGACCGATGCGACCGTCACGTCTTTCAACACATTGTCGAGCTCGACCCTCCAACAGCTCCTCAATGAGCTGATGACCTCAGATGGGGCTAATTTCTCTCTCATGCGCCATACTATCGGCGCATCTGATCTGTCTGGTGATCCGGTCTACACTTACGATGATAATGAGAACGAAGCAGATCCCTCGCTTTCCGGCTTTGGCCTTGGCGACCGTGGCACTGCTATGGCGGAAATGTTGGCCTCGATGAAATCCTTGCAGTCCGATCTGAAAGTGCTCGGGTCCCCATGGAGTGCGCCCGGATGGATGAAATTGAATGGTGTGATTGATGGAAATACGACTGATAATAACCTCAACGATGGCTACCTTACCAGTGGTGGTACGGGAAGCACCGGCTACTCCAGTGCATTCGCCCAGTACTTTGTGAAATACATCCAAGCGTACGAAGCATTGGGCGCTACGGTCGATGCTATTACTATCCAAAATGAACCCTTGAATAGTCAGTCTGGATATCCGACTATGTATGTTTACGACTATGAGTCTGCGCAGCTGATCCAAAAGTACATTGGACCGGCTCTCGCCGACGCTGGGCTAAGCACGGAAATTTGGGCTTACGACCACAATACTGGTAGGCACCTCATTCGCGGCAATTATCTTGACAACTGCTAACAATCGACTTCCAGATCAGACATCGTACCCTCAGACTGTGCTTGATGAAGCAAATGAATACGTCGACACTGTGGCCTGGCACTGTTATGCAAAGGATGTCGACTGGAGTGTTCTCAGCCAGTTCTACAGCGCCAACTCTGGGGTCAAGCAATATATGACCGAATGCTGGACACCAGCGTCCGGATCATGGCACCAAGCTGCTGACTTTACCATCGGTCCCCTGCAGAACTATGCGTCGGGGGTCATGGCATGGACTCTGGGCACAAACACTGATGATGGTCCACATTTGACCACTGGTGGATGCGATAACTGCCAGGGATTGGTCACCGTCAACGACGACGACAGCTATACTCTCAATACTGCCTACTACATGATGGCGCAGTTTAGCAAGTTCATGCCCCCTGGCGCGACCGTGTTGAACGGAACCGGAAGCTATACCTACTCGACTGACGAAGGATTACAGTCGGTGGCTTCTTTAAACCCGGACGGAACACGCACAGTTGTCATTGAAAATATGTTCAGTGATGATATTTACCTGACCCTATCGACGGAGAGCGGAGAGGAGTGGAGCGGAAATATCCCCAGTGAATCGGTGACGACTTGGATCCTCCCGGCCTTATCTTGATCAGCTTGCCATTATGTTCGCTTTGTGGAGCGTATATTTACCAGGTTAATTGGGAAAGTAATCTCAGGCGCAATACTCTTTCATTCTACGATTAGACTGGGGTTTTGTTTTTACGAAAAGGCTAGTAAGAGGGTGCCACATAAACATACGAGTGTGACAATGATCTGCCTGAATGTGCTTAAATACCTGATTGCTTGCTTCCTCACGCTACGTCTTGTACTTGCAAATAGGTATGGTTATAGGAAAGGACGTCTTCAGATAAACGCGTTCATCTGATTCTAAAGCTCAACTCTGCCTTATAGCAAGGTGGAATCTTCCGGCCTATCAAGCCCCATTATAAAGCTAGGTACAATTGCGTGGATTGGTGTGAACTCGACAAGATCTAGGTACTCCGTTGCCCCTTCCAGTAACCCCTCAAGCACAGTCAACTCAAGCTTAACGAGGCGCGGGAGATCCCTCAGCAGCGTGCAGATCTTGCTCCTTCACACAGTTCAAGGGCGCCTCGCGAAATTCCTCCGAAGCAGGAAGCTCCACCTGGTAGTTCCTGACCACTGCTGCGGCCAGCTGCCCATCCTCCGCATCAAAATCAATAACATGGCCACCCACAGTGCGATCCGCGGACAGCAAATGCAAGTGAAATCCTGGGATGCTAAACCCACTGGTATACCTGGGTGACCAGAACCCGAACAGCGTGCCCTGTATACGTGTGCATTCCCGGATCTCCTGCTTTTTTGCCAGATCTAAAAGGCTTTCCTGTGGTTTGGACTGGGCCGGGATCACGCGAAAGACGACCCGCGAGAAGGAGGCAACAAGTCGAATTGAGAGGAAGACGTTCTGCTCATCTGGAAATACAGGTAACAGGGAGTCAAACAGAGTAGACATGGAGATGCACGGAACGTGGCTGGTCAGCGTGGGCTGGAACCTGGTAGTCATTGCGAATGGGATGATGTCTGTGGCCTCGACGGGGCGCAGGGGTCCGTTCGCTGGGAAGTGATACGCTACCCCGTCTATGATCACCAACTCGCCATTAAGACCGCGGATGGTGCCGATGCCATGGTCACCATGTTTGAGGATGTTTTGCGCCATCGTTCCATCTTGACAGATGCCGTTCATGAGAGCTCCTAGTACGGAGTATTGGTAAATGCAGTTTGCCATGGCGGTACCTGGAGAAACAACGGAGTTGAACCAAAGAGCAACTACTGATGATACTTCTATTGTATGGATTTGTCCCTGTTCAAAACAGATACGGCACACCTCAGTTTGCCTCTAGTCTTTTTCAGGTACCGACACTGCTCTAATAGGGGAGCGGAAGAAGATAGCACGAGACTAATTGATGCAATACACAAGCAACACGCAGCCGAAATATCTTGTACTACCCTAGACACGTACGAGAAGATCCATCCGATGATAGCATTAGGAGTCTACCCCATTCTTGCAAGCCGGTTATCAAGAAACTCCAGTATGGTCCCAAATGCACCTGTCTTCATTCGGTATCTAAATGACGTTTGTTAGCAGATATGCTCCACCAAGAGCCATACCTCCATCCCTTGCTTTCAGTGTCTGATTCCTGGGTTTAGCAAGAATGTTCTCTTAATTTGACGACATCAAGTAAATGGCAATCACATGCGTATCCTCGATCCTTGATCGGAAGGTTTCCCGATAGTATCTCGTGCAACTAAGCTTTCGTCGTATATTTGGAAGCCATTATGAAAGAAAGTTTATGATAGGATGATATCACTACCCTATTGAGCTGGATGTTCTACCTCAAGGCGGAACTGGGGGGCAGTACTTTCCTCCAGCTGCTGTGTAACAACGTTTGGGTAGATTCTTATACTTTAGAGATGATTGGGTACTGCTATCCATGGGTATTACTACTCTGGGCATGTCTATTCATGATTTTGCAGGGAATTGTGTTACATGGTCAGGATTTCAAATTCCTCCGAGCAGCCATGGGAGGATAAGGTCTCACAACCGGCTTCCTGTGCAACACAAGCTCCCCCCCGAAAGAACTACTATGAGGTTCACATCTTCCCCGCCAAGAGTGTCGTATCTCTGGACAGAGTTCCTAATAGGCCTTTGGGGAATTTAACTCCACAAGGAAATGAGCAGGTTTCGTCGACTGCAGGCATAGAACCATATCCAAGGCATGCGTGTCCAAGCACAGAACCATTCCTTATCGCCATATGTTGGGCAATCGCCATCGATGACGCGTCTTACAGTGCCTGAACACTGATAAAAGGAGACAGGTTAGGCAGAAGGCAAATAGCCCGGACAAGCAGCCTCGCGCTTCATCTTGAGTTGATAACTTTTTGATCTCTCGACGCAAATGGATGGCCGCGATTTTGTTGGACTTTCCGGGGGAGATGTTTTATGCGAGCTTCTTGGAAGAGAGGGCGTGAAGCATATCTGTATTTTCCCCATTCAGTTGATTGTTAGAATGTACTGTGGCTGAAAATTACAGTTGGCTACCCCGGCGGCGCGTCTCTCCCGTTAGTGGACAGCCTCTACCGAGCCCAAAAATTTGATTTCATACTTGCACATCATGAGCAGGGAGCGGGGCATATGGCAGAAGGCTACTACCGAACCAGTAAAAAGCCCGGCGTGGTTATGGTGACTTCAGGACCCGGGAGTTCGAATACCGTTACACCTATGCTAGATGCCCTGCTCGATGGAACGGCCATTGTAGTGATCTGTGGCCAAGTTCCCACAGCTGCCAAAGGCAAGGGAGCTTTCCAGGAAATCAACATTGATGAACTAGCACGTACGTGTACGAAGTGGTCAACATCTGTACAGAGGGTATGGGAATTGCCCATGGTTGTTCGCTCGGCTTTTCAACGTGCAGTGGAGGGCCGTCCTGGCCCGGTACTCATTTCAGTTCCGAAGGACATCGCTCAAGTAACGTTCGATGAGGAAGCTTTAGAGGCTTACAAGAACATGAAAGATAAATACCTGGCACCAAGTCCCGACCCCCCCGGCAATAATACCGCAAATCTCTTGCAAGAACTAGATCACGTTGCGGAACTGATCAATGATTCTCGGCGTCCAATCATATGCGCCGGGAATGGTGCCCTTGCCACTCAAGAAGGCGTGGCGCTGCTGCGGAAGATGGTGGAAAATTATTGCATTCCTGCAGCTACCACGCTCCATGGACTAGGGTGCTTTGACCACGACGACCCACTCTCTCTAGGAATGTTCGGGACCTATGGGACGGCGTGTGCCAACTATGCAATCCAGAACGCTGATCTCATCCTCGTTATGGGTGCCAGATTGGACGAGCGTGCGGTTGGCAAAACATCTGGCTTTGCACCCTACGCTCGCGAGAAAGCCAAAGACGGCAAAGGAGGGATTATTCATTTCGACATTAGTCCTGACTTTTTGGGGAAATTCGTTACTCCCACTCGCGTCATCCTCGGAGACCTCTCGAACACGGTGGGCGCACTCCTCCAGCGATTGGAAAGGACAGAGCGTGCGGAATGGCTGGGCCTAATACAGCAGCTAAAGGAAGAGTATCCTCTTCCGCCCATATTATCCGACCACAAGAACCCTCGGCCCCGTCCTCAGGAAGTCGTCACTGAGTTGAATCACAAGACGGCTTCTTTGAAATATCCAGTAACGATCACTACTGGCGTCGGCCAACACCAGATGTGGGCGGCCAAGCAATACGGCTGGAAGCATGGTCGCTTTCTTGTCACGTCTGGTGGCCTCGGGACTATGGGCTATGGGCTTCCAGCCGCTATCGGGGCGAAGACTGCTCGGCCTAACAATGATGTAATCTGTATAGACGGAGATGCCTCCTTCTGTATGACTATGACAGAGCTCTTGACTGCATCACAGCATGGCGTCACCGTCAAAGTCATCATCCTCAACAACCAAGAACAGGGGATGATTACCCAGCTCCAACGCGAAAGTTACGGAGGGAGGACCTGCTACGCCCGGCAAGACAACCCCGACTTTGTTCGACTCGCGCGCAGCATGAACTGTCAGGGAAAACGCTGCTTCTTCAAAGAGGACTTGCCTGAGTGCATTGATTGGCTTCTACGCTGTGATGGAGTTGCTCTGCTCGACGTGCTAATCGCGGAGACAGAAATGGTCCCCATTGTCCCCAGTGGCCAATCATTAGACTGCATGAAGTTTCAGTAAGAGCTTAGAACTATAGACAAGATCTGTCTTTTCCAGTATACCGAGTTCAATGTATGAATAACTCTCCATTTATGAATCACCAGAAGCTTTGTTATTAAGCGTGTTTCAGATTAGCCTGTCTTCTAGAACGTTGCTCGTTTTAGAGAAAAGTCCAAACTTTATGATTTCTTCACTATTTTCCAGACTTAACCAATCAGCCAACAGTAAATTAGTGGGACGCCTGTTGTTACAGCTTACAACCCTGCTTGACTCGAGAATCTAACCCGTCTTTGCTCTACTAGCTGCATTGTGTGAGTTTTATGATGCTGCCTGGAATGTTTTAGCACACTCTTGAACAAATGACATACAAGGCAGTCTCAAGGCTTGTTCGACATTACGACCATAAAAATGCCTTTACCAGCACAGTACTATTTCCAGAAAGTGCGTCCACTGCCACGTTCTGACGGTGCATTGTTCTGGACTGTGCGGATGCAAGGGGAAAAAAATAAGAGGAATTCACAGGGATATCATTTCCGAGGCTAAACCGGAGTTCACCCGCTAGTGGCCTGCAAGTCGCCGACGCCGGCGTCACTAGGGCCAAAAATCCTCACCAGTCAGCCTTTTCTTTTTGATTAAGAGCACCCCGCTGTACTGAAGATTACGCATTTCTAAACTTATTTTCAAAGCAATCCATGTCTGGAATTCTCGGTTGACGGTCCGAATGCTACCAATTTACATCTTCTCCCGGTGCAGGCGGTTCCTTGGCATGACTATTTCGTGTCTGATGGGTGACTTCAATCTGGTTTGAGACCATAATAGCACCCACTGTGGGGCCTTCATGTGGTTCCAGTGTCTGCAGCTTAATGTCGTGCATCATCCGTTCTTCACTCTCGGTGAATGTCAGGCCGACAGTGATCGGATCCCGGCTGCTGGTGCCTCCTCGGCCTC